GTAACGTCCCTTCCACATAAACTAGGTCATTTCGTGACGAACACACGGTTCAATTTTATTTTAATAATTCGCTTGCGCGTAGGGGGTTTAACGTCCACTCGACACAGACTAGGTCATTTCGAGATTAACATGGTTAAATTTTATATCAATAATTCGCTTGCGCGTAGGGGTCTTTAGCAGTGGCAGGAAATAAAATTGAACCATGTTAGTCCCAAAATGACCTAGTTTGTGTCGCGTGGACGTTAAACCCCATTTCTCTTTCTCTCTCTATTCAGTTCTAAAAGAAATTTAATTGTTTTTCTTTCAACGGTTTTACAGTACTTACCAGGATAATTCCAGTGCGTATGTATGACCGAAGATTCTCACTTCTATACGACTCAATAAAATAAATTGGTTAAACTGTATTTTTAAACCCTGTATCCCAACATTCCCACAATCTGGTATGTTGTTTTTACTCGGTTTTCTAAATAGTTGTTGTCTATAAATTAGTTCTATAATGCTGTTAATTGATGCATGATCTCCAATATGATTAAAACACAGATCCTATTTCGTTTTGTTTTTTCTAATTCAAAATTTCGTTTTACTTGTCTTTACTACACTAGGATCTGGAAGAGTTGTTATATAACCCGCGTTCTGGATGATGTCAGGGATTAGCCAATGAAACGGTCTGTTACGGAGAGTTTTTGACGTGAGGTGCACGGAACTGTGGGTAAACCACTTGAAACGTCAACGCTGATTGATTAATCAATGTCTAACATCATAAGGTCAAAAGCCACTCGTATGACACCCGACGCGAACTTCCACTACAACTGGTCAGATATTCAGGTAGTGTAGGCCGTCGAAAGTATAAAAAAACGAAACGAAATATAGATCTGTATTTTAAACAGATTGCATGCTCTCTTTAAAGAGGCATAAAAAAAAATGTCTTTCTTAATCTGCTCGCCAGAATCTTTGCCGTGAAAGTTTATATTGGTTTTGGTCTCCCAAAAAAGATCACCCGTCGACCGCTATTGGGAGTTTGGAAATGAAATGAAATGGGGTTTAACGTCCTACCTTTCTGCACTGGCTGGGATAATGAAGACGGACACACAGACGATGCGTTGGACTGTGTGGCAAATTCTGTCCAGACAGCTATTAAAAGAGCTCAAAGTGTAGGCCTACACGGGATTGTTTTTTCGTCCCATCCGAACGACTAGACGTTGTTCCTCGGCGGGAAACAAGATCGGAAACGTATTGAACAGTTTTATAGAAAACAACGTCGTTAAGTCAAATTGAGGTCATAGCCTACATGATTTTAAGACATTAAATAACAATATAAGCTACAACGTGACTGTCGACCATTTGTCTCGTAATTTCGTTCCATATTTAAAGATATCGAATTGACTTAGAAACCCAGACATCAAAAAGACAGCACAGAGAATAATTATACAATTTATTTAATATCAACAAAGGAATCGTCTACTCTATTAAAATGATATTAGCATCCATTTCTAATGGCCTGTATGATCGACGCCATTATCTTATCCCCATGGCGACAACAAACAGCGCGCTCTGGTATCCTGGGAATCAAAGGGCGATAAGTTTTTAAAATAGAATTATTGTAATTGTTTGGATGTGTGAGATATGAATATGATGTGTTGTGTAGAACTGAGTGGCGTGGAAACTCAGGGAATATTTTCGGTTGTAAGATCTGGTCAGATGTAATACACTTAAGTGGGATCTTCTGTTCTTTTTATTTTGTGAAAAATTGAAAAGCAAATACAAGGCCCAAGAGGAACCGGGTTGAACATAGGTTACACTGGTTTTACATATAACCCAGACACTGTTCATTTCAAATTAACTAAAATGAAATGGGGCTTAAACATACATTATGCATAAGCTAAATCTGCCAATTTCTTTAGGCCTGAAATGTTGTCTAGATTATTAATTAGACATTAATCAACTATCGATGCCATGGCTAGCCTGTGATATATACTGGATTAGAACCAGGTCTCCCGCTTCTGATTAAATGAAAAAGTGGATAATCGAGACTGTGTTTTTTATTACACCGACTTTAGTAATGATCAAAATCTAATCGCTAAATACTCGGTTCAGGGTGGATCAATTTGACTGACATTTTCAGCAAATTCCCTTTACATTATCTAGTTTTTAACTATTATAATGAGAACTTCCAGCTCTTTATCTAATCTCCTATAATGTATCTTTAATGGCCTGCTTTTCTGGGTATCTTCTCATGACGTGTATATCATTTATATAGGCCCGTCTTCATTAGCCCAGTATAGGAGCAGAACAGTAGGACGTTAAACCCCATTTCATTTCATTTCATTTCATTTCATAGGGTTATAACAGATGATGAAGATGTTATTCTAACGTACCTTGGAGAACCACACAATCGAACTGGCCAGGTTTGGTTTTCTTCTCGAGGAAGAAACATAATACTGATTTTAAAATGTTCATTATATCTTAAATATTGTATATTAGAATCCCACGGCAAGATAACAACATCAATATTAAAGATACATTCTCACGAAAGTATTTATAGGGTAGATATTTCCATTTAAAGAATGGCAATTTTTGTATAAATATATCTAAAGTAAAGACGCCCAATCTTACTAGAAAAATAATGAATTCCCAGAAAAACACCCATGGTCCAAGCACTGGGCAAACAATGTTACGGTATCACGCACTGGCAACCCGACGGCTTATTGTCCGCCAGCTTGACTTAGGGAGCGCTTGTTATATTTTGATCGAATGGGTAGCCATTGTCGGATGGGTGGTTGGGTTGGGAAGGCCTAGTGGTCTAGAGAATCGGGCTTAGAGCTGTAGCTGGCCGGTCACCTCTGATTTGTGGTCGTTGTTTCGATCCCTGGTGTGAGTATATGTGGCTTGGAGATAGTGGGCGCCCTCTCAACCTCGTGGGTTTGCTTCGGTTTCCTCCCACAGGAAAGACCCTTGCGCGTGCGCTAAGATAATAAAAATAAATGCACAATAAACACGGCGATTAAACGGGCGAATAAAGACCGTTGGCAGAAGATAACCCAAGAATTTATTTAGGCTTCGATATGTATGGTAAATGGACAGTAAGTAACGACAAATACAATCTGTAAATACATCCTCCCTCAATCAAGTTACACAACAAACAAGTAACGACAAACACAAGCTGTAAATAGGCCCTCCCTCAATTAAGTTACATGATAAATAGGTCAGTTGAAAACACATTTCTACGGCATGAGGTAGATTTTTTTTTCAATTAAAAGGTGAGAGTACTGAGAGTGATTTAAAGCAGACGTTCAATAGATAAATTAGTTTGAATATTTTTTTAGTCAAAATAGGTCATCGAATCACACAGTTTGTACGTGGGAAGGCATCTTTAATTGAATGAACCAATCTTGAATTTTAATTCATGTTTTTAATTTCGAATTTTATGGACAATATTGAGTTAGAGGTTTAGTTCCGTTACAGGTTTAGTGGTAAATGATAAGGCCAGCTCAACCTATGAACAAATAGGTTCAGCTGTTTTACAAAACGTACAATGATGTAAGGGGAACAACTCCCTTATTGTTACCTAAAATATTGGAAGATCTGAAGCAAACTTTGCTGTCACGGTGGGAAACATCCCCCAAGTCCGTGTTTATAGTTGTTCTCCGAGTATCGTCTGCCAATATATCTTTTCATGCTGCCGGTTTTGTGGCTCTCGTTGTTTCTTATTGTTAAACAGAGAATGAAGGAGAAATGTACAGCCAAACAAAGACAGAGCAGAACATGAGTTATCTCCCTTACACTAAACAGCTCTAAAGATTTATTGCTATGTTATAAGTTTGGGAGAAATGACATGGGGTTTAGCGTCCTACTGTTCTGCTCCTACTGGGTAATGAAGACAGGCATACGCCATACAATGTGCTATGAGTTTTTGCCCGGACAGTGGCACTACAGCTTACTCGTACATCGAATTCCAACTGCCAAGGGATCTTTATCAGGAACTCGTTTTTTTGTCCCATCCAAACGACTATACCATGTCCCTTGCAGCACTGACAAGGGGAAACCATGCCGGAAAATCTGATGAACTTTCTCGGCCAATGCTGGGATTGAACACTAGACCTTCAGGCTAGCGAGCAACATCTTAACTGAGCCTCCGTGGGGGGAAAAAAAACAAATATTTAATGAAACCATGCAAGGTCCAGTTTTGTTGGGCAGCCATTCTTCTACAGGTAATGTGTGGTTCAGGGTGAGAGCGAGAGTGAGAAATGGGGTTTAACATCCACTCGACACAAACTAGGTCATTTCGGGACTAACATATGGTTTAATTTTATTTCAATAATTCGCTTGCGCGTAGGGGTCTTTAGCAGTGGGAGGAAACCGGAGGACCCGGAGAAAACCCACGAGGTTGGACAGGCCACCCTACTCCTTGTCACGTACAACCGGGGATTCGAAACCACGCCAGTTGACTCAATGACAGGCTTTATGATACAGCACGCACGTGCTAACCATTCGGCCATCCAACCCCCCGTGGTTCAGGGTAGGTTGGCAAGTACTAGAAAGAGAGAGAAATGGCGTTTTAACGTCCACCTGACACAAACTAGGTCATTTCGAGATTAACATACGGTTCAATTTTATTTACATAATTCGCTTATGTGTATGGGTCTTTAGCAGTGGGAGGAAACCGGAGGACCTGGAGAAAACCAACGAGGATGGACAGGCAACCCTACTCCTTGTCACGTACAACTGGGGAATCAAAACCACGCCAGTTGACGGACCTATGATACAGCGCACACAGACTTACCGTTCGGCCATACAACCCCCCCCCCCCCCTTGTAGAAGAAGAATTATGATTTTAAATTTGAAGGGGATAGTTAACCGGGTTTATTTAAGAGTGATACCGAAATGGGGCTTAACATCCACTCAACACAAACAGGGAATCGAAACCATGTCACTTGACTCATTGACAGACCTTATGATCGAAAGAGGCTGAGAAAACGATAAAACAGTAAAACAAGCCAACGTCACCTAACAAAATAATTTTACTTAAAATTATCTGATATTTACAAATAGATGTTGTGAACATTACATTTTTCAATGGCTGTTTTGGTGATGAATAATCTTTACATGACAGTTAGATAGTAAAATATCTCATTTACATACATTAATAATCATGATTCATAGACTACTGGCAACATGACTCATGGACCACTTTCAACATGGACTACTGGTAACATGACTCATGGACCAAAAGACACATGAATCATGGTAACATGGACAATTGGATGCATGGACAACTGGCAACACGGATCACCAGCAACAAGGACCATTGCACAAAGGACCAATGGATGCATGGACAACTGGCAACATGGACCAATGGATGCATGGACAACCGACAACATGGACCATTGCACAAAGGAACCATTGGAAACATGGACCAGCAGACATGGATTTTGGAATACAGGAACCATTAGAACCATGGCCTATTGGAGATATATCTATTGATGAAGCAGACAATATGAATGATAATTTTGATTATACAATTATTTACAATGATAAATATCCTTAAACAAGTTCGTAACCAAGGGGATCTTTGTTTTTATCCAGAAGTTTTAAGGATGATTCCTGTAAATGACGAAGTAACGTCTTTAAATCTTCACTACTGAACTCCTGAAAAAAACAAAAACAATTTACTGTCAACATTTTACAAAAATAATGGTAATATAATTTATTGGAACTTAACTGTGTACAGCACTCTTTCAAATCCGTCCCTCAAAAACATGTTTTCTTAAATTAATTTTTAGAAACTATATAGCACCTGGTACAGTTAATATTTGAATATAGAACGATGGTCACCCCTGCTCTAGAGTATCATTGAACAAAGTGTGCTGTTATCCTTATTGCTCTCATGCAATATAATGTGTATTGTTCTGATGCTGTATGCTATGCATTGCTCTCATGCAATATAATGTGTATTGTTCTGATGCTGTATGCTATGCATTGTTCTCATGCAATATAATGTGTATTGTTCTGATGCTGTATACTATGCATTGTTCTCATGCAATATAATGTGTATTGTTCTGATGCTGTATACTATGCATTGTTTTCATGCAATATAATGTGTATTGTTCTGATGCTGTATACTATGCATTGTTCTCATGCTGTATAATGTGTATTGTTCTGATGCTGTATACTATGCATTGTTCTGATGCTGTATAATGTGTATTGTTCTGATGCTGTATAATGTGTATTGTTCTGATGCTGTATAATCTGTATTGTTCTGATGCTGTATTCCATGCATTGTTCTGATGCTGTATAATCTGTATAATGTTCTGATGCTGTATAATGTTCTGATGCTGTATAATGTGTATTGTTCTGGTGCTGTATATTGTTCTGATGCTGTATAACCTGTATTGTTCTGATGTTATATAATCTGTACCTACCTTATACAACCTGTATTGTTCTAATGCTATATAATCTGTACCTACCTTATACAACCTGTATTGTTCTGATGCTATGTAATCCGCTAGTTGAAGACAATCAGCGTACATCTCCGTAGAATGTAACATGTGATGTAGATTAAAACACAGACCAGGAATATGTAGTTCACGGAGTCGGTCCATCTGTACTTTTCTTCCATCATCAGCTGTATCATCCTAAAATCAAAACATCAAAAAAGTCATCAAGGGCACTAACACTGATAATCGGTTATCATGTAGTTGTGGTGTTAGTAGGAGAACCTCCTAGCACCATATCCGCGGCGCCGCTGAGAATCTTTAACGTAATAAAACATGGTATATGTGATCCAATTGGCATCCTCGCTAGAGATAAAGGGGCATAATTTAACGCCGACACCACAGAGGGGGGGCGGTCCCACGTGACCCCATTGTTTACTATACAGCATTGTTTACCTCTATTATGTTCTCTTACCAACGATAACGACACGTGGAACCGCATTTTTACTAGCGAAGTCTGGTGGGAGTTCCTTCAGCGAGGACTCCCATTGTTTATATTTTTCAAGGGACTTAACAATGGAAGTATGATAAAATGGACATTTTGTTTTGGCACCAACTGAGTGGCGATGAAGAACAGTTACAGCCCTTGCTACAGTCAGTCGAAATATTTGATTTTTAAGTGTTATTAAAGTCACCTAATGAAACTGACGAAGAAACAAATGACAAAATGAAATGAAGTTCACATTCATCGATTTATTCCAAATGATCGTTAGACTAAGTAAGGCACAGACTGACCATTATAAGGGTAAAATGATACCCGGGGTCAAACAGCAAAGTTACCACAGCATCACAACCAAGTCAGTAACGGGTAAATCCTCCTCTGTTTGCCAAACAAGCATTGATCCGACGTGGCATACTCCTAATGAGACGTCTAAGGTCATTTTGGTCCAGATTGTCCCATTCCTGTTGCAACGCAGCAGCAAGTTCTTGGACATTGGCAGGACGTTGTTGACGTTGACGTAACCTCTGTCCAAGCATGTCCCAGACATGCTCTATGGCGGAGAGGGTGGGACTCAGTGCTGGCCAAGGTAATGTGGTGATGTTCTGTTGTTGGAGGTAACCTGTAACGATCCTGGCCCTGTGACATCTTGCGTTGTCATCCTGGAAGATGAAACGGCGGCCATGACGTCGTGCGAACGGCACAACATGGACTGCCAAGATGTTGTCCCGGCAGTACTGGCCTGTAACACGCCCTGCAACAACATGTAAAGCCGTTCTTCCAGCAACAGTGATGCCTCCACACACCATAACAGAACCACCCCCAAATCGATCATGTCTGATGACGTTAACGTCTTGGAAGCGCTCGTTTCGACGACGCCACACCCTCCCACGTCTGTCCAAAAAATCAACAGTGAACCTTGACTCATCTGAAAACATCACATTGCTCCAGCGTCGATTATCCCAGTGTTGACGATCCCTACACCAACGACGTCTTGCCTGAATGTGATGATCTCTCAAACAAGGGATCACGCGAGGACGTCGGGCGCGAAGGTGACCCCTATGCAGTCGATTCCGAATCATCTGGCCACTCACTCTCACACCAGTGTCTGTTTGAAGACGAGCGCTGATCTGATTTGCTGTGATGACACGATTTCTCAAGGCCAAGGTACGGATAAATCGATCCTGGGCTTGAGTTGTCGCCCTTGGTCGACCTGAGCGTGGTCTGTCCTGTACAGATTGTGTATTGTGTACAGATTGTGTATCACGGTATCTGGACCATAGCCTGCTTATGACAGACTGAGAAACATTCATCGTCCGCGCCACAACCGCCTGTGTTGTGCCGATCTGTAGCATGCCAAGGGCACGTAACCTTTCATTTTGGGAAAGCCGACACATATCAAAATTTGTTTTCTGGTCACTAAAACAATTAAACTGATGTTTCCACCCTGGAATTCAATGCCACAATGACTGTAACATTCAAAGTCAGAGTCGTGCAAATCTTGGGTTGGACCCCCATGATGATCCCAAGCATCACCTGCATTCCATGCGGTAGCTATTGGTGCGTTTGGGCGTCACATGTAACTGGAAATGTTTCTTCTTTTAGGTTCTATAGTGACTTTTTTCGTAGTCATTTGCATATTTTAGTATTATGCCCCCAAAATCAAATATCCCCTACTTTTTTTGAATAGTATATATTGCAGATCATCTTTGCTCCTTTTCGATGCATTGTGCCACGTTTTATCTTTCTACTGTAACGGGAAGAATTTTTTCCGACTTTTTCAAAAATTTCACATTGAGTAATTTTTGGTGAAAAATTCAAAATGGCGGCGACCCGCCATTTTTGGTAAGAAAATTATAATATTCGCTGGTGATGAGTTTGGACCCTATTGGAAACGCATGGCACATGGTAGAGTTCAATCGCAAAAAAAAGTTCAAATATGAAATACCCTAATGGTCATGCTCCATTCAGTGTACTATGAATGTCAAGGGTTCTTTTATATTGATGGCAATGTTTTCCGGTCATATCTGAACAAGTGAAACCACGCTGGAAAATCCCAAGAAACGTTTTAGGCCAACACTGGGATCAAACCCTGAAGACATGTTAAATTAAAAACACATGATAACTCACCACAGCTTTATCAACCATCCAACCTCCGTCAGTAAATAATAAAATATTATAGATACGCTCTTTACTGATCTAAATAAAATAATATACAAATATTATAGATACAGTATTTATTGATATAAGTAAAATATTCTAGATACAGTATTTATTGATCCAGATCGAATATTCTAGATACAGTATTTACTGATTTAAATAAATTAAAATACAAAAAAGATATTCTGGTTCTCGGAGAGAGAGAGAGGGAGAGAGAGAGAGAGAGATGGGGTTTAACATCCACTCGACAAAATCCGGGTCATTTCGGGACAAACATATGGTTTAATTTTATTTCAATAATTCTCTTGCGCGTTGAGGTCTTTAGTAGTGGGCGGAAATCGTAGGAACTGGAGAAAACCGACAAGGTTGGATTAAAAATTGAAACTCTAAAATGAAATGAAATGAAATAGGGTTTAACGTCCTACTGTTCTGCTCCGACTGGGCTAATGAAGATGGGTATCTCTAAAAGGAATATCACTTACCTTTGTTTGAGATGTCAAGTTGTGTCTCCATCTATCCAGTTCTGTTTCATATTGTCTTATTCTATGTTCATAGGCCACTTTATCTGTAAAAGTAGCTTCCATCGTCAAGTTCGGTTTCTGTGGTTTAGCATGATGGAAGAATGTAAACCAATCATTGAATCCATCAACTGCATCCTGGAGACAAAAAATAAACAAATTTGATAAAAATCAAAAAGATGCATAAACCTAATTAAAACTTCTATAATTTGGGGTTTTTTTGCAAACATCTATCAAAATTTTTGCTTCCAATTTTTTCCCAAAGTACCTGGATGTTCCAAATTTTCAAGTTTTGAAATTTTAAACAAAACACAGTTCACAAGACTTGAGATGAGTAACTGCTTATTGATAAATTGTTGCTTCTGGATAATTTGTTGGTAATTGCTTACCATTTATTGGTGGATAATTTGTTGGTAATTGCTTATGGATAATTTGTTTCTTATGGAAAATTTGTTACTATTTGCTTATGGATCATTTGTTGGTCATCGTTTACGGACAATTTGTCGGTAATCAGATACAGATAATTTGTTGGCAATCGGTCACGGACAATAAGATGGTAATTGCTGAAGATTTGGGTTGGATAAATGTTAAATAGTTGTCAAAGAATTAATTCATTGTAGTAACCCATGGTGCCTTAAAATACACAGAATATTTATTTTTATATATATATATATATATTTACCAAGTAAGCCTTTATACACATATATTCTCTAACAGCATTCTGAACATCTGGTTTTAACATCTCACTTCCTGCCTGTAATAATACACAAATAACTATACTTCCAGAATAACAATATTAAATTCAAGGATTTTTTTTTTTCCGAGAGAGAGATTTTAACTTCCATGTCTACTCCACACAAACATATGTCGAGACTAACATATGGTTCAATTTTATTTCAATAATTCATTATAATTTATTATAATTTATTATGACTTACCTGAGTTTATAATATCAATCAACAGGTAATTTATTACAATGTACCTGATTTTATAATATCAATCAACAGGTAATTTATTACAATGTACCTGATTTTATAATATCAATCAACAGGTAATTTATTACAACCTACCTGAGTTTATGATATTAATCAATAGGTAATTTATTATAACCTACCTGAGTTTATGATATCAATCAACAGGTAATTCATTAGAACCTACCTGAGTTTATAATATCAATCAACAGCTAATTTATTCCAACCTACCTGAGTTTATAATATCAATCAACAGGTAACATATTATAACCTACCTGAGTTTGTTGTCTAATTATTATATCTATTGTATCAACAGGTAATTTATTAAACACTTCTTTAGCAGCGTCATGTTTCTTTACGGCTACAAAAAATATAAAATATAAAAAAATATAAATATTTAAACATAAAAAAATATTAAAAAAACAAAAAATAATCATAAAATAATATATATATATTTAACCATAATAAAATATATATATACATTTACTCTTCCAAAAAAGAAACGCCCAGAATATTTTTCATCATTTTTTTTTATTTGAACAGGATCGTTGTTTCTATAAATCTTACTTGTTTTTAATGTCATTATGTAAGGATAAAAGAAATTCATTATTGGTTTTAAATGTTGGGTCACTAATTGTGTGGTCATACTTTTTACCAAAATTTGTTTCGCTTGATTGCACCAAGACACATGAGTTTAACAACTTCACAAGCTTTTTGCATGAAACCCAAATCTAAGGCCTTTACAATCCCGGGGTTCTCGGTTTCAAAATCAGTTGCACATGTAAACACTCAACGCGGCAAGTGATGCCACATCTGAACGAAGATCAATGAAGAGTATATATATAAAAAAATATAAAATAAAATATAGATATTGAAATATAAATGTAAAAATAAAATATAAAAAAAAAAATATAAGTATAATAATTTTCAAATATATATGCAAAAATATGAAATATACAAAAAATAGTTTCTATTTGCTGAATGAATGTCAAACTAACCAATAAAAGATCTCATCACAGCGTTGGCTTGTTTCACCGCTTCTCCTCTCTGCTTCGGATCAAAAACTAACCAATCAATGGCTTCTATCTTCTCACGATCTTCCTGTAAAAAAAGATTTTTTCGATAAATAGAAAATTAAGTTCTTGTTTGCTACGATACAAAAATACTTGTTTACAAATTGCTCTACTTTTTTTAAACTTTAAACCTAAAATATTTAAGTAATAGAAGCAAGGGAGTTAATCATCTCATTCACACAATACTTCAGTTATTTTGAGATGAGAGAGAGAAGAGGAGAGATCAGACGAAATGAAATGAAATGGGGTTTAACGTTCTACTGTTCTGCGTCGACTGGGCTATTTAAGACGGTTATACAGCATACAGTGTGCTATGAGGGAAATTTTACCCAGGCAGCGTCACTACAGTCTATCTACTCTTATATTGCCGCAGGTTCTTTTATATGCACGCGCATGTGTACACAAGACTTGGGTTGTACATCCCATCCGAACAACTATACAAGGGGAACCACTTTAAGATTCACATACAGCCAATTTTTCAATGGTAGGGAGGTAAATTGTGCCTGGACAGTAGTGTCTGTTTCTTCTTCTTCGATTTGCAACTGCTAGGGTTTCTTTTACATGGACTCCAGTCTGCACAGAGAGAGAGAAATGGGGTTTAAAGTCCTCTCGGCACAAATTAGGTCATTTCGGGACTAACACATGGTTCAATTTTATTTCAATGATTCGCTTGCACGTAAGCATCTTTAACAGTGGGAGGAAACCGTGGGACCCGGAGAAAACCCACGAGAATGGACAGGCAACCCTACTCCTTGTCATGTACAACCGGGGAAACGAAAACACGCCAGTTGACTCAATGACAGACCTTAGAATACTATGCTAACCATTTTGCCATCCCCCACCACACAGACACACACACACACCAATACAGGGGTGGGAAGAGATTTTTCATCCCATCAAAACAACTAAGTAACTCTTTCCTTCCCAGCCCTACAATAGCCGCAGATAGAACAAGGGATATTCTCGTCGCCAGTCCCCTTGACTATCGCTGCCCCTAATAGAAGTAAATCTTACGTCAGTAATGTCTGTTCCAGAAGGTGTTCCCGACCCTTCACGATGTCGTATATTTTCAACAACAGTTTTAGTAATGAGTGGGATATCAAGATCTTCGTCTTCAGCTAGACGTAATACATGTTGTCTCTCAGATTTATCTTCTATACCTATAAATCATTTATTAAAGATACATTATGTAAGATTTAGATAAAGAACTAGCCATTCTTGCTATAATAGAGCAAATGTAGATGATGTAAAATGAATAATTTGAAAATTTCATTCAAATTACTCTATTACAAGCAAAGATATTAGCCTTTGAAGGTTTGACAGACGTGTGCAATAATTTCAACCACCGTACTGGTTGATCGACGCTAAGTCTCAGTCCTCCATATTTGATTAAATCAAAGTATCGCTGAACCATTCTAATCTATTTAATATCGGAGAAATCTGATGCCATCGAGAGTTGATTAAGGCCTGGATAAGTTAATTAATGTTTAATTAATACTTTAGAAAACATTTCAGGCCTAAAGAAAAAACTGCCATAGGCAGATTTAGCTCTTGCATAATGTATGTTTAATAAGATTATTACAATGACGTCATTATTAATGTGACGTCATAATGTATGTTTAATATGATTATTACAATGACATCATTATTAATGTGACGTCATAATGTATGTTTAATATGATTATTACAATGACATCATTATTAATGTGACGTCATAATGTATGTTTAATTAATCAATTTCTTTAAGATCTAAATACTTTCGTTTTTAATTCATGTATCCCTGAATAGGCTGATATTTATGATTACCATAACAATATGTACACTGGCTAGAGATTTTCCATTTTATTCATGTCACCGATTTCAAGTTTGTGTCAATAACATTACATAATACATATACTCACCTTCAAGGAATTTAGCATACCAGTTGATCTGTGATTTCTTTGGTAGATTAGAAACGTAAAAAGCTACAAGTTGTTTGTTGTTGTTTTTGATGAGGATTTCTATGTAAGTTTCGAGAATTGTGTTGGCTTTATCGATCTGTTAGAAATAATAATAAAATAATATGAAACAAACAGGAAAATAATATAGATAATTTTTGTTTTCTTTACTTGACATACAATTTTCATGTCAACAAAACAATACCGAGGCTTTGACTTCAACCCCTTGACAGTGAGGATGGTGATAGATTGGAAATTAAATGAAAGGGGCTTGAAGACCTGTTAACGCAATAATTGCAGATAGATCGATCACTGTGTTAGAACCGCGGCTCTGGAATACCTTTCCAGAAAGTGTTAAACAATGATAAACTGTAACGGATTTTAAAAGAAAACTCAAAACATACTTTTACAGTAAAGCATTCCTTTAACGTTTGTGTAAGACTTTGTGAAGTGCCATTGAATGCATGGCAGTAATGTGTCCTATATCAAATCTAATATGTTCTGTTATGTTATGTTATACATCAGCCATTTAAAGACTAAAATGTACGGTATTTCCATTTCTATGGTTAAATGTGCAAAGCGAAGATAAGAATTTTTCCCAGAAAGCATTTTCTCCTTAGGATTCTTTTACGAGCACACCAACGTGTACACAGGTAAATATTGATTTTTCATTTCTTCCGAAAGACTAGACACACTTTTTCCTTGTAGATGCCTGTGACGGCTGGACTGGAAAATCTCAAACTATTCTTCTACACCCACTTCAGGATTCGCACTCCCGATATTCTAATCTTGAATCCATTGGAGAGAAATGGGGTTTAACGTCCACTCAACACAAACTAGATCATTTCGGGACTAACACATGGTTCAATTTTATTTAAATAATTTGCTTGCACGTAGAGGTCTTTAGCAGTGGGAGGAAACCGGAGGACCCAAAGAAAACCCATGAGGTTGGACAGGCGACCCTACTCCTTGTCATGTACAACCGGGGTATCAAAACCACGCCAGTTGACTAAATGATACAGCGTGCACACGCTAACTATTCGGTCATCCAACGATCCAGAGCCTATTGGTCTGACCACAAAATGCAATAGGGTTTACAGTCCTACTGTTCTGCTCCGAACTTGGTTAATGAAGACAGGCATATGCCATACAGTGTGCTATGAGGGAAATTTTGCATGGACAGCGACTTTACGGCCTACTTTTATATCGAATTCCATCTGTCAAGGGATCTTTTACGTACGCCAATGTGCACACAGGCTTTGGTTTTTTTTTTTGTCCGATCCGAACGACTCGTTCTGTCCACAGTCTATATTTAGTGACCAATATTATTGTAAAGTAAAAGTGAATATCTTACATGTTGTATATCAGTTATTTTACGTAGAATTAGAACAAGATGAGCCATAAATCGTATTAAATGTTGAGGTAAACGTTTAGAATCAGCTTGAATCCATGTAAACATCACCTCAATTAAACCTGTAATAAATAAAAACATTGTTTTATAGCCAGAGACACAAACTGGGTCAGTTTAGTACTAGAGAGAAATGGAGTTTAACATCCACTCGACACAAACTAGGTCATTTCGGGACTAACACATGGTTCAATTTTATTTCAATAATTCGCGTGCGCGTACAGGTCTTTAGCAGTGGGAGGAAACCGGAGGACACGTAGAAAACCCATGAGGTTGGACAGGCGACCCTACTCCTGGTCACATACAACCGGGGAATCGAAACCATGCAGTTGACGTAATGACGCAGTTGACATATGGTTCAATTTTATTTCAATAATTCCCTTGCGCGTAGGGGTCTATAGGAGTGGGGGGGAAACCAGAGGACCCGGGGAAAAGCGACAAGGCTCGACAGGCGACCCTGCTCCTGGTCATGTACAACCGGGGAATCAAAACCACGGCAGTTGAAGCAATGACAGACCTTATGATACAACGCGCACACGCTAACCATTCAGCCATCCATCCCCCCACAAGAAACCCACAAGGTTGGATATACAACTCTACTCCTTGTCACATACAAGCTTTGGATCAAAACCTTGACTCAATAACAGACCCGATGATCTAAAGCTAACAAATTAGATCTCATCGACCACTGCCACGAAGTCATCCCTATAAAACACAGCGATAACATTTTGAATCATCATTGTTCCAATATTTGATCAGCTAAACAAGCTAAGATCATATCTAACTAAACAAGCTTAGATCATATCCAGCTAAACAAGCTAAGATCATATCTGATTAAACTAGTTGATTAATGGCTTATTAATACATACTACCAATATCTCCTAGTATGATATATTTCTGTATTATATTAAACCACATTCGAGATTCTTGCTGAATTTTCTGAAAAAGATAGAAAGAAAAAATGCATGAAACTACAGTGGAAGGTGTTGTCAGGGATACAACATCACCTTGTAAATAAATTATAAACAATAAAAGTACTATAACACCTAATGGATGGATCGTGAACTGACAGTAAATGTCTAATGGATTAGATCTAAATATTAAGGCCAACTCCAGGTTTCATCAAGGTCACGAGATGTAAACAGGGCTTGCGCTAACCCTGACCCTAACCCTATCCCACAATCCTGGGCAACAATCACGTGTCCTAGCCCTATTTACATCTGGTGACCTTGACAAAATCGCAAGGTGACTTTAATATTTAGTTCTGACTGTATCCAATGGTACAGTTGACATGTGGTCAGGTATATGGCAGGTTAAGTTGACAAGAGGTTGTGTTTTTTTTCAGGCCTAAAGATGATAATCCTTATTTTCTTACCTCATCTAAACTGGCCTCAATTTCCGAGAAAACTTGTTCTGGTTTCATCCTGTAAATAAAGAGAAATGTGAAATGAATAACGTAATCTATACCCAGTGGTTGACCACCAGCTCGGAGTTCCTGGATCCCTCCCAGTGTTGACAGAGAAATTTTATCACGATTTTCCGGCATGGTTTCCCCTTGTCAGTAGAGCAGAATGGAGGGCCTGACATGGACAGCTGTCTATGCACAAAATCGAGGTCCGATATACACATTGGCGTGCATGTAAAAGATCCCATGACAGTTTGAAGTCAATATAAAAGTGGGCTATAGGGCCGCTGCCGGAAAAAATTTATCTAATTTATCTTATAGCACACTGTATGGTGCATGAACGTCATCATTAACCCAGCACACGAGCAGAACAGTAGGATCACGTTTTATTTCATTTACCATGCGTTGTGAGATGAGTGAAATTTTACTCTGACAGAACCACGACTGGTTACTCAAATCGCAACAGTCAGGGTTCATTTTAACATGCTGCCAATCGTATACTCGGGAAGTCCAGTTTTCGTTCCATCCAAATGACTACACACATTAGCTTGTCAGGTCCTCCATTTTAAACCACTGATAAGAGAATAACAGAATGGACATTCCTGTGGAACTTTCCCTCATCAACACTGGGATAAAAAGCCGGGAAGTCCAAATTACTGAATCAGCGCCACATTCGGCAAACCAAAACATGTAATAAGATTTTCTCCCGATCGAGTTGTAGAAGAAAGCCATACTTACAATCTATCCCAATATTCTTGTGGTAAATCTTCAAAACTACGGGGAGACGTTGTACTCATTCTAACTTCCCGTTCAACCTGCGTATCTACCATAACTTTAAAATATCCCCATAAATAATCCTGCCATGTTTTACACACAGGTAACACAGCCCCTAAATTACCGCTCATAATACCATAAATACCCTTCTCATACGGACTGAATTTACCCTGAAATAAACCAGCAATACCCTTCTCATATTATCGTTTTTTGATTTTTCAGATGTCAAGTTTTTGTAAGATATTATGATCCTTACTAGCAATGCATATTTTTGCTCTCCTGAACAATTTGGCAAAATTTGAATACAATGATTATTAATTCTTGAAGTTTTCCCGTCCATGAATCTGGGTCGAGAGAGAGAAATGGGGTTTAACGTCCACTCGACACAAAGTAGGTCATTTCGAGAATAATTTTAATTCAATAATTCGCTTGCGAGTAGGGGTCTTTAGCAGTTGGAGGAAACCAGAGGACCTGGAGAAAATCAACAAGGTTGGACAGGTGACCCTACTACCGGGGAATCGAAACTCCGCCAGTTGACTCAATGACAGACCGAATGATACAGCGCACACATGCTAACCATTCGACCATCCAACCCCCCAAAAATCTGGGTTGAAGTTTAATCCCCAGTGATACATATTCTTTTAAAACCACCAACAGGTGTTCATTTGTGGTGTTTACACAAGTCAGTGGCTAAGTAAGACACTGATTTGACGGCCTGGAGATCACAGGTACAATCCCGGGGTTGGCCAAGAAAGTTCATCGGGATTTTCCGGAGTGGTTTCCCCTTGTCAGTGGTGAAGGATGGGAATCCTGACAAGGACAGCTGCCTAGTCAATCAGATGCCACGATAAGAACCGCAATGGCTTGCACGTAAAAGATCCCTTGGCAGTTGGATTTCGATATAAGAGTAAGCTGTAGCGCCACTGTGCGGGCAAAATTCCCTCATAGCACAAGGTATGTCATATGCTCGTGTTCATTAGCCCAGTTGAAGTAGAACAATAGCACGTTAAACCCCGTCTCATTTGATTTTGTTTACTAAAGTTAGTAACAATCTGAAGATAACTATAAACTGTGTTAAATTGAATAATTCATTTGACCTGATTTTTACTCTGGTTAACAATTGAAGAGCCCCAGGGAAGAGCCCTAGGAAAGAACGATCTAAGTCCATTTTTCAACAAACCCCAGTTAATGGATGGCACCATCTGGTAACAAATTGTATAAGCTTTCTGTAGAACAATCAATTTTAGGTAAAAACAATCAGAGTCACATCGAACCAAGGTCCTTCTGAAATAGCCTCCCGGACAAATACAAGTCCATCGTATTTATTTTACCTTAATTTGGCGGAAAAGTGGAAGTCAGTTGTTGTGCTGGTAATTATGATTCGTATCAAACATCATTTTGAAGTTGTAATTAAAATCATTTGTTGTTCTGTTCGCGTCAAGCATTCTCGTCCAAAAGTCTGTTTTGCCTTTTATGCAAAAAGACAAAAATGTGACTTAGATTGTTCTTCCCCTAGACTCTTCAATGGAAGCCATAAATATATATTTTTACCTCTTTGCTCATTCTCCAACAGACCAACTTCCAGATATCTCGATACTGATTCCCCTGAACCGATTCCACCTGTCCCCCTTCCCCTAATTTCTGATAATTACTGTCATGAAACGGTCGCCAACCTTCTAACGTAGCCGCTCTCCATGATTGACCACAATTACGACAAACTTCCTGGGCCTGTAATATACGTAAAATTAAAATGTTCAATGTATTATTAAGATGACGTAAATTACTGTTATATGACTTTAGCAGGGTTCATACTTCCACCGACGTGGAATATGCCAGGGTTAGGGTTATGCAATAAAAACTACTCAAATTCTATCATCTACAAAATTCTTGTTATATTTTTATGGGATAATAGGGTTTAACATCTTGTCATAGAATAAATTCTGTACACAATAAGATAAAATGGAGTACGTATGAAATTTAAGCGCCAAACTATAGAGGAATGGTGTATTTACACTGTCTCAAAATTTCTGCTCAAAATATTGAGTCGTTTGGACGTGAACCTCTAAACTGCTTATCCGGACACGAAACCCTTTTAAGATTTCGGGTCAATTTTTTCGTTGGGTGACCTGATAATTGATTCCTGTTTCTTGAGAGGTCTATACAGTGAATGCCCCATGTGCTGTACTTCATAGTGAAAGGTAAATCTCACCTATAAATTACTTTTATAAAACAAAAGTCTGATTTTATCCAGACACCGTATAATACCGATTGGGACACAAGTCTCCATTTCCAGATGAAGACTGACGGGTTTAAGTTGTTTGAAAAATTATCACAAATATTGATTTAGCAGTTTTATTCCCCCTAAAATGATCAAGATTAGCCCTTTAATACCAAATAAATATGAGCAGGTGACCCACCTTTTCCAGTTGTCCAGCTCGTATACAGACAAACATATGTTGTAATAATCGTAATTCATCTTCTTTATCTAGATCGTCCAGACTTTTATTCTGTCGTATTGGGGCGTCTGGATCCTGGAGTATAAAATCAAAAAATAATCTTCATTCTCTGTAGGCGAAACATTCAGATTATCCTCCCTGACAAATTGACCACTGATCTACAGGGAATCGAGCTTTATTCTACCGAGACCTAAATCTTCCTTCACGAATTCTAATCATGTAAGCACACTAAAAGTAATTCTCAGTGGATGGACATCAGACCTTAACACAGAATGAAATGAAATGGGGTTTAACATCCTACTGTTCTGCTCCTAACCTGGGCTAATGAAGACGGGCATACGCCATACAGTGTGCTATGAGGGAAATTTTGCCCGGGCAGCGGCGCTACTGCCTACTCTTATATCGAATTCCAACTGCCAAGGGATCTTTTACGTGCACGTCCATGTGTACACGGGACCTCGGTTTTTCGTCCAATCCGAACGACTAGACAGCTGTCCTTGTCAGGCCCTGCATCACTGACAAGAGGTAACCACGCCGGAAAATTTTGAACGAACTTTGTCGGCCTATGCAGGGATCGAACACCTGACCTCCAGGTTAGCAAGCCAGCGTCTTACCCATCTTAACGCAGATCAACTTCAAGCTCTTAACAGAAGAAAGATCCATTCTAGGTGTAATTTCAAAGAAAAAAAAAATTACCACTGCCCTAGAATGAATGAAAAAGATAATGTAAACATCAGGGATCTTAATCGGTTGTTTTTTGTCGGCTTTAGCCGCTTGAAGTTCAAACAAGCCTATTGGTAAAACAATGAACCGGCCACTATGGTATCAAAAATCAATCTACTTTCGGCTAAATTACAATGGGTTAATCATTACTTGTTAATTAAGAAGTCAATCAACTTGCTTGTCGGCTACCTTGACCAAATTTGACACAATTCTGGTCGGTTGGTTTCAAAATGGATTAAGAATCCTGGTAAACATATATGAAGAAAATTTGGCTTGCTCAGCAAGTGAATTCCAATCTGTGTGAAAGCTGCTATCCTGTTGCACGATAGTTAACACGATAAGTCCAGTGTCACTACAAAAACTTACAAGTTCATCAACAAAAGCTCTGGTTGTGTTAGTAATTCTTCCTTCTTTTTTTCTTTTTAACGCATGTAGAGTATTCTCCCTTTAAATATAAATAAACATGTAGAGTATTCTCCCTTTAAATATAAAACAGGTCACAGACCACTAATAATTTCCTCAATGACCTTAATGTTAATTCTCATCTCTTAGACCGGCTCTTAACTTTTTCCCAAATTTTCAATGGGTAAAACGCTCTCTATCACAGGTGGAGAAACAACAAAAATTGCCATGCAAAAGGAAAGGGGAAGGTGGGGGGAAAGACTAAAAATAACTTTCGCCCTTCATTCGTGGGTGACGACGTAGGAACAATTGGTGAGCTGGGACCAAATATTGTTTGAACAGTGACTATAATTAGAAGTTATCTCCTGTACTTGAACTTCCCTAGACATTGCATCTGATGTACAGTATAGTTTCTCATTAGGTTAAGGCAAAAGTTTCTGATCAGGTTAAAGATAAATTATGGGAGATATGATAATGAGTTGGCAGTTCTCACTATAATAGTTGAAAACTAGATAATGTAAAGGCAATTTGCTGAAAATTTAATTCAAATTGATCCACTATGAACCGAGAACTAAGCCATTGAAATTTCCGCCTGGCCTCGATCATCATTACTAATTAATACGATAACAGCATAGTCTTGAAAGTTATGCAGTAAATCGGCTCATAATCCACTAACGATCGCAGGCTAGCGATGCCATCTAGAGTTGATTATGGTCTGGATAAGTTAATTAATGTCTAATTAATAATTTAGATAACATTTCTGGTCTAAAGAAAGACCTGCAATAGACAGATTTAGCTCTTGAATAATGGATGTTTAAGGTAAATAATGCTAATTTGGACTGTTGTAAACGTTGGAATTTGTCCAATCTGATTAAAACACAGATCCTATTTTGTTTCGTTTTTATAGTTTAAAATTTCGTTTTACTTGTCTTTACTACACTAGGATCTGGAAGAGTTGTTATTTAACTCGTGTTCTGAATGGTGTCGGGGATAAGCCAATGAAACGGTCTGTTACGGCAAGCTTTAGGCATGTTTTTCACGGAACTGTAACATCAATGCTGATTGGTTAATCAAATGTCTGACATCATAGGGTCATAAGTCGGTCTTTTGACCCCTGACATGACCTATCGCTATAACTTGTCAGATCTTCATGTAGTGTAGGCCATAGAAAGTATAAAAAAACAAAACAAAATATAGATCTGTATTTTAATCAGATTGGAATTTGTCTACAGAAAACCCATGAGGCCTTAGGCAGTCTGAATCCATATGCTTAGTTTAGTTATCTCCCTTTAATTATAAACCAAATGAATGTGACTACACAAGCTGAGTAGACAGTAAGGAGTAATCTAGCTCCCCACCTCCAATAAAACACTTACCACGCTACAGCTTGATCGGAGAAGAATTGAACATTATCTGAAAACATGTCGAGATTATCCAGTGAGGAACTTTCCAACCAATCAATAACCAGCTGAGCTTGTCGTATCCATGGCGTCTTCTCAAATAATTCATCAATAATCATCTCGTCACTCTTATTGTCAATCTGAAATAATTCATCAAATAAAATAGGGTTTAACGTCATTCCTTTCTTGGGGGATCACGTGGCTAAGTAGGTAAGACGCTGGCTCGCTAGCCTGGAGGTCGCTTGTTCTATCCCTGCATTGGCCGAGAAAGTTCATCCAGATTTTCCAACGTGGTTTCCCCTTGTCAGTGATGCAGGATGGAGGGCCTGACAAGGACAGCTGTCTAGTCGTTCAGATGGGACGAAAAACCGAGGTGCACATAAAAGATCCTTTGGCAGTTGGAATTTGATATAAGAGTAGGCGATAGTGAAGCTGCCCGGGCAAAATTTCCCTCATAGCACACTGTATGGTGTATGCCCGTCTTCATTAGCCCAGTATAGGAGCAGAACAGTAGGACGTTAAACCCCATTTCATTTCATTTCAATTCATAAAGTAAGGGCCTTGAAGTTGGCCTTCTCAAATAGATCTAACCAGAGGGAGACAGCTATAAAGGGGGAGATAACTATAAGGAGGGAGACAGCTATAAGGAGGCAGACCACCATTAAATTTCACCATTTCGGTACCCACAAATTGTAGTTCGTCTATTTATAGCAATTCTCTTCCTGTCTCTTTTCCCCCCTTTTGCGTGCCCTTTTTTGTTGATTTTTTGGTCTAGAATGGATGAAGAGGGTTTGAATTAACATTTTCTGCCAGGTTTTGTTAAATATTCATGATTTTGAGGTGGAAGGATAACGGGGTTATCAGTTTGGCTACGGTGATATGTACGGCAACTAGTTACATGTTTTTAGTATGCTTCAAGTTTGTATACCTCAAAATTTTGGTGGTCAACCTCATACAAACTTTAGTGCAAAGACATGACCATTTGTTCCTCTGTCTGTAGTGAGAAGCATTCAGCCCAACGAAAATTTGTGGAAAAGTTGGAGGTGGGCAAAGGGAACAGAATTAACATTGAAGTCAATGGGGAAATTAATGGTGGTCTGCCTCCATAAAGTGATGATGATGAGTTAGTTGTATTTTACGTCCGCTTCCACCGAAGTGATATCGCAGACAATCACGTGGTTTTTTTTTAGTCGTCGTCGTCGTCGTCATCGAATGTGCTATTGTTGCTGATTATACTGTGGTGGATATTAATATCATAACTTATGTCGCGAGGTGTTGACGTAGAGGGATGGTAGCTGCATTCTTGTATTTCAATATTACTTTCGTTTATCTTTAATGGAGGGGGTCTTGGTTTAGTAAATTCAAAGTCTGATTTTTCTGATGTTGATCTGGCTCCATCCTCTCTTCTTCTTTTTGGAGCTTTTGGTTCGACTGGTGGAGACTGGGTTACTGGTGGTTTATTTTCTGGAACTGTTGACTTGCTGTTTTGTACTGTCTTTACTGTGGTTGGTGGGACTGTTGGGATTATTGGAGCTGTCTTCTTTTTCTTGTCTTTTTCAGGGGCCCGGAGAGGGCATTCTCTTCTTGAATGGCCAAACTTCTCGCATCTGAAGCATGGAGAAGGTTGGCCTGGTGTTACTACTCGTACTTTGGCATCTCCGTAATGTGCTTTTAATACTATTACTTGGGGTATATCTTTGAATTTCTTGTTCTGGATCTCTATTTCCACTTCTCTTATTCTTTTGTAGACATGGGTGCCCGGCAGTTGTTGGTCTTTGAATGTTCTCACATGGCCGATGTCACCCATAATTTCTAGGAAGTAATCATCGGAGTATGATACAGGGAAGTCGTAGACTGTAAGGGTGACTACTTTGGTAAAACGTTTGTGGAACTGATATGTTATCCCCATGTGCGTGTGTTTCCCTTTATCGAGGAGTTTACTTTTTACTTCTTTCGTTCTTACATGGATGTGCCACTCGTCTTCTTTTAGGTAGATTGTTAATATATCTTCCCACTTGCCGAGTAGGTCGATCAGGCACTTCAAGATTCCCCTGTCGGTTAATCTCTCCGTGCTGCTGACCGCCACGTGGTATGATATGCGGCTTGTCTCTTCTTCTGGCACTTGGTAGGTTTTTACTATCGGGTCCATGGTGAATGGGTAACTGGAAGACTGGAAAAACTGGAAGACTGGGTAACTGGAACACTGGATAACTGGAACACTGGAACACTGGATAACTGGAACACTGGATCACTGGAGCAGCAGGTGTTAACAGGGCGAACGCTAATTAAAGGGGGGAGATAACTATAAGGAGGGAGACAGCTATAAAGGGGAGATAACTACAAAGACAAACCTTTCCTGGAGTATCTAGTACCATCTTTTCTTCATGTGGAGAATCGTGATCTGATAATCTATCTTTATAAAGAGATCGTAATAACTGCCACGTACATTTCTCACTGTATAATAACTCTAACGTATCATACGTCTTCTTTAATCTATAACAATAAATAATCCCATCATCAATTCAATACTTACATCACAAAGAGAGAGAGAGAGAGAGAGAGAGAGAGAGAGAGAGAGAGAGAGAGAGAGAGAGAGAGAAGGGGGGCTTGCTTGATCATCAGTCCCGAAATTGACAGAATTGCAATCGAGTAACACGAAATTCAGTCCCGTCACAGTTCTGTCAGTCCCGCCAACTGAGGTGGTGTGAGTAGAATCGTGACGTAATTAAACACAACGAATGTGTTTCAGCTGCATGGTTGGTTGAAATATTTACTTATCCAGTCGACGCCCTCAATCCTGCACCACTGACAAAGGGAAACCAATTCGGCGGAGCTAATGAAGACGGGTCATCATATAAACGTTCTGGTAAAATGGATGGAATGGAGCTTAACATCAACACAACATATCGGCCATTTTGAGATTAACATTTCTAATTTTATTTCTTTGGCCTACTCTAAATTGAATTCCAAAATATAAATGGATTCTTTAACATGCACTCCAGTCATTTCTTTGTTCTATGCTTGATAGAATTCTAACAGTAAAGGGCCCCCATGGTGTACTCCCAGAGGTCAATGAATAATTCCTTCTAAAGCAACCTCATAAATAAAACTTACTTTTGTTGTGTATTTCTCGTTGTTCTGTTAACAAGTTTTTTAAGGAGAAGAACTTGGTCCGTACAAACTGTTTCACAATCTGACATTAGTTCAAACACCTGCATATTGGATGGGTTTGATTTAATACACTCGTAAAAATCACGATATACACCTGATGATGCTGTAAATATACAAATATAGTAGAATTATCTACGACCCCAGTTCCATGAAATATAGTTTATAAGACATCTTTCAGCATCTGGTAAATAGAAATATCTACAACACCAGGCAATCGAAAACCATGCCAGCTGACTCAATGACAGACCTTATGATACAACGCGCACTTGCCAACCATTCGCCCATCCAAACCCTCATGCTTCAAAGAGACACAGAACTACTATACGGTCCTTAAATAAACTTCACAGTCCCTTAAATAGTTCATAATCAATTGAATTTTGAACAGTGATCAGGAAATTTAATGCTCGTAAATTGGACACTCATTATTAAAATTGAAGGGTAAGCTTTAAACAAGTCAAAGTGTGGTATATCAGTATATATAATGGTGATACAAGTGTGGTATATCAGTATATTGAATGGTTATATAAGTGTGGTTTATCAGTATATATAATGGTGATACAAGTGGGGTATATCAATATATAGAATGGTGATCCAAGTGTGGTATATCAGTATATATAATGGTTATACAAGTGTGGTATATCAGTATATATAATGGTGATACAAGTGTGGTATATCAGTATATAGAATGGTGATACAAGTGTGGTATATCAGTATATAGAATGGTGATACAAGTGTGGTATATCAGTATATAGAATGGTGATATAAGTGTGGTATATCAGTATATAGAATGGTGATATAAGTGGGGTATATCAGTATATATAATGGTATTAATAGTTTCAAGGTCCTCCATAGATGAAACTAGATAAACTTCTTTGCCAATACAAAGATCAAACTTAGTATGTTAGAGAGAAAGGTGATATTTTTACCTGCTAATCCGGGATCATCTTCAATCAGTAGAGAAACATTGGTAGTTGTTATATCTTCGGCCAGCTGGAAATAATAAATAAAATATTCTAATATCTATCCGTTCATTTCACTTCGATGGGTTTGGTTTAAATCTCAGCATTGGCCAAGACGATTCTCATTTTAAGGGAATTTAGCCTGGACAGGGGCAGTGGCAAATCATGAGGTACTTTCTCTGGTAAAACCAGGAACTTTGTGATCAGTGATCCACTGTGGCCCGTCGTCTGTGACACAGCGAAAACTTTCCCAGTTAACACCATGATTGAATTCAGGACTTCATGGTTAGTGAGCCAACACAATTCTCACTAAGTGTCTGTGGCACCGGTAATATTTATAACAATAACTTACCAGTTTCACCACACCACCGTTACATTTATAACAATAACTTATCAGTCTCACAAAGCCACCGTGATATTTATAGCAATAACTTACCAGTCTCGCCAAGCCACTTGTGATATTTATAACAATAACTTACCATTGAATTGAGTTGTGAATGATGACCTTGAGACATGTAGTTAGTGATCATACTCTCACTCTGTAAAATAAATAAATTAAAAGTATAAAACCATAGCTAGGGGCGTCGTCAACTAAGCTATAATACACCACCAGCATGTCATCCATACTACAACTAAAACTAGAGTGAACAAATCCAAGGGAGCAAGTTTTAAAATATTTTAAACAGAGCGGAGTCACCTTCGTGCACCACTGACTTGATTGATAACAATCACAATCAACTTGATGGATAACAATCACAATCAACTTTATGGATAACAATCACAATCAACTTTATGGATAACAATCACAATCAACTTTAATAATACATCGTTTCATTAAGTATTCTCTGGTTGTTATCAAGACCAAGGTAAACAATACATGTATGACGTTCGGCAATATTTAGCTTAAGGCCACTAACACTAACTAGGAGTTCTAGGGTGTAATCCCTATTTTGGTCTAGAACGTCCAGTCCGATCTTCCCTTGTCAGTGGTGCAGCACAGGGACGAAAAATGGAGAGAGAGAAATGGGGTTTAACTTCAATAATTTGCTTGTGCGGAAGGGTCTTTAGCAGTGGGAGGAAACCATTGAACCCGGAGGAGACCCACATGGTTGGACAGGCAACCCTACTCCATGTCACGTACAACCGGGGAATCGAAACCAAGTAAGCTGACTCAATGACAGACCTTTTGATACAGCGCACACGTGCTATCTAATCGGCCATCCAACCCCCTGACGAAAAATGGAGGTAGGCTTACTGTGTATACATCCAAAGTAGGATGTTATATCGTCATGAAAACATTTGGATGTTAAAAACTGACCTGTAAGCCATATCCACCAGGTGATGCACCAATAGCTGATAAATCAAATTTAGGACCTGGTATAGGAGAAGCATATTTAGGTGTAACTGAAAAATATAAATTAATCAAATTCCTGAACAGCAAACCTGTAAATAAGACGTTACTAATAGACACTGTCAGGCTCATAAAATAACCAGTTTCTGAAGAGTACTATGGTATACTCATTTTGTTATATTATATGATTTTCATTGGACAAACTGCTTGATTTGATGATATATTTGGTACCCAGTTAGTGATACCCTGACATTTTTGCCCAGTGCTTGCCCCATGAATGTTTTTCGGGTAATCCAGTACTTTTCTAGTAAGATTGAGTGTCTATACTTTCCATATATACCAAATTTGTCAGACTTTTATATAGGAAATAACTACCTGATAAATACTTTCGGGATCATGTATCTTTAAAGTTCACTAATTTTCACAATATACTATTGGTAATTCACTTATTTCTCTACAATCTCGCGCAATGAAATGGGGTTTAACGTCCTACTGTTCTGCTCCAACTGGGCTAATGAAGACGGGCATACGCTATACAGTGTGCTATGAGGGAAATTTTGCCCAGGCAGCGGCACTCTCGAGTACTCTTATATCAAACTGCAACTGCCAAAGGATCTTTTATGTGCACCACGCCAGAAAATCCTGATGAACTTTCTCTGCCAATGCAGGGATCAAACACCCGACCTCCAGGCTAGCCAGCCAACATCTTACCCACTTAGCCTTCGTGGCTCCCTACTCTCTCACGAATAAATCCTCCGAGTCTGAATCGTCATTGAGTTAATTAGTAGAAAACCAGAATTTTATTACGCCAAATTCCGTGCAATATGATTAATGTTTTAAATCCCCCCCCCAACGAAATTGCTAGTCAGTTTGCTTCATATATATATAAGTGTCTCCAAGAAAGAGCATCAGAGTTACTTGTTAACCAACACCCCAGTTCAATATAATATGTTTATTATACTAATACTTACGGTAGAAATAGTTTGTTTACTTTTCAGGCTAGTTTAGATAATTTTCGTTTTAGCTCTATACTGATTTTCATTATACAGACCATCTTTTGATGTTTATAGTCTTATTATATAACATTGTACATCCATAAAGGATCACCTCAGATGTTATGTTATAATTGTATGATCAACGTTTGTTTAAACTGTGTATGCCGTTCTTGCTGGATGCAATGATACAATAAAATCTTATCTTATCTATATAACAGATCCATTATGTAAAGATCTCAGGTTTAAATTTGCCTTTTGCTGTTCTATAAATTAGGCCTAAATATCAATTGCAATGTGACAAGAATATGAATTTTTTTTTTATTGAAATCTTGATCATGGGAATTAAAAATTGTTGATGTTAAAAACTTACAGGACGTATTTCGTAGAATACCGGATTTTGGCGTCTGCTGAAATCTCTGGGAATAAACAGGGGAACTAACTGCTTCATCTAAAAGTTTCAAAGCTGTGACAAGGTCAAAGAAATTACATATAACAAGAACGTAGCACAATGATTCTATAGAAATATTAACACTGCTTTTTTTTTCTTTGTGTAAACAATGTTTTATTTCAATTGCAATGGAAATGGATCAGGGAACAAGCATAGCCTATATTACCCCTCACCCTTCCCTATCAAAGTTTTCAGGAGCCATTGCACAGAGGGGTGCAATTCTTTTTTACTTGTACACCAAACACACAGTACGTCCATGTAAACAGGGAATGCACTTTGACATTAAATGAGCAAGTATCATAAGATAGGAAAAGTAAATCATAATAGTTCCTATTCATCATAGCAAAACATAGTACAGGAAGTACAGTACTGCGTGATACAGTTTGTAATGAAATGAAATGGGGTTTAAAGTCCTATTGTTCTGCTCCAACTGGGCTAGTGCTCGAAACGTTGAATGAATAAAATGGGATTACGTGCCGATTTCCATAACCGATTGGGTTAATGAAATTAAATGAAATGGGGTTTAACGTCCTACTGTTCTGCTCCAACTGGGATAATGAAGACGGGTAGTGTGCCATGAGGGAATTTTGCCCGGGCAGAGGCACTATGGCTTACTCTTATATCCAATTCCAACTGCCAAGGGGTCTTTTACGTGCAGATACAGTTTGTGAGAAAAGGATACACTTTTGGAAATTAGGTTTCGGAAGAGTTGACGTCTGTTGTTGTTGTTCTTTTTGCTTGTCATCAAATAAACTGTCCAATTTCTACAAGACAAGAAAAACAAACAATGACAGCAGATATTATTCAAGTAAGAATAAAATTATTTGCGAACACATGTTGGAGAATTTTTTTCTTTTAATTTTATGACAACATTTCGATTTTTGCGATCTGTATAGAAGCAACGGTTGAGAATTGACGCAAAATTAAAATAAAAATTTGTCCTGGTTAATGGTTATGCCAGTCCAAAGAAATTAGAAAATTATCTCTTAATCAACCAAAGTTCAGACAGTTGTAAATTACAAATTGAGCACTTTTTAGGTATCATAATCAAAAAACCTTCTGGGGAAATGTAAACTTCTCCATCGTGGACTCAATTTAGTGTTTATTCTCAAATATTCCCCTTTCTACTTTCAATATAATCATTCCCGCTTCAGTTTATCACTTTCACTTCAGCAGTTACGCAAATTTGAACCTGGAAATAAATCTCAACGAAATTCGTATCAAATATCATATTTATTAATCATCTATACACATTACTATATATCTATTGATTCAAGCCTATTTTGTCGACTCCTTAAAATGACAGTGAATAAGAAGATGAGGGAAAATAGAAAATATTATTTATTTACTTCCAAAGCATTTCGTTTCTTCTCCGCTACTAAATTTTGATTTTTGGTAAATATAAAAATGGCGTCCTCCAAGAAGAAGCGTGCTGAAACTGAAATCGAAGAAAATAATGAAATGATCGACGATGACCCCGTTTCTGACGGTGGCGGTTCAGACGAGGAATTGATGGACCAGGTAGCTTTAATATTTAATAAGGTTGATGGTCGCCTAACGGCTGTTAGTCCTGTCTATTGAATTCAAATTTCGGCCGTGATGAAATTGTAAACAAAGGAAAGATAACTCTGCTGGACTTGATTAAAATTTTACTTTGAAGGATCTAAATCGCATTGATTTAGTCATAAATAAAGTATTGAATTTGATTCAAGTAACTTTTACTCTATTTCACTGAAGAAGAGATCATCCTGAACTTAATCTTAGCCCACCAGACTGTTGTCAGTGCAAATATTAGTTGGATTTAGATGCACTGTGTAGGTGATCACGGTGGCTAAGTGGGTAAGACGCTGGCTCGCTAGCCAAGCCTGGAGGTCGGGTGTTCGATCCCTGCATTGGCCGAGAAAGTTCATCCAGATTTTCCAGCATGGATCACCCTTGTCAGTGATGCAAGACAGAGGGCCTGATAAGGACAGCTGTCTAGTCATTCGTATGGAATGAAAACCTGAGGTTCTGACGTACCGTGTACATATTGGCGTGCACATAAAAGATCCCTTGACGGTTGGAATTTGATATAAGAGTAGGCCATAGTGCCGCTGTCCGGGCAAAATTTCATTCATAGCACACTGTATGGCGTATGCCCGTCTTTATTAGCCCAGTTCGGAGCAAAACAGTAGGACGTTAAACCCCATTTCATTTCAGATGCACTGTAGTTTATAGGCGTGCTTTGATTTGAATAAAAATATGTACATGTAAATGACAGGTATCAGGTCCGTTTGACATGTGACATCCTTCGAAATAAGAAACCTTCAAAATAACGTCAAAAACAACTCTAGAAGAACATTGGAAGTTATTGTTTCTCTGTTCAAAATGGTTAAATTGTTGTTGTTTTTTACGTGAGTCACTCGCTATTGTATAAATATGTTTCTTTTTCTCAACTATTACATATATTATAGGAGATGGAAGTAGAATTTGAAGCAAGAATTCCACAAGATTCAGATTTCCATGGTATTAAGACTCTTCTCAAACAGGTAGGCTAATTGCAGTATAAAACATGTTGTCAGTGGTTACACAGGATTACAGGATACCCTTACTGAAACACCTTATATTGTACGTAAATTAATTGAAAGCTTACTTAAAGGGCATTATGGGAGATCAGATAAAGCGCTACAAGTTCTCGGTATAATAGTTCAAAAATAGATAACGTGAAGAGAATATGCTGAAAATTCCAGTCAAATTGATCCACTCTATTCTGAACCAATTTAGTACCGATTGAATTTTAGGTCAAGTCTTGATTATAATTACTAAAGTCGGTACGATAAAAAAACAAGTCTCAGTTATCCATTTTGGCGTGAAATCATCCATCACAAAATGTATTTAAATCCAGTAAATATCTCAGACTAGCCAAAGACCTGCAATAGTCAGATTTAGCTCTTGCATAATGCCTGTTTAATTGACTTTTCCCAATTGTATTAGAATTGGAGGAGCCATATGATTTTTTATGAAGAGAATCGCCATACGATGGTTCAAAAATTTAGAAATGTCGGTATGTTGTAGGTCTAATGTTTTGTGCACAACTTTAAATAGATAAGCCATAGAAAGATCAGAGATGTGAATTTGTTAAGGTAGATTACCCAGGTGTAAAATTTGCATCAAGGGAGACTTAGAGAGAAAAAATCATGGTTAAAATGTGGGATTAACGTCTATTTACATGTTGGAAGATGGGTACCCTTTATTCTTTTTCAAACGAGGGGGTGAGGTGGGTTGGGTGGCGTATCGTAAGGTCTGGTGCCGTATCGTAAGATCTGTCATTGAGTCAAGCAATCTAATTAAAATACAGATCTTTATTTCGTTTCGTTTTTTTATACTTTCGATGGCCTACACTACATGAAGATCTAACAAGTTATAGCGATAAGTCACGTCAGGGGTCAAAAGACCGACTTATGACGTCAGACATTTGATTAACCAATCAGCATTGATGTTACTAGTGGATTACCCACAGTTCCGTGCAAAACACACCTAAAGCTCGTCGTGACAGACCGTTTCACTGGCTTATAATTGACACCATTCAGAACACGAGTTAAATAACAACTCTTCCAGATCCAAGTGTAGTAAAGACAAATAAAACAAAATTTTGAACTATGAAAACGAAACGAAATAGGATCTGTGTTTTAACCAGATTGTGAGTCAAGTGGCATGGTTTCCAGTCCAAGCATGTAGATGACAAGGCGTAGGGTCGACTGTTCAACCTCATAGATTTTCTTCAGGTCCTCCGGTTTCTTCCACCACTAAAGAACCTTACACGCTAAAGACCACTACACGTAAGCAAATTATTGAAATGACCTAGTTTGTGTCGAGTGAACTTTAAACTCTCTCTCTCTCTCTCTCTCCCTCTCTCTCTCTCTCTCTCTCTCTCTCTCTCTCTCTCTCTCTCTCTCTCTCTCCACTTTAAACAACATGTATATATGAACGACCTTATAACACCAACGTCACCGAGTATGTTTTATTCTTTATGTCAAGTTTACTCAGTACAAATCATTTTTCAAATGACATACATTGTAAGCTCTCTTTTTTCAAATGAATGTAAGGTAACAAACTATGCTGAGATGAGATAAATTTGAATTATATTTTATGTTTTACAGTTATTCCTGAAGGCCAACATTAATTTATCAGAATTAGCTAATACCATAATATCGCAGAATTACGTTGGTAATGTTATAAAGGTAATTATTAATATAAAATCTTACCTGTGTGAGGTGGGGTGGGGGGGAATGGTGGCTCAGAATTACGTTGGTAATGGTATAAGGTATGTGTTACCATAAGGTCTTACCTGTGTGAGGTGGGGTGGGGTGAGGGGGGGCGCGGTGGCACAGAATTACGTTGGTAATGTTATAAAGGTAAGTATAAATATAAGATGTTACCTGTGTGAGGTAGGGTGGGGGGCACAGTGGCACAGAATTACGTTGGTAATGTCATAAAGGTAAGTATTAACATAAGGCCTTACCTGTGTGAGGTGCGGTGGGGGTCGGTGGCTCAGTGAGTTTGACATTGGCTCACTAATCTGGAAGTCCCGTATTCAATCCTCATGTTGGCCGAGAATGTTCATCACGATTTCCGATGGTCCCCCCTTGTCAGTGATGTAAGACGCAGGGCCTGGCAAGAGAAAATGTATAGTTGTTCGGATACAAAAAAAAAATGTTTTCCAATGATTAAACAGTTTGTTCGGACAGCGGTTGACCCAACGACTTTGTTATATGAGTTTCATGAAACTGGAAATAGTAGTCAGTGCAACACCACCAAGTAACTAGACCTATTTCATCTCTGAATTGACATGCCCTTGCGCGGCCCTAGTATAGCCACCAGGCACCAACTCTGGACAAATGGCATGACCTGCCCTAGTATAGCTACCGAACCCGGACCCTATCGCGACCCTAGTATAACCACCAAACCCAGGCAGATGGCTTGATCTGTACCCCTAGTATAGCCACCACCCCCGGACCCTATCAGTTCCCCAAATATAGCCACCAGCCCCGAACCCTATCAGTACCCCTAGTATAGCCACCACCCCCGGACCCTATCAGTGCCCGAAGTATAGCCACCAGCCCTGAACCTTATCAGTACCCCAAGTATAGCCACCAGCCCCGGACCCTATCAGTACCCCTAGTATAGCCACCACCCCCGGACCCTATCAGTGCCCCAAGTATAGCCACCAGCCCTGAACCTTATCAGTACCCCTAGTATAGCGACCAGCCCGGACCCTATCAGTACCCCTAGTATAGCCACCAGCCCCAGAAAGATATAGATATATAAATTATATATTTCAGCAATTAAATGATGTAGATGATGATAGTGAAGATGATTTTGATGATGGGGATCCTGTGTTTGGTGTCATGTCAGTTATAAATCTCACAGAAAGAAAGGTTTGTTACAATCTGACTGGATGATCAATCTTTCCTCACGTCTGTCTGTTTGGCTGGATAATCAATCTTTCCTCATGTTGATCTGTTAGGCTAGATCAGTGGTTCTCAATCTTTTTTTTGCCAACGGCACACCTTAGAACAGATGAAAAAATAGCGGCACACCTGGCTAAATCTATATATGAAAAATATTTGAATTTTGTAAAATAAAATCATGGCAAGTCAGACGGCATACACCCATAGACAGAGACTAGTCATAGAATGACTCAAAATAAATAAAGAAAAATACAGCTTATCAGTAGACACCAGTGAATGCATGTACTCAATTAAGATCATGTGGTTTTTCACATTTTCTTAGTGTGCCATTCAAAATTCTGCGGCACATTTAGGAAGATACACGGCACACGGGTTGAGAATCACTGGGCTGGATAATCAATCTTTCCTCACGTTGATCTGTTTGACTGGATAGTTTGTGAAAAGACACTATGTCTCATAGTTGATATAAACAATGTAATTTTACAACCTCTGTGGTTACGATAGAATAGTATTATCTTAGAGTTGCATTATGTAAGAGCTAAATCTACCTGTTGACAGTCTTACTTTGGTAAACCAACAAACGACTGTTTCATGAATTTCTAATTGATATTTTGTTGATAGATTTAGTTAAACATACATTATGCATGAGCTAAATCTGCCTATTGCAAGTCTTTATCTAGGCTTCAGATGTTATAGAAATTATTAATTAGAGCTTTATTTACACGACAAGCTCAAAATCAACTCTGTAGACCCTCAGATGGCTTGGATACAGCTTGGATTGAAACAGGCGTCCATTTAAAATTAAATCAATAAATAGCGGACCAAGCTAACGTTTACCGTTAGTCACTGACGTCACTACCAGAGACTGGCAATGAAAGGCCTGCCACGCGAGGGTACCATAGCTATTGAGAATGTAACTTGATAAGTTCTCGTAGACAGTGCAGACACAATTGATGCCTATTTCTAGTCCAAACTTCCAACAGTGACATCTCCATTCAGAATAAAGTAATTTGAATGAAATTTTTAATATTTTCTCTTTTTATCATCTATATTTGAATTATTATAGTAAGAATGGCCAACTCTTTATAAAACTCTTTAACTAATTTATCTTTAACATTAGTTTTGTATTTCTTATATTTTGTAGAAAGATTTAGTTAATATTAGTTTTGTATTTTGTAGAAAGATTTAGAATGTGTAAAAGAGATTATATCATATTTAGTTGATAAATGTCGGACAAGTAATCTCGGAGAAGATGGAAATAAAATAATTGATATCGTTAACAGTGAAGATGTTCAAGTCGGGTTTCTCATCAGTGAAAGATTTTTAAATATACCAATAGAAATAGCAGCACCATCATATGAATCTTTACGGTAAGCTTTTAAAAATAATGTCTTCCAATCTTTACGTAAACTTGTATTAAAACTAAGCTGTATTAAAACTAATGTCTTCCAATCTTTATGGTAAACTTGTATTAAAACTAATGTCTTCCAATCTTTATGGTAAACTTGTATTAAAGTAGCTAAGTCTCTAACTCAATATCATCCAAAATCTTCGACATTGAAAACACGAATTATTTGTCAATTTAAATCAACATTGATGTTGTGATCTTACCGGGAAAAGATGGGCTTCTGATATCCAATATTTAACACAAAATAAACATTTTACCAATGGTACACGAATTGTGTACCATAATATGTTTTAGGCCTATTCTAACAAGAAGAAGCCCATTCGGGAGAGTATGCGCAATAAATACTATGTAGACTAGAATAACCAGACGCTAGAAATTTTGATTCGATTGAGACTTCAGACATATTTCGCCGAATGTAACCGATTTGAAATTAGAGTAAAAATGGAAACGATTGAATGTAAATCAGTTTATATATATTCCTATTACATTATTATATGCGTTACGACCCATTTGTGTCAATTTCTAGGTACCAAACATTAGCGATTTAGCTCCTTTAAAACTAATGTCTTCCAATCTTTACGGTAAGATTGAATTAATTTGAATTAGTTTGAATAAGAGTAATCCTCACTCTCATACTGAACAAGTATTTTGTTGTGAAGACTTTAACTCTCATTCCATTATATGCTTTATTGTGTTGGCAGGGGAGTTGTGGTGGTTCTGTTAGCAAAGGTTGGCTCTCTAACCAGTTCTTGGGTTTACTCTGGTGATGGCTGAGAAACTTCCTCACGATTTTCCGGCGTTGTTTCAACATGTCAGTGATGCAGGACGGAGAGCCAGACAAGGACAGTGTCTAGTTTTTAGGATAAGACAAAAAAACAGTGTTCTATGTACACATTGGCTTGCATGTAAAAGAACCCATGAAATACAAAATAAGAGGCCATACTAATGTGTACACTCACACAGTGCCAAGTTCCGGTCAAAATTTCCCTCATAACAAACTCTACGATATATGTCCGCCTTCATTAGCCCAGTTGGAGCAGAACAGTAGGACGTTAAACCCCAGTTCATTTCATTTATTGACTTGGATAATCTACCATTTGATTCAGGATATATTGTGTTTTTATATTTACAGGAAAGATATGATGAAAGCTGTGAATAAGAAGATGAAATATGATTTTGGTTATTATATTTTAATCAGTAAATCGTATCGAGCTAAGATGGAGGCATCCGGGGATGGGGGGAATAAATTAGGCAATCAGTTGTTTTATAGTAATCCAGAAGATGAAATATTATCAGAGGTTAGTTCTAGTTCTTCTTCTAATATCGGAAAATCTTAACAAGGCTCGTCTCTTTCGATCAGTCGTCATTGATTTTAAGCCTTGTGGGGGTCACTGAGAAAGTTCATCCGGGATGGTTTCCCCTTGTCAGGGGTACAGGACGTGCACATAAAAGATCATAATCAGAAGTCAGATTAAGAGTAGGCTGTAGTACCACTGTCAGGGCAAAATGTCCCTCATAGCACACTGCATGGCGTATGCCCGTCTTCATAGCCCAGTCGGAGCAGAACAGTAGGATGTTAAACCCCATTTCAGATAGAACAGTAGGGCGTTAAGTGTATATTTGTTCTAGCCTGTAGTTAAGCGTATCTTGTAGTTAAGTGTTTAATTGTTCCATCTTGTAGTTAAGTTCTTGTAGTTAAGGGAATATTTGTTCTATCTTGTAGTTTAGTGTGTATTTGTTCTATCTTGTAGTTAAGTGATATAAAAGTGAGTTACAGTGTGGCAGCTGATCGAGATGATGTAGTCAGTGGTAGCTGGGATGACGAGGACAGTATGGAGGCCATGAGAACAGTCATGGTGTTTACAGCTGATAAATATGACTCGATTATACAAACTTTAAAAACACAACTTGGGCAGACGTAAAATAAAATCAGTTTTATGAATAATGTTCATGTTTTCTTGCTCTGTTGTTTATGATTAGTTGAGCTGCAGGAGATGAAATACGTTTAACTAGGTTTACTACCCAACTGAGAAAGTACTTCTAGATTTACAGTTGTAGAGTGAAATGGGGTTTAAGTTTACTCAACACAAACTAACACGAAATTGGACAGGCGACCCTACTCCTTGTCACGTACAAACCTGGGATTCGAAACCACGCCAGTTGACTCAATGACAGACCTTATGATACAGCGCGCACATGCTAACCATTTGGCCATCCAACGCCGCCCCCGCCCACCCCCCTCCCTCATCAGGCAGCTGGACAGAGGGCATGGTAAGGGACAGTGTCTAGTCCTTTTGACGAGAGAAAATAACCGAGGTCGAGTGTTAATGTTGACATACACGTAAACGAACCCTTGAGAAATGAAATGAAATGAAATGGGGTTTAACGTCCTACTGTTCTGCTCCTAAACTGGGCTAATGAAGACGGGCATACGCCATACAGTGTGGTATGAGGGAAATTTTGCACGGGCAGCGGCGCTACGGCCTACTCTTATATCGAATTCCAACTGTCAGGGGATCTTTTACGTGCATTCCAATATATACACGGGACCTCGGTTTTCCGTCCCATCTGAATGACAAGACAGCTGTCCTTGTCAGGCCCTCTGCCCTGCATCACTGAAAAGGGGGGAAATCTGGATGAACTTTCTCGGCCAATGCAGGGATTGAACACCCGACCTCCAGGCTAGCGAGCCAGCGCCTTACCCACTTAGCCACGTGATCCCCTGGAGAACCCTTGAGAGATGGAATTCAAAATAAGAGAAGGCCGTAGCACCATATTCCGGGAAGAATTTCCCTCATGTTACTCCCCCGTCCCCCCCCCCCTTTAAATTGGATATCCAGCTGTCAACTGTTCTCTTACATGGACGCTAATGTGTACACACAAATAGACCAATACGATTGACTATGTAACAATAGACCAATATGATTGACTATGTAACAATAGACCAATATGATTGACTATGTAACAATATCTAAAACAAGTGAGATCCTGGCTTTAGAAATCCCTATGGTTCTCCTCTACCCACGCCAGGATTCAGATCCTGTGATATTCTGGTTGAGAATCCAATGTTATACTGGTCAACAAGTCTGACATTCCACTACCAGAGGAAAACTAGCTCCGAGAGAGAGAGGTCATTTTATGGACTAACATCTGGTTCAATTTTATTTGCCTAGCAGCTTGAGGCAACCCTACTCTTTGCCACATTCAAGCTGGGAATCAAAACATCCCCAATTAACTCAATGACAGCCCCCCCATGCACACATTAACCAACTCCAACTAGACCCCCCTCCCCGTCTCCATTAAATGCAGATTTATTGGGTCCAAAAAAAGTGAGACTGACTGTCTTGCTTGTTTAAAAATGGTGGATAATATTAAATAATAACATCAGTGATATATAAAAGTTTTATTTCTTTCTGAATGATTTCCTCCCTTTAGTAAATTCAAAACTTCTCAAAGGATCGGCTTTCATTCTCTGAAAAAAAAAAGAGAAATCATTATTCAAATTCCTTTTCAAGGCTATTCAGAAATTATTTTTTATTATACGTTATACAATATCATTGTAAAAGAAATCTAATGGAATTTGATCTAGTTTTTTTGGGTTTTTTTGCTTCCTATGAAGTATTCTACTGAGATAAAATTAATGAAATTTAAATAAAGTAACTGATAAACAAACATATAATGATTTAAAATATTTATGTCGAAGTTCAGAGAAGAATTCACTTATATGTCAATTCCAGGGAAACTGGAAAAGGAAAGTGAGGTGCATCAATATAAGCAGATGCGAAACCTTAAACGTGAAGGAGAGAGATAAAGAGAAATGGGGTTCAACGTCACAAACTAGGTCATTTTGGAACTAACATATGTTCCATTTTATTTTAATAATTCACTTACACTAGGGGTCTTCAGCAGTGGGGAGGCCCAGAAAAAACCCATGAGGTCGGACAGGCGACCCCACTCCTTGTCACGTACAACAAGGGAAATCGAAAGCTCGCCAGTTGACTCAATGACAGACCTTATGATACAACGCACACGCGCTAACGATTCAGCCATCCAAACCCTCTTAAACATGAAGGACTGAAGGACATAAGATTGTTGAATGAAAACAAACTGGATACCAACCTGATATCGTTTCTGTGCGTGTGATCGTGTACTGGCGTAAGGATGAACACTGGGATTATTCTGTCTTCTTAAACCACGATAACCTTGTAAACTTCTCGGTACTATAAAATACAATCAACCATAAAATTATTAACTTGTGAAAAATAATTTAAATATTATTGATAAATGTGTGTAAAGGTTCTTCCTTATTCCTCAATCAAAATGAAATGAAATGGGGTTTAACGTTCTACTGTTCTACTCCAACTGGGCTAATGAAGACAGACATATACAGACATGCCAACCTGAGGAGATTGAAAATCAGAATGCCTTGTATTGAGGGTAGAGCGAGGACGGCAGGTCCAAGTTCGATCGGTGCGAAGCACCCTAAACGCTGGAGGCGCCGGAGGCTTGAAGGGCGTGGGGTTTGGTTTGGGGCCCGCCTAAGGGCCCCAAGAAAATTTTGAGAAATTAGCATTAGCACCTATTTAAAGCAGTACCTTGTATTATTGGATAAAAACAGCTGGCGATTTAGGTCCATGCATCTGAGGTTTTTTTACCTATTTATATACGAAAGTATGCATATATGCATGTAGGTTTGAGCAGCTCAAGTGTTTTTTAGTTTCAAAATGTTTTTTAATGTCCGTAATACCACCGTAAGCAACACATAAATCACTCCTACAGACTAAACAAAATGCGAATTCGTCGCCTCTACGCGAGGACGTAATGGTTCCTGGAAATTCTTTGCCGTAAGTTTCCCGGTATTTTTGTCTGACATTTGTTTTGGCAGCCATTTTGTTTGTCTTGACGACCGACACGGAAGTAGAAGTCGTAAATTATTTATACTGGGTTTTATTTATTATTGTAATTTGTTTTTTTCACACATGGAAAACAGCTTGAAAACATTTTTTATCAAGTCAGAAGGAAATATGGCTAAGGAAGAAGCAACAACGTTACTGGCAACTAACGGTAAACCCGCCGTGTACTGTACGAGTGTATGCGAGAATGGCTCCGCATAGCAAATAATATCCGCGAAGTATGCAAATTAGGCACGGCCTATGACGAAATAACCACATGACATTTTAATCTTGATTAGTCCAGACATATTAGCTTATTCCATTTTATATTAATAATAATCGAGAAAACTGGAGACATGTTTTCGGCTATTTCCGTCGTTTTACCGCGAATTATGCAAATTAGACACGGCAAATGACGGAAATAACCACATGACATTTTGATCTTGATTAGTCCAGACATAATAGCTTATCCCATTTTATATTAATAATAATAAGGAAAACATGACACATGTTCTCGACTATTTTCGTTGTTTTACCGACTCATACTACGATAAACAGTATCGCCATCAGATTCACAACAAACAGCGAGAATGCCGAGACAGTCGTCAATGTAAAAATAAAACGAGAGGGATTTTATCAATCAAAAAGGTCAGGAATGAAATATAATAAATTTCTTCCAATAGATTTTAAAAAACGGAATTATAAAGAGTAAAATCGGAATTCAGAATTAGACTCAGAAAATCGGAATGATTCCAACAAAATCGGAATAGTTGGCATTTATGCATATACCATGCAGTGTGCTATGAGGGAATTTTGCCCGGGCTGTGGCACTATGGCCGATGAACTTTGCCTCAATGAACAATCTCAAGAAAAGTAAAATATCTCAACATAAAAAGTTTTTTTTATCGACTTAGCTGACCTATATAATCTGGAACATGTTTTATCATGTTATGTACTGACCTATATAATCTGGAACATGTTTTATCATGTTATGTACTGACCTGTATAATCTGGAACATGTTTTATCATGTTACGTACTGACCTATATAATCTGGAACATGTTTTATCATGTTACGTACTGACCTATATAATCTGGAGCATGTTTTATCATGTTACGTACTGACCTTTATAATCTGGAGCATGTTTTATCATATTATGTACTGACCTATATAATCTGGAACATGTTTTATCATGTTATATACTGACCTTTATAATCTGGTACATGTTTTATCATGTTATGTACTGACCTATATAATCTGGAACATGTTTTATCATGTTACGTACTGACCTATATAATCTGGAGCATGTTTTATCATGTTACGTACTGACCTTTATAATCTGGAACATGTTTTATCATGTTATGTACTGACCTATATAATCTGGAACATGTTTTAAATGTTATATACTGACCTATATAATCTGGAACATGTTTTAAATGTTCTTGTTGTTTAACTGTGCGTAGCGCTTTATCGTGACGTAAAACTTGTAAATCACGAGGATTATCTTCAAAATATGACTGAAAAATAAAACAAAACATTATATAATAATATGAACACCTGATACCACCTCTCATTTGAAACATCCACATAGCTAACACATACTGTTGTCTTTATACATTTAGACAAAACAATCATGACTCGTGCTTGCATTACACAATGGGTTCTTTAGGTTGTAATCCTAATTGTTTTCAAATTTGAGTGAAGTCTGTGTCACTACAGACTCAGGACTGTACAGCGCAGTGGACGCTTACGGCTAGCCCCCGGATTCATTCACTTTTTTTGAATTGTCTGTATGTTTGTGTTTTCCTGAGTATGATGTCCTGTCCGTGTATTTGTTTTTGTGTAAATTTTGTGTGGTGCAGTCCCCCTGCACTTACTATTAAAGATACAAAATGTAACAGTTAAATCTGCCTTTTGGCTTCAAATGTTATATAAATGTGACTGGTGATAGCAAAATGAGTCATAAGTCACAAAAGTTGATTTCTAATTTTACGTTAATTTGTGTCCGAGTGCAAAATTTTTCAAAATTTTGTTTTGACCATTTTCAAATACTTTATCATGTTAAAATTCATCCTGGCACACATTACTAGCAAGAAAACGTTGATAAAGGGTAGAAATGAAGCAATTAGTAACCAGTAGTTTACTCAAAGTAGGTCAACTTACTTGTAACAAAGCCATAATTGACCAATTTTGCGCGAAAATGTAGCCATTTTGCCGAAGGAAGCCCCACACGTAACCTATAACCTTTTGTTTTGGATTATTTTTGTGACAACATTTAACAGGAACATAAATAATAATTTAGACATTTATTAACATGACAAGCATTATCACGTGCAAGCTTGGTATTGAAACCAATGACAAACCCAATGACCTTATGATCTAAATCACACATGTCCAACCATTCTGCCACCCAACCTCTCCCTACATCGAACGAGAAGGCAATGTAATAAATTTATCCTATCTTACCTTGAGTTTTTGAGAAGAAAGCATTTCACTTTTTATTTCTTTTAATCTGGCCTCTTGTATAGCTTGATGTGTTACAGACATCATGGCATCCTACAATATAAAAACAATATTAGTCTAGTCATTCGGATAGGATAAAAAACAGAGGTCCAGTGTACACATTAAAGAGAGAGAAATGGGGTTTAACATCCACTTGACACAAACTAGGTATTTTTGGGACTAACATAGGGTTGAATTTTACTCAATAATTCACATGTGCATAGGGGTCTTTAGCAGTGGGAGGAAACCAGAGGACCCGAAGAAAACCCATGAAATTGAACAGGCGACTCTACTCCTTGTCACATACAACCTTAGAATCGAAACCACACCAGTTGATTCAATGACAGACCTTATGACACAGCGCGCATGTGCTAACCATTCGGCCCCCCTATCCTGTACACATTAAAGAACCCTTGATGATTGGAATACAAAATTAAGAGTAGGCGGTTTAAAAAAAAAAAAAGAAATTAAAAAGTATATTTAAACACATTTTCCGGCATCGTTTCCCCTTCCAGGACGGAGGCCCTGACAAGAACAGTGTGTAGTTGTTTGGATAGAGCAAAAAAAACAAGGTCCCGGGTACACCAATGTGTACATTGGCAACAGGAATTTGACATAAGAGTAGGCTGTAGTGCCGCTGTCCAGGAAAAATTTCCCTCATAGCACACTGTATGGTGTATGTCTGTCTTCATTAGCCCAGTCGGAGCAGTCAGCCGCTTGATAAAACAATAAACCATCCACTATAAATCAACAGGACATTCTACATGACAAGTTAGCAAGAATTTTTTTTTTTTGAATGGCAGTTTAATTATCCTTTTTCCTACCTGGACCTTTTACGGCCTAATTCAAAATGGAATAAGAACTCTGGTCCACTGTTTTCTTAGGCTGTGAAGGTTTACCCACAGTTGAGCGGTCCAACAGATCATTTGATTGGCTAATCCCTTACATCCCTGAGTACAAGGGTTATTTCAGTCTGTTTCACAGAGGAATTGTGAAACTCTGTATAAGATGGTTGCCTTCTAATGTGACGTCACATCAAGAGGCGTCGATCATTGGCCCAATGGCAATAGCATTGTTTACATAAGACGGTGAGCTTCAACTGGTTCGGGCAGAATGGTGCCTTTTACTCATTCTATATACCCATTTTCACTAAACAGGAAATATTTTTTATCTAGATATACTTCAAATAGCTTTTATTATTTATCTAAAACTTAAATATTCTAGAATTTAATTTGCAGAAGGAAAAAAGTTAATATTGTGAGCTAATTAAGTCACATCGATGTCACCCCTATCAGTGATTGTAGCAGCCTAGAGAATATTCACTGCTGATCAGTGTGGGGTTATTTAACAAACTCTTCGTGTAGTGAAGACAAGTAAATAGAATGTGTGTTTCAAGGAGATTATACAAACCTTTGCTCTGTATCTGAATCCTTCAATCTCGGCCATATTAAACTGATAGGGTTGAAATACTTTACCACCATCTAAAATATTCAAGTTGTACAGGTTATACACGAGTCATTCATACTAAATTCAACCAATTTTAATAATTTGTCACATTAAATAAAACACACTAATTTCTCAATTTAATGGGAGAGAGAGAGATGGGGTTTAACATCCACTCGACACAAACTAGGTCATTTCAGGACTAACATATGGTTTAATTTTTTATTTCAATAATGGCTTGCGCGTAGGTGTTTTTAGCAGTGGGAGGAAACCCAGAGGACCCAGAGAAAACCAACCCACAAGGTTGGACAGACGACCATACTCCTTGTCATGTACAACCGGGGATTCGAAACCACGACAGTTGACTCAATGACAGTCCTTATGATACAGCGCGCACATGCTAACCATTCGGCCATCCACCTGCCCCAGTTTAATGTGAGCTAAGTCTCTAACTCAATATCATCCAGAGTCTTCAACATTGAATTTAAATCAACATTGATGGACTTCTGAAATCCATATTTAAGACAAAATAAACATTTTACCATTGGTACACGAATTCAGGGCTGCCGACAACCAGTATCGCAGCGCAATTTGCGATACATATTTTGTCCGTTGCTAATCAAAAATTAAAATCTAAAGTTTTTGATTCGCAGTAACTGCGAATCATTAATATGCCTGTCATTTTGGATATTGACACAAGGATAATCCACATTTGAAGACTAGAAGGCTTTCTGAACACTTTCAACGTGTATAAAATGTTGAATAAAATTTTATAAACAAAATTGAATTCTCCGTGTGACATTTTTTTCTCGAACTACCCAGACACAATTCATTATACGGTACTATATAATACAGGGACATAACTCTATGAATAGGGAGTATTAAACCGGAAATAGGGAATCAAGTAGTACCACTCACGTTGCGAGACATCAAGTAATTATATTATATTCATTTTGAAAGAAATAAATCCAGTGTAAATCGAGGTGCGCCCGATTGAACAAAAATAGCAATACACGATAAAAAGCAGACGAAATTGTTTTCTAACGAAGATTTCTAACGTACAAAAAATAACAATTAAAATGATTGTGGCCTTGGAAGTCACTGTTAAGAATTGGATTCAGACGTAAGACCTAACTAAATTTCTACATCACATTCACAAACTGTCACAAGTACTTGTGGCAGTGCTAAAAAAATCTAAGAATATTAAGAATGGAATCTAATCATATTTGTTATGAACTAAAGTAATATCTTGTTATTTAGGTTTTTATGTTGAAACTGAAAAACTGCTAATCAATTTTTAAATTTGCTAATCAAATTTGGCAAAATTGGACTTTTTGATTAGCAGTGCTGCTAATCAACTGTGAAAAATTACCGACAGCCCTGCACGAATTGTGTACCATAATGCGTTTCAGCATCATTTGTAACAAGGGACTTAAAGAACGAGGCTAGACATATTAAGTGGCGGCGCCAGCCGTCGGTAGTTGGAGGGGCAAAGCTGGGGCAAAGTCCCAGGTTAAGGAGGCAAGGGCAAAAGCTTCACCTAGGGGTGGGGGGGGCTCCCCCAGAAAATTTTAAAAACCAGGTTGCTGGAAATGAAGCCTAGCAGTATTTCAGGCACCGATCGTTGAGTTAAAGTGTCAAACGAACGGAGTAGCGAACCTCGACGAAGCCCACTCACGAGAGTCAAGTAGGGAGTCCTTACGGAGGGTATGGGGGACCTCCCCCAGAAAATATTGAAAAATAGACTGCCGAAAATGCTGTCTGACAGTATTCAGTCCGGCACCGATTGTTGAGATAAATAGATCTGACCAGATACCGTCTGTCGCCGTGTCACTAGTTTATCCGATCATAGAACAAAATGTCAAACGACCTCCCCAAGAAAATTTTGAAAAATAGACTGTCGGAAATGCTCTACAAGATGCAAGTCTATGACTGAGTGGGGATGTGGGATTTATTCACCGTAGAAGGTATTGATTAACAAAATGTACCAAAACTACTTTTTTTTTTATTTTCTAAAATTATTTGGGGGCAAACAGAGGGCAGACCAGATTTATGGGGGGGAAAATGCCCCCCCCCCCCCCTTGCCCCCCTCTGGCGCCGCCACTGGACATATTCCACAAGTCATATCAAACAGTGATGCCATATTCTTATCTGGAACGCAATAAATACTATCAGTGTAGGGTGGAATAACCAGACGCTAGAGATTGCCATTCAATATAAGTGTAACAGAGTTGACCTGTGATTAATACAGATATAATATCATGGTATTAACAATGACTTCAATCTATACCTGTTTGTTCCGACAGTTCTTTCTCTACTGCCTCTAATAACGGCATTTCTTTTACACAAACAAATGATAGAGCTGTTCCCTTCTTATCACCACGAGCCGTTCTACAAGATATAAAATACAACACAATTAGTCATTCCCTTTTTATCACCAGGGGCCGTTCTAGAACACAATCAGTCATTCCCTTCTTATCGCCCGGGACTGTTCTAGAACACAATCAGTTATTCTCTAAAACCTTTACAGAAGGCAGTAGGACGTTATACCCCATTTCATTTCATTTCATTTCTTTACAGAAGGTTGATACAGGGAAAAACCACCTTAAAACATCAACAGTTGCTATGGGAGATATAGTCTGGAAGTATGTTAAACATCAACAGTTGCTATGGGAGATATAGTCTGGATGTATGTTAAACATCAACATTTGCTATGGGAGATATAGTCTGGATGTATGTTAAACATCAACAGTTGCTATGGGAGATATAGTCTGGATGTATGTTAAACATCAACAGTTGCTATGGGAGATATAGTCTGGAGGTATATAAAACATCAACAGTTGCTATGGGAGATATAGTCTGGAGGTATATAAAACATCAACAGTTGCTATGGGAGATATAGTCTGGATGTGTGTAAATGTCATGTTTTATGTCTTTATTAAATATGTTGATTAAATTATTACAATAAAACATCTATTTACTTACCTCCCAACTCGATGGATATAATTTTTCACAGTTTTAGGGAATTCAAAATTTATAACGTTAGAAATATTCTGAAAATCTATTCCTCGTGAGACACTGTATTCTTTATCTTTTTTGTTGCCTCTAAAATAAGAAAGTACAAAAATATTTCATTTGTTGCCTCTAAAACAACAAAAGTATTTCATTTATTGTCTCTAAATCTTATTGCCTCTAAAACAAAAATATTTCAATCGCTGTCTCTAAAATAACAAACAAAAAATTAAGTCATTGGATAAAATGTTTGTTAAACATATTTGCGGCATCCCAGAAAAATATGGCTCAATTTCTTGCTGGTCGGTTTCATCATATAGTAGCTTCCTGAACATAACACTGATCCGCCAACCAAGTTCCATTCCATTGTTCCACAGAATTTACCAATCTGTTTTTCCCTTGTCAGTGGTGCTTGACGGTGGATTGAAACCCTTGTCCGTGGCGCAGGACGGCAGATTGAAACGTTTCCAGGGATTGAGAGAATTGAATTGCAGAATAAGACCTCAAGTATTAACTACAAGTTACACCATGCATAACACGAAAGGCGCTGACATATTCTTGCCTTTTAATATATATTGATTGAGAAGCTGTTTCAGACCAGTTATTTGCCTTTGGATTTGATTATCTTGCTTGTACAAACTTCAGAAGGTGGTTATAATCAGGATCAACCAATCAGCAACCAGTGACCATGGCTACCGCATGGAGACACCCTACCAAAGGGTGGTTATGTTCGCGACCAGCCAATCAGCAACCAGTGACCATGGTTACCGCATGAAGACACCCTACCATAGGGTGGTGATAATCTGGACCATCCAATCAGCAACCAGTGACCATGGTTACCGCATAGAGACACCCTTTCATAGTAGAAGTTATTATATAGCTTACTTGGTTTTTGTTTTTGTTTTATCTGATGTTTTCCCCATGGGGTTGAAGCAGGCGGACTCGTCTGATGCGATAATATAGTCGTATAAACCATCGTTAAACTGACTCACAATATGACATCTGTAATATATTATTTAAACATCTCATTTATATTAGGCCATTTAAAAAAATATATTATATTTCAGATACTCCCACATTGAATAAAAACAATCCCTGTAATATTCAAAAACCTCATTTATATCAGGCCATTCAGATACATCCACATTAAATAACAAGAAACTCTTTAATTAATTGCTCGTAAATATTGAAACCGGAAGCGTATACTGGGCTTTGAGTCGTGCAAACAACTAGTGCGCTATAAAATACACTGGAATTTGGGGTATAAGACTGCTTGAGTTATGGATCTAGGGGCGAGCAAGTTGTCCAAACCCTAGAGTATTTATAAAAGGTGGGGGGGGGAATCTAGGGACAGGGCAAGTTGTGAGCAGCAAGCCCGAGCCCTGGAGTATAGTATTATATATATATATTTACCTTGTGTTCACTGGTAATTCTGAATTTAAAACACAAGTAGGAACACCAAACTGTTCTAAAAATAACTTTACTCTGAAATAATAAATAAAAAATACATAATATGATCTGAGAGAGATGGGGTTTAACGATCTCTCGACACAAACTAGGTTATTTCAGGACTAACACATGGTTCAATTTTATTTCAATAATTCGCTTGCGTGTGGTTTTTTTTTTAGCAGTGGGAGGGTGGGACAAGCAACCTTACTCCATGTCACGTACAACTAGGTAATCGAAACCACGTCAATTGACCTAATGATAGACATTATCATACTAACAATGAGAGAGAGAGAGAGATGGGGTTTAACGTCCACTCGACACAAACTAGGTCATTTCGGGACTAACACATGGTTCAATTTTATTTCAATCATTCGCTTGCGCGTTGGGGTCTTTGGCAGTGGGAGGAAACCTGAGTACCCGGAGAAAACCCACGAGGTTGGACTGGCGACCCTACTCGATGTCACGTACAACTGGGGAATCAAAACCACACCAGTTGACCTAATGACAGGCTTTATGATACAGCACGCACATGCTAACCATTCGGCTATCCAACCCCCCATACTAACAATGAAGTCCATGGTGAAAGGTAATTAAGCTGTAACAGAAATCAATGAAATAATAAACATATACTTACTTATAACATTTATTAACAGAATTTACAAATAAAATAGTTTTTCCTCGAATCAGTCGAAGTTTTAATAACGAACAGAGCAAGGCAAATTTATCACTGTGTTCACATCTAAAAACAAAAATAACAATTCATTTTCTTTTAGCAACATTTTCACACAAAAACATAATATGGAACATAATTACTATTTTAATTAAAGCGATGTTTCGTTGATGGTTCTCTCAAAGTTAACAAGCAAATGATGATAATGCGCATGCCAATGTGTACATGGGACGTTTGTTTTTCGTTCCATCCAAATGACTATGCGTTGTCCCTTGCCAGGCCCTCTGTTCGGCACCACTGACAAAAGGGAACCCCGGCATAAAATTCTTTAAGAACCATAGGACTTCTAGTTTAGCGGGCAAACATCCTATACATTGGGCCACTGCTACTTCCCAATCCATGATGAGGAATTTTTCTCAGACAGTGGCGCTACAGACTACTCCCATTTGAATTCCAACTGTAAAGGTTTCTTTTAAGTGCATGTCAATATGTACACAGGACTTCGGTTTTTCGTCCCATATATTGTCCCTTGCCGGGCCTTCCATCCTGCACCAATGACAAGGTGGAACCTCGCCGGAAAATCCTGATAAACTTTTTTGGCCGACACCAGGATCGAAAACACGTGATCTCCAGGTTTGTGAGCCATTGTCCTACTCACTGAGTCACCGCTGCTCCTCAATCTATTGTGATTTGAGTGACATACTCACTTAATGACATATCGCGACTCCCCAATCTATCGTGTATTGATTGACATACTCACTTGATGACATATTGCGTTAATTGATTTGTTTCAGGAAGTTGTGATTCTTCTAATTTTAAAATAACCTGAAAAAATAGTCAAAAATTTAAATATGAAGAACGAGCAAAAATGAAATGGGGATTAAGTCCTACTTTTCTTGACAGCAGCACTACAGCGATTAAATTTTGAATCGGGTGAATTTTTTGGCGGTAACTTTTCTCCTTGCAGCAATAAATTTTTCACCAAAAGTTATCTAAACTTTGTTAACTTTTCATGTCTTCCTTCCTTTCCTGTCTAGTCAATTATCACTCAGTGGGGTTATCAACAATACAGTTACCTATTGTCTATTAAAGATACATTATATAAGATTTAGATAAAGAGCTGGTCATTCTTGCTATATTAGTTTAAAAATAGACAATAAAAGTTAAATATATTGAAAATTTCATTCAAATTACTCTACTACAAGCGAAGATATTAGCCTTTAAAGGTTTGACAAGACGTGTGCATTAATTGCAACCACCGTACTGGTTGTTTGGACCTCAGCCTTGCTCCTCCATTATAAATTAAATTAAAATATGGACGCTAATCTACTTAATATCAGAGATATTTGATGGCATCGAGAGTTGATTATGGTCTGTATAAGTTAATTAATGTCTAATTAATAATTTAGAAAAAAATTTCAGGCCTAAAGAAAGACCTGTTATAGGCAGATTTAGCTCTTGTATAATGTATGTTTAATGAATCCTAACCCAAGGGTTAATATAATGTCTGTGTAAATGTAAGGTTTGGTTGTACTAACTGGATTATGTAGCACCATTTTCTTTAAAGCTTTAACTTCATCTGTTAGAGTAGCAGACATCAGGAACGCCTGGTAAATCTTCGGAAAATGTCTGAAACAAAACAATGAAAATTCACAAAACAAATATCTTGATAATTTGAGAGAGAGAGAGAGAGAGAGAGAGAGAGAGATGGTGTTTAATGTCCACTGACACAAACAAGGTGAAATGAAATGGAGTTCAACATCCTACTGTTCTGCTCCTAACCTGGGCTAATGAAGACGGGCATACGCCATACAGTGCGCTATGAGGGAAATTTTACCCGGACAGCGGCGCTACGGCCTACTCTTATATCGAATTCCAACTGCCAAGAATCTTTTACGTGCACGCCAATGTGTACACGGGACCTCGGTTTTCCGTCCCATCCGAACGACTAGACAGCTCTGTCCTTGTCAGGCTCTTCATCCTGCATCACTGACAAGGGGAAAACACAAACAAGGTGATTTCAGAACTAGCATATGGCTTGATTTTATATTTCAATAATTTGCTAAGTTGTTTTTTAGCAGTGGGAGGAAACAGGAGAAAACCCTCAATGCTGGACAGAGAATCCTACTCTGTGTCATGTACAAGCAGGGAATCAAAACCACGCCACTTGACTCAATGACAGACCTTATTATTATTATTATTATTAAACATTTACATAGCGCTAGTTTCACCAACGGTGTTCAGAAGCGCTTTACAAAACAATGAGTACAACCATATACCAGTAAAACAAAACAAAAAAAACAAAACAAAAAATAAAAACAACTAAAAGACTACAAAAAGATGCAATATAATAAAATAATATATATCTAAGTAAAAGCTTTTTTGAATAAGTAAGTTTTAAGAGCACATTTAAAAGATTGTACCAAAGGGCAGGAACGAATATCAATATCAGAACCAGATGGTTTTAAATCATTCCACAGATTTGGGGCTAAAAATGAAAAGGATCTTTCACCATATGTAACCATTCTTGATGCGCACACATTAAAACATGCAGCCCCCCAATCCCATTTTTGGAGGGGTTGAAAAAACAGGAATTATTGTCCACCTACTTGATCAAGTCTTTAATATCATCTTCATAACCAAACGAGAAAACCAGATCGGCTTCATCAATAACGACCATCTCAAGACTTGACTGTAGATCTAAATTACCTCCCTTGATGTGAGCTAGAACACGACTCGGTGTTCCAACAACTATATCCGGTTTCTCCATTAACATCGGCCTACAAATAAAAATACAAGTCTTTAAAATTCAATGAATTCAGATAGAGAGAGAGAGATGGAGTTGGTGGGACTAACATATGGTTAAGTTGTCTGAGCCATCAACAAGGAATGTCACACATTTTGTCATTTGTCGGTAATGAGAACTTTTACAACACTAAAATCTGATTAAGAGTAATAACAAATTAAGTAATTATCCGGAATCATTATATATTAGAATTGTTTTGGCTTCTAGTTCTGTCCTATTATATATTAGAATCATTTTGGCTTCTAGTTCTGTCCTATGCTAACATTTCGTATACAAAGCAAATAATATTGTGAATTTAGCTGTTCCAAGTATCGGAAATTGTTGAAGATACACTTTTTGTCACAGGATCTTAAATAGTGAGTGTAAATTTAAAGTCAATTGGATATTAACTTTTGCCTCTAGAGTGTCCACAGACTCATGAACGAACGGATTGGCGACAAAAATGTGGGCATATAAAAAGGGGAAAAAAAGGACTTTCTTACAATCATCGTCCAATGTCTGATTCAGGATACAGAATGAAGTATTTACTACTTCAGATTTGAGTTTTTTATTTTGAGAGATGTTTCAAGATGAAAATTATACATATCCATGAAAATTTAAATTAAAATAGCTGATACCATATTTTCATTGGTTGAGAGGTCTTAGCCAATGAAAAGAGACAGAGAGAGAAATGGAGTTTAACGTCCACTCGACACAAACTAGGTTTAATTTTATTTACATAATTCGCTTGCGCGTAGGGGTCTTTAGCTGTGGGAGGAAACTGGAGGAACCCACGAGGTTGGACAGGCGACCCTACTCCTTGTCACGTACAACCGGGGATTCGAAACCACGCCAGTCGACTCAATGACAGACTTTATGATACAGTGCGCGCACGCTAACCATTCAGCCATCCAACCCCCCACCAATGAAAAGACTAGTGATTAAATTACCAACCTTTGTGATGAAAGAGGAACTTGCGGAGCTACGTCAATACATTTAATCTCTCGGGAGCAACAGCGAGTTAATTCCTGTTAAAATAAAACATATACGTTACATCAGGTTAATTCCAGTCATCTCTGGCTTGGGGTCGTAGTTTCGAGCCCTGGTGTGAGAGCATATGTGGCTTGAAGACAGAGGTGCCTTCCAAACCCTGTGGGTTTACTCTGGGTACTCTGGTTGTTTGATGTTTTTACGATTGAGAATGGGGACATGCAGGACTGGAAATAACGGTTTTAGATGTAGCTGACAAAATGTCAGACACCAATGAAATAGTACCTGATATTTTCAACTTAGTGTCAGACATGTATTAATAATATCAATAAAAAAAGACAAATCAATGCCGGACAAAATGACAGGCACCAGAGGTTTAGTGCCTGACAAAGCCTGATCTGACATTGTCTGTGACAGGTGGCTTATTTCCAGGCTTGGGGTCATGGAATTGACGAAACATGATACCAGAACAAACAGGAAGAGCAAAGCGGTTGTATATCCATTACCTCGTATCCTGTGGTTGGGAATAGTGTTTAATAGCATGACTCAATATAGATACATGTTTATGATTGAGTTTTGTTGCTATAGATACTTACAATAACATTTTTATAGGCTTGATTACACAGTTCTTTTGATGGCGTCAAAATAACGGCTTTCACTGTCTGTTCTTTTGCTGTCTAAAAATTAAAAAAAAGTTTAATTTTAATGTGTTGAAATGCCTTAATTTAACAAATGACCTTTTTCTCACTGTCACATTGGACAATAACCCTTTGAACATGGATTTTCAATAATTCGCTTATGCATAGGACCAGCGCTGTCAGAATTTTTCACAGATGATTAGCAGCACTGCTAATCAAAAAGTCCAATTTTGCCAAATTTGATTAGCAAATTTAAAAATTGATTAGCAGTTTTTCAGTTTCAACATAATACCTAAATATTTGATTATTTTAATTTTAATTTATAACAAATTATAAGATTTCATTCTTAAGATTTTTTTAGAATTTTAGCACTGCTACAGGTAGCTGTGAACATTTCTGAATGTAGACTTTTGGTTAGGCCTTATGTCTGAAGCCAATTCTTGGCAGTGGATTCCGAAGTCCCACTCATTTTAATTCTTATTTCTTCGTTAGAAAACAATTTCGTCTGCTTTTTATCGTGTGTTACCATTTTTGTTCAATCGGACGCACACAGTATTTTATGAATAATCTCGATTAACTAGACGCACGCGATATAAACAATATTATTTTACGGGAATTCTTACTTTGATTTCTCATTTTACAATACGATTACAAATATTTATTTTTTATATTTTATTTACAATACACTGAATTTATTTTTTTCAAATTGTACACTGATATAATTACTTGAAATTGACATGTCTCGCAACATGAGTAGTACTACTTGATTCCCTATTTCCGCTTTAATAGTCCCAATTCGTAGAGTTATGTCCATGTATTATATAGTATAATGAATAGAGTCTGGGTAGGTCGAGAAGAAAATGTCACACGGAGAATTCAGTTTTGTTTATAAAATTTATTTGATATTTTATACACGTTGAATGTATTGAGAAAAGTGGATAATCTTTGTGTCAATATCCAAAATGACAGGCATATTAATGATTCGCAGTTACTGTGAATTAAAAACATTAGATTTTAATTTCTGATTAGCAACGTACAAAATATGTATCACAAATTGCGCTGAGATACTGGTTGTCGGCAGCCCTGCATAGGACCCGATAGGATTGTGCGTGGCATCGAAATTATGCAACTTGACTACAGACCTTATGAACAAAAGCTCACACATGTTACACCACTCATGTTATTATAAGAGAGAGAAACAAACCAACCTGTTTATCTGAAAGTATTTTATTTATTATCGGGATACAGAAAGCCCCTGTTTTACCAGACCCTGTTCTAGCTCGAGCTAACACATCTTTACCCTCTAATGCTAATGGTATAGCCTTCTCTTGAATAGGGGTCGGTTCAGACCAATTTAACTCAGATATAGCCTGAAATATAAATTAAACATTTATAGGCCTAAATTATTTCTTTTACAATTTTAAAGGGGAATAAGAGCAGGTCGTAGTACCACTATCTGAACAAATTTTCTTTATAGACTATTGCATGCCCATCTTCAATAATGGCTAGTTAAAAAGTTTCAGTTAAGGTACATACATGTAGAGCTGGGTATGTTTAATTATTTGTATGTAATACATCATTATCTTATTTTAAAGATGTTACAGACATCAATAAACAAAAAATGTTTGCAAAGTGAAACTAAAGGGCTGCAATCGTAGCTAAACACAAACACATATACACAGCGAAACTGGTGCCTTTCACTTATGAAGCAAGGCCATAACAGCCATGAATACGGTCATAACGGCCATAATTTAGTCAAAATGGCCAACAAATATTAGTTTTGACTTAAATAATTCATCCATAACCCATTACGATTACTGACATTTAATTTGACTAGTAAATATTGATGTGTGGTAGATATATTCATTAGTAAAAGTGATGTGTCCTTAAGTAAACAATATCAACAGTGATATCTCAATGTTTCTTACTATTATTCATATTCAATATTCATATTCTCGGTGACGGCACAGTGGCTAAGTGGGTAAGAGAAAGTTCATCCAGATTTTCTGGCATTGTTCCCCCTTGTCAATGATGCAGGGCGGAGGGCCTGACAACGGCAGCTGTCTAGTAGTTCGGATGGGACAAAAAAAACGAGGCTCTGTGTACACATTGGCGTGCACGTAAAAGATCCCTTGGCTTGACAGTTGGAATTCGATATATATAAGACCTAATAAGAGTAGGTCATTGTGTCGTTGTCCGGGCAAAATTTCCCTCAAAGCCTACTGTATGGCGTATGTCCGTCTTAATTAGCCCAGTTCGGAGCAGAATTGTAGGACGTTAAGCTCCATTTCATTTCATTTCTCGAGTAGATGATATACATACGTATGTAAATTGTAATGTATGAATAGGTATGATGACCCTATATAACAGACTCGGGGTTACGTGTTTTGGGTACGGGTTACAACTTTCAGTCATGCCGTGGTCAATACCTTAAGTAATCTGTCATCTAAACCCATATCTTGAAACCTCAGGCAGTCATCCTCCTCCATTTCTATATTTTTATTCAGTATTTATATGAAAACACACTTTTCACAACATCAACACATCAAACCGGAAGTTTACTACATGTGCTCATCCGGGCTATTTGACTCTCACCCTAGTCTGAAAAAATAAAAATGTATCCCACAATCCTTGATCCATTCGTTTATACAAGGAGTTATACGTACCAGTGATAACTGTTTCGCTCAGTTTGACGCCATTTTTCTTGTTATTTTAATTTTGGCGTGTGGTAATAAATATATCAAAAATGTCGAAGCGACATCGCATAGATGTTGGCGATGCTCAGCCGAAAAGAAACAGGTATTTTTTAAGATAGTCTTTGCTAAGAAATAAATGTCTTGGTATTTAAATTTGGATCGAAATGTTTGAGTGTTTTGCTTGCTTCGAATTTGCTACGTTTTGTCCCGAGTCTTTTTGGACGAATCAGCTTTGTGTAGGCAAATTAAACTGACCTATGTAGAACATTGATTCTTTAAGAATGAAGTTTACCACAACAAAATTGATGCCATAACACTTTGGAAAATTTGACAACTACATATCCGAGATAATTAGTTTCTCACATTATCGTAAATAAACTGAATAAATAAATAAACGTCACACGTGAATGTTGTATTTAACAAGTTATAACATTTAAACCTCAATAAAAAAAAAAATAGACTGATGTCGGTTCCCTGACTGCATATTTTGTCGAATCTTGATTCCGTAAGCAAAACAATATTCAAATTCAGATACAATAGTATTTCGAACTGACTTTGAAGTAGGCCTATTCGTTATTCTGTGTCAGTTAAAGCTAATAAAATTCTAATCTGTTCTTTGTCTGCTATTCAAAACATTGACTACTTTTATTAATTCGGTGGAAAGATTTATTATTGTTTCTAGAAAACATCAAACTTGACGAAATAAAAAGAAAATATATTTTGATTGTTGTCGACATAGTAAATTTGTTTTTTGTTTCAGAGAAACCAGCCCAGAAGATAAAAATGAAAAGAAACACAAATCTATATTTGAAGAATTTAACATTCCGAGACCAACCATTCAAATGAACCCATTTACAGGTAAAATATTGGGGTTCATCTAGTCGTCATGATAAAACGACTCAGGTGGCGTGATTTTGATTCTCCGCTTATACAATGTACAGTGACAAGGACGGAGTAGAGTCACCTGTCAAGCTTCATGAGGTTTCTCCGGGTTCTCCAGTTTCCTTCCACTACAAAAAACCCTTACACACAAGTGAATTATTGAAAAAATAAATTAAACCTTATTTCAGTCCCAAAATGACCTAGTTTGTGTTCAGTGGACATTATTAAGCCCCATTTCTCTCTCTTTCCCTTTAAAAATAAAATTAAACCCTAAATGAACTTTTGTCGACTGTAAATACTGGTAATGTGAGGTGGGAGAGATTCTGTCATCTATCACTCATTCTCGGTTTCTGGTTGATATTTTACTATCGTACTTGAAATGGGCATCCTGCCTAGAGATAAGGTGGTATGATTTATAGTGACACAATAGAATAGGCGGTCACCTTACAGCATTGTTTTCCTGTACATTCCTTACGTTCTTGTCTGTTGACAAACATTAGTTTTTGTCGTTGAAATGGAATTTAATACCTATACGTCGAAATACGGTTCTTTTACCAACAATAACGTCATGTGGAACCGTATTTTTACTAGTGAAGCCTGTCGGGATTTCCTTCAGCGAGGACGCCCATTGATGGAACTCATGGAGGTAATTAAAGCAGTGATTCACGAAATTTTGAACGGCACACTAAGAAATTGTGCAAAACCATACATTTGTACATGTATGATCCCAATTGAGTATTTACTGGTGTCTACTGATAAGTTCACACATGTGTAGCTGTGTTTTTCTTTATTAAGTTTGAGTCATTCTATGTTTCTATGACCAGTCTCTGTCTACGTTATTTTTTTATGTGTTCCAAGGTGTGCCGTTGGCAAAAAATGACTGAAAACCACTGAATTAAAGTTTGATTTTAATGTTTACAGGTCTACCATTTACACCGAGATATTATCAGCTGTATAACAAGAGATCACAGTTACCAGTATGGGAATATAAAGATAAATTTATGAAGATGATGACAGATCATCAGATGATTGTACTTGTTGGTGAAACAGGTTCCGGTAAAACAACACAGGTAATTAATACATCACAGTTTCCTCTAGTCACGGGATGTCGTAATATAGACTTGTCACAGGATGTCGTAATATAGACTTGTCACAGGATGTCGTAATATAGTCATCATGGGATGTTGTAATATAGACTTGTCACAGGATGTTGTAATATAGACTTGTCACACGATGTTGTAATATAGACTTTTCATGGGCTGTCGTAATATAGACGTTATGTTGTAATACAAAATTATCATCTCTGTTCTCATGAATTTAAATATTGAATATAATATAAAGTTCTTAGCTTTTAAAAATTTACCAGGAGTTAAACCTGAAAATTCTTTTTTTTATCCTTCACTTATTACAATATTATGAAATGTTAAAGATACATTATGGGAGATTAGATAAAGAGATGGCAGTTCTCACTATAATGGTTAAAAACTAATAATGTAATGGCAATTTTGCTGAAAATTTCAGTCAAATTGGTCCACTCTGAACCAAGATTTTAGTGATTGAATTTTCGACCTATTCTCGATCATCATTACTAAAGTCGGTACGATAAAAAACGTAGTCTCGATTATCCATTTCATGATTAAATCATGAATGGAAGTCGAACAGTAAATCGGAACCTAATCCAATAAACATCGCAAGCTAGCGATGACATCGAGAATTGATTATGGTCTGGAAAAGTTAAACATACATTATGCAAGAGCAAAATCTGATTATTGCAAGTCTTAATTTAGGCTTCAGATGTTATAGAAATTATAAATTAGATCTTTATTTAAACAACAAGCCCAAAATCAACTCTGTAGACCCACGGATGGCTCGGCTACAGCTCAGATTTAAATAGGATTTCACTTATTAATTAATTCAAATATGGCGCATCCTGATGAGAATGCGTCAGTTAGATCGAGGCTAAATGATAGAGTGTACTTAGCGAGGCCGCTGAAGAGCGTTTCCGCATGCCATTGAAAACTTTACTTGATAATCGAGATATGTAGGTGGAGTTAACGCCTGTCAATCAAACGATCGGCCAAGGTGAAAGCACATTTCACTACCATTTCTAGTCAAATATTACAACGATGATAACTATGTTCAGAATAAAGTAATTTGACTGAAATTTTCAATATATTCTTCTTTCATCATCTACCTTTGAACTGTTATAGCAAGAATGGCCAATTCTCTATAAAAATATCCCATAATGTATCTTTAATTAATATCTAATTAATAATTTAGATAACATTTCAGGCCTAAAGAAAGACCTGCAATCGGCAGATTTAGCTCTTGCATAATGTATGTTTAATCTATAATACAAATATCGTTATCTATTTTTTAAACATTATAATAACGGCCACCCCTTTATCTAAATCCTAGATAATGCATTATTAAAGTACGATAGTCATGCCTTTTGCTAGAGAATTTTTGGACCTAGTGTTGTTTGTTATTGTAGATACCCCAGTGGTGTTTAGAATGGGTAAGAGCTAGATATAATAAAAAGGGTGTGGCTTGTACCCAGCCACGTCGAGTAGCCGCTATGTCCGTAGCTCAGCGAGTGTCAGAAGAAATGGATATTGGTTTAGGTCAAGAAGTGGGTTATTCTATACGATTTGAAGATTGTACATCGTCTAAAACATTATTAAAGTAAGTTGAATATTTAGTCTAGTTAAGGGTGGTTGGATGACCAAATTGTTACTGTTAGCACTGTATTATAAGGTCTGTCATTGCGTCAACTGGCATGGTTTCGATTCCCTCATTTGTGCGTGACAAGGAGTAGGATCGCTTGTCCAACCTCGTGGGTTTTCGTTTTCTCCCACTGCTAAAGACCCCTACCTGCAAACGTGTGGACGTTAAACCCCATGTACACATTGTTGGGCACGTAAAAGAACCCATGACAGATCAAAATAAGAGTAGGCTGTAGCGCTGTTGTCAGGACAAAATTCCCTTATCACCCAGTATATGGTGTATGCCCGTTTTCATTAGCCCAGTCGGGACAAAACAGTCGTGTCATATCATTTTTATTCGCCCACATTGAAATGTGGTCGTATATTGTCGTCGCCCCCGTCCGTCCATCCGTCCGTCCGGCGTCCACAATTGCTTGTGGACGCTCTAGAGGCTAAAGTTAATATCCGATTGACTTTTAATTTATACACAGTGTTTAAGGTCATGAGACGAAGAAGCCTATTGATTTTCAGCGATTTCCGATAATTACTGCCAGAGTTATGGCCCTTGATCACTTCAAAAAATCTTGTGGACGCTCTAGAGGTCAAAGTTAATATCCGATTGACTTCAAATTTATACACAGTGTTTAAGGTCATGAGACAAAGAAGCCTATTGATTTTCACCGATTTCTGATAATTACTGCCAGAGTTATGGGCCTTGATCACTTCAAAAAATCTTGTGGACGCTCTAGAGGTCAAAGTTAATATCCGATCGACTTCAAATTTATACACAGTGTTTAAGGCCATGAGATGAAGAAGCCTATTGATTTTCAGTGATTTACAATAAATACTGCCAGAGTTATGGCCCTTGATCACTTTGAATAATCTTGTGGACGCTCTAGAGGCTAAAGTTAATATCCGATTGACTTTAAATTTATGCACAGTGTTTAAGGTCATGAGACAAAGAAGCCTATTGATTTTCAGCTATTTCCGATAATTACTGCCAGAGTTATGGCCCTTGATCACTTTGAAAAATCTTGTGGACGCTGTAGAGTCTAAGATTATTATCCGATTGACTTTAAATTTATACACAGTGTTTGAGGTCATGAGATGAAGAATCATATTGATTTTCAACGATTCCGGATAATTACTGCCAGAGTTATGGCCCTTGATCACTTTGAATAATCTTGTGACACTCTAGAGGCAAAAGTTATCATCCAATTGACTTCAGATTGGTACATAGAGTTTAAGGTCTTGAGACGAACAAGTATATTGATTTTCAATGAATCTATATGACTTGAACAGCTTAATCCATGATGTTAAAAGTTTTGTATACTAAACATTAGCATGGGACAGAACTTTATAAAAACCAAACAAATTCTAATGGTTTTCTGATAATTACTTAATGAATTGTTACACATGTACTCTTAATCAGATTTTAATGTATTATAAATGTTTCATTACCGAAAAAAGTAAAAATATGCGACAAGTCTTGTTGACTGCCCGGACGATATAGCTGCTGTGGGCGTATGTTTCGTTGCCTGACAACCTATCTTTTTCGCAGCTAGGAGGTTATAAGGTTTATAATATGAAGAGAAAGAGAGATATGGGGTTTAACATCAACTCAACAAAACTAGGTTATTTCGGGACTAACACACGGTTCAATTTTATTTCCATAATTTGATTGTGCATAGGGGTCTTTAGCAGTGGGAGGAAATCGGAGAAAACCCACGAGGTTGTATATATAAAGAGAATATTGATAATTCTATTTGATGTTTTTTTAGATATATGACAGATGGTATGTTATTACGAGAGGCTATGTCCGACCCTCTATTAGAAGCCTATGGTGTTATAATGTTGGATGAAGCTCATGAACGTACACTAGCTACAGATATTCTCATGGGTTTATTAAAAGAGGTTGCTAGGCAACGAAACGATTTAAAAATTATTGTTATGAGTGCTACTCTTGATGCCGGTAAATTTCAGGTAAGTTTTTGAAGTTGCTAATAGCATGTAGTGTTGCTTTATAATTTTAAAATTTAATTCCCAAAAAAACAAAATCTTCCAAATCTGCTGATTAGCCATATTGTTGAGTATTTCATATACTCAAGAAAATATTTCTATAAATTAGCATGAACTTTATCTGTCTCAACAACTAGGAGCTCAGAGTTTTGATCCTGGCAGAGAAAGTTGAACTGGATTTCTAGCGTGTATGCCAGACAGACGGGACTGGCAAGCCTCCGTGTCTAGTCATTCAGATGGGACAAAAATCTATGACCGTCTTTACATGTTCGGGCACATGTAAACGAAGTTTAGATAGGCAAGGGGTTGCCAGGTCGTGGCAGAATAAAGGACATGGATGTAGAAATAGAGCGAAAATAGTACAATAGATATAATTAGCTGTTTGTTTGATTGGTGGTGATTATATGGTTTTCGTGTTACTGAAGTTTTCTATGGTTTTATTTAGTTATGGGGACCTCAGTTTCTCCAATCAATCAAGCCGCAAAGTCTTAATCTGTCCTGTAATAATCAGTTGCTTTGGCCTATAATACTCAGTTGCTATGACGATTATACCAACAAACCCATTCAACAGTATTCCGTGTGCTTCAACTTATTGTACACAACTTATTATGCTAACTAAATAGTGTTAAACTTGTTTCATTGAGGGTTTTAATTTAGATACGTGTTTAGATATGATGTTATTTTGTTTTCCAGACGTATTTTGACAATGCCCCGTTAATGAGTGTACCTGGTCGTACCCATCCCGTCGAGATATTCTACACACCGGAACCAGAACGTGATTATCTCGAGGCAGCCATTAGAACCGTGATGCAGATACACATGTGTGAAGAACAAGATGGAGATCTATTGTTATTTTTAACGGGACAAGAGGTAGGTTGTTTATAATGGATGAGTTGTTTTTGATTGGACAGGTGGTGGGTTGTTTTTAACGGGACAAGACGTGGGTTGTTTTTGATGGGACAGGTGGTGGGTTGTTTTTAACAGGACAAGAGGTGATTTGTTTTTAACGAGACAGGAGTGGGTTGTTTTTAATGAGACAAGAGGTGGGTTGTTTTTAACGGGACAAGAGGTGGGTTGTTTTTAACGGGACAAGATATGGGTTGTTTATGCTTCGGAAATCACAAGGGTTAAAATATGATCTGAGCAAAGCATGCCGAATTCTTGAAATTCTCACCAGATATTTATCAGAATTTTGTTTTGTAGATGGTGAGTTGTATGACAATTGCAGTACATTAAGATTCCCCTATTCATTTTATGTTTATTTGTTAAATTTAAATTGTTTTTAAATCAAATAAAGTTAGTCTGAAATCTCTTTTCTTTATAAAGCTCAGCAAAATTTTTTAAATCATTAGGCGTTGTGACCTACACTGCTTTATTTAAGAGTGGGGGGGGTCAAATGGTGTGCGCGCTGTATCATATGGTCTGTCATTGAGTCGACTGGTGTGGTTTCGATTCCCAGGTTGTACCTGACAAGGAGTGTCCAATCTCATTGGTTTCTCTGGGTCGTCAGGTTTCCTCCCACTGCTAAAGACCCCAACGCACAAGCAAATACTGAAATAAAATAGAACCATATGCTAATCCCGAAATAACCTAGTTTGTGTTGAGTGGACATCTCTCTCTCTCTCTCTCTCTCCCTCTCTCTCTCTCTCTCTCTCTCTCTCTCTCTCTCTTTATGTAAGAGTTCTCATTGTAAACTTTGACAAATAAATTATAACAAATATTTTCTTGTAGGAAATTGATGAAGCATGTAAGAGAATGCAGAGAGAAGCAGATAATCTGGGTTCCGAGATCGGGGATTTAAAATGTATCCCTCTTTATTCTACCCTACCCCCTAATCTACAACAGAGGATCTTTGAACAGCCTCCCCCTAAAAAACCAAACGGAGCCGTTGGACGTAAAGTTGTGGTATCGACTAACATCGCTGAAACATCGTTAACTATTGATGGTGTGGTATTTGTCATAGATCCAGGATTTGCAAAGCAAAAGGTAAATACGTCAAATGGTTATTTGCTTGATAAAGACGAGAGTATGATCGTCGAAACGTTGCATGTTAATAAACCAGTAATTGTTATTCCATAAATAGTGTTAGTGCATTATTTGTATTTTGGTAAAATATCAGATTTTCAAAACATCAAATTAAAAACATCGTACGTATTCAAAACATCATATTCAAAACATTGTACGTATTCAAAACAACATATTCAAAACATTGTACGTATTCAAAACAACATATTCAAAACATTGTACGTATTCAAAACAACATATTCAAAACATTGTACGTATTCAAAATACTGTATTTAAAACATTGTATGGATTTGAACCATTTTGGGGCAGATATTCCTTTTCCAGATAATTTGTAATTCACCTGAGTTTTTTCAGACATTAATCAATATTAAGAAATTGACCGTTTTATATTTTTAAATTTCCTCTAGGTATACAATCCAAGAATTCGTGTTGAGTCATTGTTAGTTACGGCTATTAGTAAAGCCAGTGCTCAACAGAGGGCAGGTCGAGCTGGACGTACACGACCAGGAAAATGTTTCCGGTTATACACGGAGAAGGCATATAAAAACGAGATGCAACAGAATACGTATCCTGAGATTTTAAGATCGAATCTTGGATCCGTTGTATTACAGTTAAAGAAATTGGGTATCGATGATTTGGTTCATTTTGATTTCATGGATCCTCCAGGTAAGTCAACACAAAAACATAGATGAACTGGGAAATCTACAGTGAGTTGTGGGACTGTTCCCTTTATATTGTCATCAGGGACGGGGAAATCTATAGGTGGCTCAGTATCGGGTTGAAGTGAGATCGTAGGGCCGTTCCCTTTATATAGTCATCAGGGATCGGAGCACAAAATGAGTCTCGGCCATAATTTGATTTAATCTAAAATTGGAGGAGCGAGACTTAGCTTCGACCAACGAGTACGGTGGTTGAAATTATTGCACACATCTTTTCAAACCTTCAAAGGCTAATATCTTCTCTCGCAATAGAGTAATTTGAATGAAATTTTCAAATTATTCATTTTACATTATCTATTTTCGAACTATTAAAGCAAGAATGGCTAGTTCTTTATCTAAATCTTACATAATGTATCTTTAAGTAACAGCACTTATTTTTAAGAAATAAGAGAAAATATCTTGCTCATCAGTGCTAAACAAACATGTCAACAATTGATCAAATTGCAAAATTTTGATTTTCTGGAAGAAACACAGAGTTAAACGTATATTTTGAAATATTTCAGCGCCAGAAACACTGATGAGAGCTTTAGAATTATTGAATTATCTGGCTGCTCTTGATGATGACGGAGAATTAACGGAACTGGGTTCCATGATGGCTGAATTCCCTCTCGATCCACAGTTAGCGAAAATGGTGATAGCTAGTTGTGATTTTAGCTGTTCCAATGAAATTCTCTCCATCACGGCCATGTTATCAGGTAATGTATATGACAGGTGATAATCTAATGTCTAAACTTAACAGATTAAAATAAATTAGATATAGGAAAAATCACGTTAACATGTGAGCCAACCAAAATTATATGACAGGTGATAATCTAATATCTAAACTTAACAGATTAAAATAAATTAGATATAGGCAAAGCCAAGTTAACATGTGAGCCAACAAAAATTAAATTTAGAACAAAATCAAAAAGTTAAAAATGCATTATGTAAGAGTTGAATCAGCCTATTGCAGGTCTTTTTTTACTGGCCTCAAATTATTATTTAGACATTTGTTCACATGACAAGCCTATAATCAACTCTCTAGAGCATCAGATGGCAGAGATTTAAATGGATTTGAAGATCCGCTAAATTAAAAATTTAACGATTAAGTGGATAATTGAGACTTAGTCTTGGTTATCAAGTACCGTTGTTTCGATAATCTACACCAAATCTTCCAACTGTCATACCTTTCGCTCAGTATAAAATAATTTGAATGAAATTTTCAATATATTCATTTTTCATTATCTATTGTTGAACTATTATAACTTTTTCGCAAAATCTTACATAATGCATCTTTAAATAGGTTCTATGAGAATAAAACTGAATTCTACCTTTCATTCTCTATATTAATTTACCGTTAGATCAATATAAATTTGATTGTATTTTACCTGAAATATGTTCATTAGATAGGCTATATGAGAATAAAACGGAATTCTACCTTTCGTTCTACCTGTCGTTCTACCTGTCGTTAAGTTTAGATAAATAAAAATCTGATTGTATATGAGAATAAAGCTGAATTCTACTTTTTGTTAAGTTCATGTTTAGATAAATATAAATTTGATTGTATTTTAACCAAAATATGTTAGATACTAAATCTATTAATAGACATCTACTGGTGCACCGTTTCATTTTGGATTCATACAAAAACACAAAACCAAATATAGTTTGTAAATGATATCGAGAAATACAAACTCTTAGCTATTTGAAACTCTTAGCTATTTGAAATTCTTAGCTATATGAAATTCTTAGCTATTTGAAACTCTTAGCTATTTGAAACTCTTAGCTATTTGAAGCTCTTAGCTATATTTGAATGAGAAGTGTTATAAGGTATACCCTGCCCTGTGCGTAAGGTATGTTACTATTAATAGCTATAAAGATTCCACATGTCATTAAAATTCTTAACTATCTGAATTTCTTTAATAAATGGAGAAATGGTATTAGTTGTTTTTAAACCTAGGCATACCCTGCGAAATATTTTTAATGTTACAGCATTTTAATAGAAAAAATAGGCATACACTGGCTAGTGCATGATGCCAGTTACTAGTAAGGAAACGCTGCCCTGTGCATAATGTCGATTACTAATAATAGCCATTAACATAAAGTCGATAGTGAAATATTTTTTAAACATTAAAAGAAAACTGAGTTTAGTTTAGGCCGGAGGTGCACCAGTTTGATTGAGAACACTTCCTTTTAGTGTATGATGTCACAATGTTTGCTGGTTACTAATGGTGATGGGACGGGTCATCTTGGCCCTACCCACGCCCCTCCCGTTTAGTCCCGCAGTGTTTTGTTAGACCATCGGAAGTAAAGAAGGCCGCTGACGAAGCCAAGATGAGATTTGCCCATGTTGATGGTGATCATCTGACCTTGTTGAATGTCTACCACGCTTTCAAACAGAGTGAGTATATTTATACATCCATTTTATAATATCTGTTCGAATGGTTGCACACAGTCTGTCATCAAGTGGCATTGTTTCGTTCTCTCGCTTGTAGATGGCAAGGAGTAGGGTCGTCTGTCCTCCAGTTTCCTTCCACCGCTAAAGACCCCTATTATTGAAGTAATATTGAACCATGTGTTAGTCCAGAAATGACATTGGATGACACATGAGTGGCCTAGCCATTTGGAGGGGCTAGAAAACTGGTCGCGTAGGTATAAGAAGTTAAGAAGGGTTCGCTTAAATGCGACTGTTCCGTGATTTTTATGTCACCATAGAAATACAAATGACCTGTCCCGAATAGCAGAAAGATAGGACGTTAAATCCCATTTCATTTCTCAAAATCACTAAGAGAAAGATGGACATGGTTCAATTATATTTCAATAATTTGCTCGTGCGTGGGAGGAAACCAGAGGACCCTGAGAAAACCCACAAGGTTGGACAGGTTACCCTACTCCTTTTCACGAACAAGAGGCGAAGTGAAACCACGTCACTTGACACATTGACAGACCTTATGATCCTGCACATTTGTCATTCGGCCACCCTACTATGCTGAATTAATAAAAGTTGTCTATATATACCTCCCCCCCCCCCCCCATTCTATTTCAATGATGGGGTTGGATGGCTGAATGCTTAGTACGTGCGCGCTGTACCATAAAGTCTGTCATTGTGTCAACTGGCGTGGTTTCGATTCCCCGGTTGTACGTGACAAGGAGTAGAGTCATCTGTCCAACCTTGTGTGTTTTCTCAGGTCCTCCGGTTTCCTTCCACTACTAAAGACCTCTACCGGCAAGCTAATTATTGAGATAGAATTGAACCTGTCCAACCTCGTGGGTTTTCTCCGGGTCCTCCGGTTTCCTCCCACTGCTAAAGACCCCTACGCGCAAGCGAGTTATTGAAATAAAAAATTAAACCATGTGTTAGTCCCAAAATGACCTAGTTTGTGTCGATTGGACGTTAAACCCCATTTCTCTCTCTCTCACTCTCAAGCAATAATCAGGCCAAGTTTTAGTTTTAGGTCAATCGGCATTTTCGAAGTGTGCCAATCCCAAGAACACAATTGTCCAAAATGAAGCTAATTTGATTTTTGTTTATCTGTTTCAGACCATGAGGACAACCAATGGTGCTACGATAATTTTGTCAACTTCCGATCTTTAAAGAGTGCCGACAACGTACGACAACAATTGGCAAGGATTATGGATAGATTTAGTTTACGGAGAGCGAGTACAGATTTCAACAGTCGCGATTATTATATAAATATACGTAAAGCTCTCGTATCTGGTTTCTTTATGCAGGTTAGTTTTTACATCTTGTCTTGTCATCTTAATAAATATCGGGGATCACATGGCTAAGTGGGTAAGACGCTGGCTTGCTAGCCTGGAGGTCGGGTGTTCGATCCCTGCATTGGCCGAGAAAGTTCATCCAGATTTTCCAGCGTGGTTCCGCCTTGTCAGTGATGCACGGAGGGCCCGACAATGGCAGCTGTCTAGTCCTTCGGATGATATGAAAAACCGAGGTCCCGTGTATACATTGGAATGCACGTAAAAGATCCCTTGGCAGTTGGAATTCGATATAAGAGTAGGCGATTGTTACGCTGCCCGGGCAAAATTTCCCTCATAGCACACTGTATGGCGTATGCCCGTCTTCATTAGCCCAGGTTAGGAGCAGAACAGTAGGACGTTAAACCCCATTTCATTTCATTTCATAATAAATATCTAAATAATAATTTATATAACTTTTAAAGCCAAAAGAAAAACATGCAATAGACAATCTGATTAAAACACAGATCCTATTTCGTTTCGTTTTACTTGTCTTTACTACACTAGGATCTGGAAGAGTTGTTATATACGCCGCCTTCTGGTTAATGTGAGGGATTAGCCAATGAAATGGTCTGTTGCGTCGAATTCTTGGCGTGCGATGCATGGAACTGTGTGTAAACCACTAGAAACATCAATGCTGATTGGTTAATCAATGTCTTGACATCAAAGGGTCAAAAGCCGTCTGTATGACCTCTGACACCACCTCCCACTACAATCAGTCAGATCTTTATGTAGTGTAGGCCATTGAAAGTATAAGAAACGAAACGAAATATAGATCTGTATTTTAATCTGATTGTGCAATAGGCAGATTTAGTTCTTACATTATCTTTAATGCTTGTTGGGCATCCATGTTATTTTAATCTGTGTAAAATTGTTATTTCCATGGTAACAGAATCTAGGTTGTGTTTTATAATTGTAGGTTGCCCATCTAGAAAGAACAGGACATTATTTAACAGCTAAAGATAACCAGGTTGTCCAACTACATCCATCGACGGTTTTAGATCATAAACCCGAGTGGGTTATATATAACGAGTTTGTATTAACAACTAAAAACTATATACGAACAGTTACAGATATAAAACCAGAATGGTATGTTTACATTATTTATATTCCATGTTTATTCATTCTTTGAATGGGGTAGCCATTGTGGCTCAGTGAGTATGCACCATTCTCGACTACGACATTTTTTTTGCAGTGATTTGAACAGTCTTCGTTTTCTCAGACACATTTCTGGTAGCCCTACTGGCGATTGTGGTCCCGTCTTTGAAGACTCTGGATATTTTCTTTTAATTTGCCCCTTACATCCAGATTCATGATCTGTGACAATAACAAAACTTTCATAACTGTATCAAAATTTATTATTTGGAACTGAAGACCTGCACTATTCTGGATAAATGTTTTCTGTACTCCATAACTTCCTTGACATCTCCAGGGATCCACGGTGGCTAAGTGGGAAAGATGCTGGCCCGCTAGTCTATAGGGTGCAGGTACAATCCCAGTGTTGACCAGATTTCCGGCGTGGTTTCCTCTTGTCAGTGGTGCAGGATGGAAGGCCTGACAAGGACAGCTGTCTTGTCATTCGGATGGGACAAAAAACCAAGGTCCGGTGTACTCTATGTATATTTGTGTTCACAGGGGATTCATTAGGGCCCTGAGGTGAGGTGATGCCTGTCGCTAGGCGAGTGTGAGACTCGATCACTAACCTGGAGCTCTCATTTACTTTTATTATACGATCCCTGAGGATTTATTGGGGCCATGGGAGTGTGGTGGTTCACTAACTACGAGGTCCTATTTATATTTATTATATGTTCACTGAGGACTCGGGAGAGGTGATGAACGTGGGCTTAGTGAATGTGGTGTTAGCTCACTCAGCAGGAAATCCTGGGATTCAGTCTGTTATAATATAGCTGAGATATTGCCTATCCAGTTTTAGTTGTGCAGGACTGAGTATAGTCGTTCGAACGGGGTGATGTGAAAGTAGGCCGTTGAGCCGCTGCCCAGGCAAATTTTCCCTCATTATGGGAGATTCGATAACGAGTTGGCAGTTCTCACTATATTAATATTAGTTAAAAACTAGATAATGTAAAGGCAATTTGCTGAAAAATTTCATTCAAATTGATCCACTATGAACCAAGAACTAAGCGATCGAAATTTCCACCTAGCCTCAATCATTACTAAAGTCAGTACGATAAACAGCATAGTCTTGATTATCCATTTAATCGTGAAGTAAAGTTATGCAGTAAATCGGCTCACAATCCACTAAAGATCGCAGGCTAGTGATGCCATCTAGAGTTGATTATGGTCAGGATAGGTTAATTAATGTCTAATTAATAATTTAGATAACATAAAGAAAGGCCTGCACTAGACAGATTTAGCTCTTGTATAATGTATGTTTAATAAAGATAACGTCAATTTGTTATTTTATTTTACAGGTTAATAAAGATAGCCCCACAGTACTACGATATGTCCAACTTCCCCCAATCAGAAGCCAGGCGAATTCTTGAGAGAATTATTGCTAAATACGAAAACCGACAGAACTCGGAACAACAACAATAAAAAACAATTTAATCAAGTGGTGGTGATGAATGACTTTTTGTACCATATATGTGGATGTGAATTGTTTCAATAATATTCTGTAATGGATATAATACACCGGACTCTATTCTATGGAATACAATTACTGACTGACATGACAACTAGCTTTCTCTGACTCCGAATTCACAAAGTATTCAAGAATTGACTCAACTTTCAATCATTTTTTATTAGAAATATCTTTGATCCAGAATTAGAAACTTTGCACATAGTTTCTTATTGATGTATTTGATACCTTAAAACAACGAAGGTTTTATAAAGGGCTATATTTTAGTTAAAATAAGGTGAATAGTTTTGAGTAAATTCTTTGCGAACTCTGTGACTGGTCTCTGGTTGGCATCGATTTTCCTGCTTGTACGTGACAAGGAGTAGGGTCGCCTGTCCAACCTTTTGGGTTTTATCCAGGTCCTCCGGTTTCCTCCCAGTGCTAAAGACTCCTACGCAAAGTGAATTATTGAAATAAAATTGAGCCATGTGTTAGTCCCGAAATGACCTAGTTTGTGTCGAGTGGACTTTAAACCCCATCTCTCTCTTTTTAGTGTTTATTGGACAAATGATACAATTATGAAATATGATGGGATATTATTTATTTGCCGTGTTGTTCAGTGGTTACTAACTAGGAAGTGTTAGGTTCACTCCCGATAGAAGCCGAGAAAGTTTTCTCAGTTGGAATATGAAATAAGATTAGGACGCAGCCCACTGCATGGTGTATGCCTGGGCCCTTATTTACGAAAACTTAATTAAGATACAATCGAAACTTTAAGAAATACTGCAATTCGATTGGATGACCAGTAAAATCAATTTGCATATATCCAATGAAGTTGCAGTATTTCTTAAAATTTCGGTTGTAACTTAGTTTAAGTTTTCGTGAATAAGGGCCCAGTTATCTCGCGTTGGTGCAGAAAGGTACTATGTTAATGAGGGAGGCTATCTGAAGATTTTTATTCCAAAATGTGAAAGCTATTGAATTGAAAATAATACAAGTAGTTAGGAAATGTAATAAACAAGGGAAAACTAGCATTAAAAAAAAGTTGTTGCCAGGGTAACACATTTTGTGGGAAAAAATTATGAAAAACGTGGGTACACTATATTTCTGGAACTAATTAAGATATCTTCGTCAAATTTACAGGATATATAAACTAATATCTACCACAGAATCAGACAGAAAGCAATTTGAATTATCAATAATATTTCAAAAGTTATCAAAATATTTCTCCAGACAAAATATTGTGGTTAGGCAAATGTTTTGAACACCATTTTCCAAGAAACTATTAAAATTATAGAGAAAAATTCTCTGTCTGGTTTTAGAGTTATCATTAAGGAATAAGCAGTCCGAAAATGAGACATTTATCTTTATTAGTGCCAGATATATGGTGTACCTACGTTTTTCATACTTTTTCCCAAAAAATGTGTTACCCTGGCAACAACTATTTTTTCTTTATTTTTAATGTTAGTCTTCAATTCACTAGCTTTAGAATTTTAGAAAGCATTTTTCAGGTAGCCTCACCCTTTAACCGCAATTTAATATCTACATACATGTACATGTAAAATGAAATTGAATGAATTTAAAGATTATATGAATTTAAAGAACAACAATAATAAGATTAATTATTGATGTGTCTAATTGTGTATATTTATATAATGTCCTGTTATTTATCATATTGATATCATTGTTTGATAAAAACTAGAGAATTGTATTCCATAGAACAAGTCCTGTTGGTTTCATCCATTCGTCTTTCTCTACTGTGAGCTTGATTTGGTCTCTTTCACCCTCAGATGATGTTCCATCGTGATTCCCCGGTTGTACGTAATGACAAGGAGTAAGGTCGTCTGTCCAACCTTGTGGGTTTTCTCCAGGTCCTCCGGTTTCCTCCCACTGCTAAAGACCCCCTACTCGCAAGCAAATTATTGAAATAAAATTAAACCATCTTTTAGTTGACAGATTTTGAATTCATCATATCTTCGTAAATACTGAAAGGAATTGAACCATTTTTTGGACTGATATTCATTCCAGAAACCAGACTTTTATAATATTTAGGGATTTATAGTTTCCTAAATAACTTTAGAGACCTTAACATAGTATGTATGTATATATATATATATATATTATCTTGGGTGTATATGCCAGTATGTCAACTCCAGGAAACACTGTATTAGGCCAGGCCTAGTATATTAGTCTCCACACTATCTAAACTATTATCTATGACTGTCGTTTATCTGCCTGTTCAGGGTTGGTGGCTACACTAGGGGCTGTCCCGAGACTGAAATTTGGTGTATAGGGGTAGCTCGGACCGGGGAGTATCGTACTCTTGTTGGCGATGGCCCACCACTTCCGGTTTATGGCTCTACCCGTGCCACGTCGAGTCGAAACCGCTAGTTACTGATAAACCAAAATAAAGATAAGTTTATAATGCATGAATATATTGTATACGATATGTTTTTTATTAATGGTTGAGTATCGCGTGTAAATAGTTAAATCATGTTAATTTAGATGATTGTTTATGATTATATATGTCACATGTATGTCAGATTTAGATCCAATATAAATCACTTATGTAAAATCAACAAATATTTTTCTTATTTGTTATGGTGACGGGGGGGCGCCGGCGGAATGGTTAGCACGTGCTGTATCATACGGCCTGTCATTGATTCAACTGGCATGGTTTCGAATCCCCGGTTGTACGTGACAAGGAATAGGGTTGCCTGTCCAACCTTGTGGGTTTTCTCCGGGTCCTCCGGTTTCCTCACACTGCTAAAGACCCCAACGCGCAAGCGAATTAATGAAATAAAATTAAACCATATGTTAGTCCCGAAATGACCTAGTTTGGAGGTTAAACCCCATTTCTCTCCCTCTCTGTTATGGTGCCCCAAACAATCTGGAGCGTTGGGTGGTGGTGGAATGGTAGAAGGCACTTTAGATCAAAAAGTCTGTCATTGATTCCCCACTTGTATGTGACAAGGAGTAGGTCGTCTTTCCAACCTCGTGGCATTTCTGTGGGTCCCCAGGTTTTCTCCCATGCGCAAGTGAATCATTGAAATGAGATTGAACCATATGTTAGTCCCGAAATTACATTACGTCTAGTGGACCTTAAACCCTTCACTCTCTCTCTGTTTGTGTTTCTAATGGTCTTATCCCTTGTTGCTACCCCCATCATTCCGTCCTGTCCAGTCTTGTGGGTCCTCCGGGTCCTTCGGTTTCATCCCACTGCTAAAGACCCCTACGCGCAAGCGAATTATTGAAATAAAATTAAAAACCATATGTTGGTCCCAACATGACCTAGTTTGTGTCGAGTGGACGTTAAACCCCATTTCTCTCTCTCTCTCCATCATTCCGTGTTAATGTTGCTACCTCCCCCGTTTGTGTCGCTACCCCCATCATTCCGTGTTAATGTTGCTACCTCCCCTGTTAGTGTTGCTACCTCGCTCATCCCCTGTTAATGTTGCTACCTCCCTCATTCCTTGTTAATGCTGCTAACTTCCTCATTCCCTGTCATTGTTAGTGTGCCCCCCCCCCCCCAATTCTCTGTTAGTGTAGCTACCTCCCCCATTCTCTGTTAGTGTGGCTATCCCCCTGCCCCATTCCCTGTTAGTGTAGCTACCTCCCCCATTCCCTGTTAGTGTGGCTATCCCCCTGCCCCATTCCCTGTCGTTGCTACCCCACATTCCCTGTTAGTGTTACAGCCAGGTCAGCCCTCTCCGCTTTCATCGGGCCCTACATGAATCTTGGTTAATTATTTTAACCAGGACAGAATAGTCAACAATTACACTTCCTTAACCCAGCAATATGTCTGTCATCTGATGATAAATGAGGATGAATGAAGAATGTGTTCTATATCTTTATATAATAGGATGAAGCAAGGCTTATTATCCAAGTCAATGGCTTGCTGACAGTCCTCCCAAAACAAAATCAAGTGTCATTTATATTCAAGGAGTCTCACCCACCCTTTCTCCCAGTAAATAATTTTTAAACAAAACAAATAACTATTTAGGAGCGTAACAATGCACAGAGCAGGTGCTCGACCCGTGACTGGTGCGTGCTCTAGTACGAAGGTTCTCAAATTGTTTACACTCACGGACCCCCTTAAGTTGAAACAATTGATAAATCTCCCCGAACACCCGACCCATTCGCATACAATTTATCCGGACAGTTTGGATTCCAAATGACTGGATATTTAATAGGGCTTGTTTTTCGTGCCATCCGGACGCAAAGAGTCCCCTCCGCGCCGAGTCCCCCCCCACCCTTCCTACAGTAACCTATACTGACAAGCAGTACCAAAGATGCCTTTCCCTGCCGAGCCCCCCCCCCCTCCCACAGTACTGACAAGCGGTAACCAAGATGCCTTTCCGTGCCAAGCCCCACGTCCTGCAGTACTGAAGAATTAACCCATGATGATGTAGATATGTGATAATATAGTAAGTAAATACAGTGTTTTGTACTGAGTAAACTTGATATGAAGAATAAAACATACTCAGTGACGTGGGTGTTATAAGGTCGTTCATATATACATGTTGTTTAAAGTGGAAAGAGAGAGAGAGAGAGAGAGCAAATCGGGTTTAACATCCACTTGACACAAACTAGGTCATTTCGGGACTAACATATGGTTTAATTTTATTTCAATAATTCGTTTGCGCGTAGGCGTCTTTAAAGGCTCAATACCACTCTTGTTGTAACTGAATAATATATCCCAATCTTTATTCTGGTCAACAAATTGTACTATTTTATAATATTTCAATTAATTGATGATATAAATTTCATCTTAACACACCTAATTTAAAAAATTGAAAAAATTCAACTAAATGATTTGAAAAGCCTGACGTAAAGCTTTTCAAATGTTACTTGAATTTTAAAATATTTTTGAACCCTCTGGACAAGTAAAATAGGATTTAATGGATAATTTACACAACAGGTAGGACACTAACACATCTAGTACTTAGAATAAGGCTATTTTTTTTATTTTCTGGAGCTGTCAACCCAGCAAGAGTGTTATTGTCCCTTTAACAGTGGGAGGAAACCGGACGACCCGGAGAAAACCCACGAGGTTGGACAGGTGACGGGAAGGGTTTAACAATCAAGACCAAATAGAGGAGGAGGTAACAACTAAGATCATTATTGAAAATAGTATTTCAATTGTAGCTAGCGATCTTTGTAGGTTCCGACAAAATAAACCCACGAAGATACTCTGTTGACAAAGTGGCTTGTTGAAATCACTTAACACTAATTGATTCAATTCAATACCCCCCCCCCCCAACCCCTGCTTGAGCAGCCCCACTGGATTCCTGAACAGTTACTGGGGTAGGATTTATTATAATGGCTGTCTAAAATCAACGAGAGGGGTTCACTAGGGATTCACTTCTTAAACCTAATCTGACCCTAATATTCTAATAATATAGGTGGACTAATGAACCCGCGGACCAGTGGTGGCGCCAGGGGGGGGGGGGCAAGGGGGGCATTTCCCCCCCATTAATCTGGTCTGCCCTCTGTTTGCTCCCCCCCCCCCCAATAATTTTAGAAAATAAAAAAAAAGTATTTATCTCGACGATCGGTGCCTGACAGAAGACAGCATTTCCGGCAGTCTATTTTTCAAAATTTTCTGGGGGAGGACTCCCTACTTTGACGCTCGTGAGTGGGCTTCGTCGTGATTCGCAAGTCCGTTCGTTTGACACTTTACCTCATCGATCAGTGCCTGAAATACTGCCAGGCTGCATTTCCGGCAACCTGTTTTTCAAAATTTTCGGGGGGAGGCCCCCTACCCCTAGTTGAAGCTCGTGCCTTTGCCCCCTTAACCTTGGACTTTGCCCCAGCTTTGCTCCTCCAATCACCGACGGCTAGCGCCGACACTGCCGCGGACTAGTGTACCTTAACCCTAACCCTAACCCCTATATATCGGTGGACAAATGAACCCGCAGACTAGTAAGCATCCCCCAAATCAACGATTATTGATGTGAGAATCACATTAACCATGTGACCTTCAATTTCTCCCCACAATGTTCCCTACGAATTAAAACCAGAGTGGTTTCCCCTTAACAGTGGTCCGGGCAGTGGGCCCAACTTCTTTTTTTTATAAACAATATTTTTATTCAGTAAATCTGAATTTGGATTGGCGAACAGGCTACACCTAATTATAAACATATAAGATACATAATAGATAACATAGAGACATTTTTTTATAAATATTTTATCAAGTAGAAATATGTTTTGAAAGTAGGCTACTGGGTTATGTTAGGTATGGCAAGGCCTGCACAACGTACAATCATCCAATACCCCCAAATTTCATAAAACCAGTTGAGAAATGAAATGGAGTTGCCCTACTGTTCTGCTCCGAACTGGGCTAATGAAGACGGGCATACGTCCTACAGTGTGCTTTGGGGGAAATTTTGCCCGGATAGCGGCACTATATATACGGCCTACTCTTATATCGAATTCCAACTGTTAAAGGATCTTTTATGTGCACGCCTATGTGTACAAGGGACATCGGTTTTTCGTCCCATCCAAACGACTAGACAGCTGTCTTGTCCTGCATCATTGACAAGGGAGGAAACAGTCGAGAGAGCTGACTGTACTAATAAGAGCAGGGGGGATGCACCACACAAAATTTGCACGACTGAAAATAACCTAACAAATGTTTTATGGTGATTTAAATCTTTTTGATAAATGAATAAATTGCTGAACTTCTTGGAAAATAATTGTGTTTATTTCAGAACCAAGTTTTGCTGAGCCATACAACAGACAACTTCGGGGCTTTTGTTTCAAGTGGCGGCGTTACGCCACGCTCACCCTCTCTATCTCGCGCGCGTGCTCTCTCTCTGACCTCTCTCTCTCTCTGACCTCTCTCTCTCTCTCTCTCTCTCTTCAGCGAAACTAACATTTATATGCTTTATACAGTGACAAGTTTGTTTTTTTACCTTTCTTGTCAAACCTATATATTATGTAAAAAAAACTCCAACCGCCCCTTTAACAAAATCCGGTTACAGAGTTCACGGTCATGTCAGCCCGATTCAATAACGCAATCATCGTAAGCATCTAGATTACCCAGTCATATTGCAACTCCCTTACCGTTATCTTTTATAAACAAAACTGGACGAACGGGACTACTGGAGTGGCCACACTTGTTTCTATTATTAGTAACAAGTCAGGGATTCACCGCGTGCTTCATGGAAACTATAAATAAAAGCGTTTCCCGATCGTGTTAACAAAGCAAATGAACAGACAACGACTTGTTATTCACGTGCATATGTACGTCCACTGTGTCAAGTTAAAATAATAATATAGTTATTAGTTGATATAAAGGTAAGTGGTTTTTATTTTAATATTAAATAGTTTAAAGTTAGGGACAAGGAACGTAGGAATTGGGCGGGTTTATGTCAATATAGGCCTACAGTACATACAGTACGTGTGTCGAGTCATCCAAACATAACTGTACAGAAATACATGTACATAGAAGTTAATGTTCTGTTTGTCTGCACTATGCAACCAGACATGTCAATTTTAATGATGTCATGCATTTTGCTTTGAAAGAATTTTTGCCCCACCAGCGGCGTTTACGCCAATCGAGATCTAGAGAGAGAGAGAGAGAAATGGGGTTTAACGTCCACTCGACACAAACTAGGACCATTCGGGACTAATATGGTTCAATTTTATTTCAATAATTCGTTTGCGCGTAGGGGTCTTTATTTAGCAGTGTGAGGAACCCGGAGGACCCGGAGAAAACCCAGAAGGTTGGACAGGCGACCCTGCCTGCTCCTTGTCACGTACCACCAGGTAATCGAAAGCACGCCAGCTGACGCAATGACAGACGCACCTTATGATACAACGCTCACGCGCTAACCTTTTGGTTATCCATCCCCATCCCTCCCCTTTAGTCAATGGAATTCCAGATAGGAAGATCGAGGTCTTCCATGAACCTTATTAATGTATTATAAGGTCGATGTTTCCACGCTACGTGCACGCGGTTTTCATTCTTGGGATGGCTCTGTGAGTACAATTCCTACCTCTAGTTTTGCACACCCGTAGAAAAAACTAATAACTATGCCTATATGTTAGTCCCAAAATAACAAAGTACTGTGTTGACGAGATGTTAAACACATATCTCTATCGATCCTTCCGAAGGACGCGACGGACATGTCCCAGCCTTGAAAGCACAATACATCTTAAATACTAGGTGTAAAGGCTTACAGCTAAACGTAGCGACATTTTGACCAGGCAGTGGTGTTTTAAAAGTAGATCGTGCTGTAATAAATAATGTCGAACAATTCGATATTGTCGTGGAGGTTAGTCATGTGATGTATAAATATGACCTCCATATGTCACTCGATTTGTCATAACGATCGACATATAGACCTGTCATAACACAATGTACCTTTATAATAACAGAGAAGGGAGAATGGGGTTTAACATCCACTCCAGAACTAACATATTATGGGGTCTTTAGCATTGGGGAGGGAGGATCGGGATACAAACCCACTACGATGAACATGCAAATTTTCTGGGTGTATTGCGTCAGCTTTTCAAAAAGAATTTTCGATTTTTAGTTTTTTTCCAATTATGGCCAATTGGACATGTCCGCTGGTTTTGGATATCAATAAAATTACACCAAGTGTCTAGCTATTCGAATGGGACGAAAACAAGGTCCCGGGGATGCGTATTCGTAAATGAACGCCTAACGGCAGAAATTTGAAATAGGAGTATGCAAACGTGTCCCTAATTGTCTATGTCCGTCTTCATTACCTCAGTTGGTGCAGAACTGTAAGAAATGAAATGGGGTTTAACGTCCTACTGTTCTACTCCGACTGCGCTAATGAAGACGGGCATATGCCATACAGTGTGCTATGAGGGAAATATTGCCCGGCCGACTTTTACACCGAATTCCAACCGCCAAGGGATCTTTTATGTGCACGCCAATGTATAAACGGGACCTCTACTTTTCGTGGGATATGAGTAAAGTCCAACACATGTTGGGTTGATACTATAGTTGTATATATATATAGTGTACTGTAGTAGACTTGACCTATATTATAATAAAAATATACTATTATTTACTGTGGACTTTGGAACTAGGTAACTAGACCATTGATATACCATAATAAATATATATGGGTGGTTTAATGGTCGAGAGCGAGACATTAAGTAATATATTGAGGGACGTGTTGCCGAGCTGTTGTTTTAATATATTAAGGGAGCCACGGAGGCTAGGTGGTTAAGACGCTGGCTCGCTAGCCTGGAGGTCGGAGGTTCGATCCCTGCATTGGCCGAGAAAGTTCACCCAGATTTTCCGGCGTGGTTCCCCCCTTGTCAGTGGTGCAGAACGGAGGGCCTGACTAGGACAGCTGTCTAGTCATTCGGATGAGACGAAAAACCGAGGTCCCGTGTATACATTGGAATGCACGTAAAAGATCCCTTGGCAGTTGGAATTCGATATAAGAGTAGGCGATAGTGCCGCTGCCCGGGCAAAATTTCCATCATAGCACACTGTATGGCGTATGCCTGTCTTCATTAGCCCAGTATAGGAGCAGAACAGTAGGACGTTAAACCCCATTTCATTTCATTTCATTTAATTTATTACGCCATGTCTTAAATATACACTATGCAAGAGCTAAATATGCCTATTGGAGGTCTTTCTGTAGGCCTGAATGTTATCTAAATTATTAATTAGACATTAATTAACTTATCCAGACCATAAACAACTCTCGATGTCATCGCTAGCCTGCGATATTTATTGGATTAGGATCCGATTTGCTACTAAACTTTGATTTATGATTTTATCATGAAATGGATAATCGAGACTATGTTTATTATCGTACCGAATTTAGTAATGATGATCGAGGCTGGGCCGAAAATTCAATCGCTAAAATCTCGGCTCCGAGTGGATCAATTTGAGGGTCATTCCATGTCAAATCACCCAATGAATTAAACCGTACCTTATTCGATTTAGCTGATTTGTAAGCTTATTTGGACAACAAAAAAAACCTGATATTCCAAATTTTAGATTGATCCGACTGACGGTTCCTAAGACACGGCCATCTCAATTTTGGGGATTTCAGCCAAAATGGGCGTGGTCGTCATTATTTAAATGACCATTACTCAGTAACCAATGGTAAAAATTGCTGAAAGAGGTATATGTGACATGGGTGAATTTTGAAGTGTGGGGACCCATTGACTTTGAATTTTACCTTGTGGAACGCGTGACCTTCAGATATCAAAACACCGGAGGTATAATATCTTTTATAAGTCTATAAAATCCTGTCAAATATCCACTAATGATGCTGAAAATCAATGTTTTTACACTTAAAGCAGGGTTATGTTTCCGGTGGGTTACCCACAGTTCTGTACACCTCACCCCAAAAACACGCCGTACTAGACCGTTCCATTGGATTAACTCTAACATCATCCAGAATGACTCGCAAATTTGTCCGTTTAATGAAATTTATATGTTTTATATTTTCAGATTTTCATTTTTTCTTCGTCCTATAAAAATCAAAATGGTTGTAGAATATACGTCACAGATATCTGATAAAGTACAATATAACAGGTAATCACCAGGGGTTAAACGTCCTACTGTTCTGCTCCAACTGAGCTAATGAAGATGGGCAATCCCGGGGGAGGACCTTCGCCCCTCCCTCCCCCCCGGCCATCTATGAAATGGGGTTTAACGTCTAACTGTTCTGCTCCAACTGGGCTAATAAAGACGGGCAATCCCGGTGGGGGGGGGGGGGAACCTCCGTCACCCCCCTCCCCGCCCATCTATGAAGTGGAATTTAACGTCCTACTGTTCTGCTCTTATGATAGACTAATGAATACGGACATACGCCATGCAGTGTGCTGAGGGAATTTTGCCCGGGCAGCGGCGCTACGTCCTACTCTTATATCGAATTCAAACTGTCAAGGGATCTTTTACCTGCATGCCAATGTGTACACGGGACCTCGGTTTTTCGTCTCATCCGAAGGACTAGACAACTGTCCTTGACAGGCCCTCCGTAGTCCGTTCTGCACCACTGACGAGGGTAAGCACGCCGGAAAATCCCGACCAACTTTCTCGGTGAAGTAATCATCGGTGAGTTGTTTTGTCGAGTTCATCCGTGTACTTAGTCAACATTTTCTTATATGTACCGTGCCTGTTGTATCATAAGGTCTGTCATTGAGTCAACTGGCGTGGTTTCGATTCCCCGGTTGTACGTGACAAGGAGTAGGGTCGCCTGTCAAACCTCGTGTGTTTTCTCCGGGTCCTCCCACTGCTAAAGACCCCTACGCACAAGCTAATTATGAAAATAAAATTGAACCATATGTTAGTCCGGAAATGATCTAGTTTGTGTCGAGTGGACGTTAAACCCCATTTCTCTCTCTCTTGTTTGTCTTGTAGGCGATGCTCTTCCACAAAAAGTCTAATTCTCTGCCATTTCAATTCCGGTCGACATAAAACTATGACAAGTTCTCACCAACAGACTGACTTCGACTTTCCATACGAGGTCAATTCCAATATGGCCGCGATGACGTCACACTCGACTCCTGGTTAACTCTCTATATTATAATAAATCAACGAAACAACCGGTATGGTTTCACCACTCAGTCAACAACATCTATCGTTGCTCATAGCCTCGAAAAGTCCAATTGCGTATCACAGCCCAATCTCCCAAACAGAGTTGTCTTCCTTTGCAGTTCGAATGCTGGATAGCGAGACTAGTGTGGAGAATGTTCACAGCTTAGCCATGATTATTTTATACCTAACATGCCACTATTTGTTTTGTGGTCACAGGAGCAGTGATAGGAAGTCGGAAGCCCTTTGCCCAGACAGCAAGCTTTCCGCCCACACTATCACGGGATCTTTAGCGTACACATTGTTCAATATCAGCCCCTGAATTTGATTTTCTTCTGTCTGCACATAAGACTTCGCAGTTGTGGGCGCGTGGCAATTTTAATGTGGCTACGTCTACAGTATTTGTTGTTCATTGATTTACTTAGATGTTATCTTTTATTATTCAGGAAAAGACATTCTGATAATTGTCCTTCAGAAGACGTGAAAAAAAGGAAAGAAGAATCCACGCCATTATCAGTGACATCCTCATCGACCGTTGACCACCATATTTGGGGTTCCGTTTTCCGGAGTCGACAAGATTTTGTAGATCTTCACGTGGCTTAAATTACGTCATGTGGTTTTAATTACGTCATCGTCATGCTTGGACGGCAGCCTCTTTATTTCAATAGCCTTACATCTGTACATATTCAGCATCACGTGCAATAGCTGGACTTTGTTTTGTTGTAGATTTTGTAAGGGCCATCAATATTGCCTATTAATAGACATACTCTTACGTCATGGTTATTAATAGACATACTCTTACGTCACGGGTATTAATATACATACTCTGAAGAGGACAATACAATATGAAGAAGCGATGTGTCACACGTGTATTGAACAATGTTGTTCCGGAATGTAGCGAGATGAGCACTAATATAACTATGTTCCCAGTATTCGTGAAAACACCTGATCCACACAACCGACAACTTTTATTATTGTAAGTTCCTGGGCCTAATGATATTTAAACATCTGTTGTCAAGCTTCTTTTTCATGGTGTTTTGAGGTTTTTGAATCTAGGTTAAATTAGCTGGAAAGCTACCATATTAGGCCCGTGGCGAGGTGGATTCTCGTTACGTTTATGAACGGGTAGATTCTCAGATAAAATCATATACATGTATATAAATATGTTTATACGCCCACATTCAAAATGTGGTCGTATATTCTCGTTGGTCCATCCGTCTGCAGCGTCCGGATTGTGGACGCTCTAAGAGATTAAAATTAATATCCGATTGCCTTGAAATTTCAGGTCATGGGACGAGGAAGCCTGTTGATTTTCAACAATTTCAGATAATTACTTTCAGAGTTATGGCCCTTGACAACTTGAAAAATTTTGTGAACGCTCTCGAGACCCGTTATCCAGTTACTTTAAATTCACAGTGTTTATTCACGAGACGAAGAGGCCCATTTTTTTTCCTACAAGTGCTTCCGGAGTTATGGCCCTAGATCAATTGTGGATGATTGACTTTAGATTTATAAGGTGTTTTAAGGTCTTCATTACAGACAAAAGAGAAAATATGCACCATCCCTTGTGGACTGGCCAGACGATTTAGCTTAAATGTAGGCGTATGTTTCGTTGCCTGGCAACCTATATATATATTTTTTTAAATCATAAAATCTGCTGGAATGCCTATATTAGGCTCAAAGCATGACCTCTGTTACACATGCACCATCTGTTGATCCGACGACTTAGTAAACGTTGGTTGAATCGAATCCAAAAAGGTATGGTAGATTAGGATACTGGACTATGATTGAAGTTATCTCCCTTGGGACTCAAATTCGATAGCCTTGATGTAAAGTGGACTGTTCCAGTTTCTACCGTATTTTTACCTTATTTTAAAAGGGGGCAGAACTCCATATAAATTTTGATCTTGTGGAGGCAGACCACCATTAAATTTCACCATCCATGAATTGTAGTTCGTCTATTTATAGCAATTCTCTCTTTTCTCCCCTTTTGCATGCCCATTTTTGTTGATTTTTTTGGTCTAGAATGGACGAAGAGGGTTTGAATTAACATTTTCTGCCAGGTTTTGGTAAATATTCATGATTTTGAGGCGGAAGGATAACAGGGTTATCAGGTTGACTACGGCGATATGTACGGCAACTAGTTACATGTTTTTAGTACGCTTCTAGTTTGTGTATCTCAAAATTTTGGTGGTCAACCTCATACAAATTTTAGTGCAAAGACATGACCATTTGTTCCTCTGTAGTGAAAAGCATTCAGCCCAACGAAAATTTGGGGAAAAGTTGGAGGTGGGCAAAGAGGCCAGCATTAACATTGAAGTCAACGAGGGAATTAATGCTGGTCTGCCTCCTTGTGTCAATAATTTGTATTTATAGTATTCTTTTAACATATCCTGTGTACCACGCTTATAATTCATGTAATTCGTTTTTCCAACATATCCATTTTATAAAACAATGTTAACTATAGCTTGTATATATTAGTATTTAACTAGTCTCTCATTGTTAAATAGTGTAGGCCTACATAAAAATAAAACATGACTTCAGTCAATCTCTTAGAGTTGTCTCCCCTTGCAGTTCATGACCGCTGGATAGCGAGACTGCTTACAGCCAAGAAGACAAACCAGGGCCCCGTTTCTCAAAATCTTAACTAAAAGATAAAATCCAATTTTAGTAGATACTTTAGTTTTGATTGGCTAAGCACCAAAATCAAATATTATCCAATCAAATTACTAAAATTTGGATTTTATCTTACTTAAAATTTCGTGAAACAGGCCCCAGAATCCTAGCTGTTGGTTGTACAGCGGCGGTGGTTGGGGAAGGCTTGCTTAACGGCCACTCATTGCAAACTAATTGTAGACAATATCGCAATTCTGTATTTGTATTATTACGAATGAATATTTCCCCGTCTTGAGCCACCGTTACCCTCATCACGACACCTTATCAAGTTACAATATTCAGTGTAGGCCTACTATTGTCAAGATACATGCGCATAGGCGTACGGGGAAATTTTTGACTGGGGGGGGGGGGGGGGCGGTGGTGGTTGGTGCCCAAAAAATGTAGTTAGGTTCTTAGTATGTTACATAATAATAATAAATTCGCTGTTAAATTAGACACATTCAAGAACACAATCTCTTTTTTTTATACAACTTTTACAAAATACAATTGTGTGCCCAAATTTTCCCAGCATTTGGTGCCCAAAATGGGGGAGGGGGCGCCCCCCCTGCCCCCCAGCTCGTACGCCTATGTACATGCGCATTAGATCAGGTTATCATACAGTCAAGTAGTAGCACGCTTCCGATTCCAAGATTGTACGCGCTGCCCAAGTTCTTTCCGGGTAGGCCTACTCCCCCCGCCCCACACACTGCTAAAGACCCGTACGCGCAAGCAAATTATTGAAATAAAATTGAACCATGTTAGTCCCAAAATGACCTAATTCGGGTCGAGTGGACGTTAATCCCATTTCCCCTCGATCAGTTTGTAGGTTGGTGGGGATGGATTACGTTGGACGGGGCTGGGCGGGTAGAGTCATGGCGATACAACGACCACATGCTTACCGCAGAATGATGGAGTGGAATTTTACAGGGACAAATGAAATGAGGTTTAACGTCCTACTGTTCTGCTCCAACTGGGCTAATTAAAAGAAGCATACATCGTATAGAGTATACAGTCAAAATGAACCGGGGATTTAATGTCCTGCTTTTCTGCTCCGACTCCGCTAACGGTACACGTAAAGGGATTTAACGTCCTACTGCTCCGACTGAAGCTAATACTGGTACACGAAAACGGGGTATAACGCCCTGCTGCTCCACTAGAGCTAAAACTGATACACGAAAACGGTGTTTAACGTCCTACTGCGCCGACTGGGCTAATGCTCGTACACGAAAAGGGGTTTAACGTCCTACTGCTCCCGTGCTCCGACTGGGCTTATGGAGACGAGCGGGTCGGTGTCAATATTCAAACCGTAAATGGGATGGGGGTGGGCGGGGGGAGAATATCGATCGACGCTTTTCCTTGTGAACTGTAGGATTTCTCGTAGTTCCATCTCCTGCGTTTTCAGGTTTCAAAAACATGGGAAAGTCGGATCATTCAGAAATCACCGTACATTTTCATCACCCTACCGGAATAATTTAACTTGATAACGGTAATAAGCTCAATTTATTCAAGTTTATTACGCATGTTACTTTCCGGTCATCAGACCAACCAGTGCCCGGATACCATAGTTGGGTATTTCTGTACATGGGCGAACCGAATTTCTGAAATAAAAACCGTTATAAAATATAGTCTACATTACAATGTCTTTCTTTCCACCCAACTCCTGGCTAGCAGGGCTGGGCGGGTTAACAATTCAACATGCATTATGCAAGAGCTAAATCTGCCTATTGCAGGTCTTTCTTTAGGCCTGAAATGTTTTCTAAAGTATTAGACATTAATTAACTGATCCAGGCCTTAATCAACTCTCGATGGCATCAGATTTCTCCGACATTAAATAGATTAGAATGGTTCAGCGATACTTTGATTTAATCAAATATGGAGGACCGAGACTTAGCTTCGATCAACCAGTACGGTGGTTGAAATTATTGCACACGTCTGTCAAACCTTCAAAGGCTAATATCTTCGCTTGCAATAGAGTAATTTGAATGAAATTTTCAAATTATTCATTTTACATCATCTACTTTCGAACTATTATAGCAAGAATGGTTAGTTCTTTATCTAAATCTTACATGATGTATCTTTAACTAGTTAAATTAACAAGGAAAGCTCATCTCTTTATGAGTTCGATACGATTATTTTCACCCTATAGACTCGTATATAAACAGAGGCCAATGGCTTTATGTAAAGAAACGGCATCTGCAATCGTTTTCTTGCATGATTACACTAATCCGCAGTGAATATTCGCTAGGCCGCGACAATCACTGATAAGGATGACATCGATGCGACCTAATGAGCCACAAATATTAACTTTTTTCCTCCGACAAATTAAATTCTAAAATATTTTTTTTATGTATTTGAAAATAAGACGTTTGAAGTATTTGTAGTAAAAATTATTTCCTATTTTAGTGTAAATGGGTATTAAAATGAGTAAAAAGGCGCAATTCTGCTCGAATCAGTAACGTCTTATATAAACAATGTACGCGCCATTGATCGACTAGACAGCTGTCCTTGCCAGGCCGTCCGTCCTGCACCACGGACAAGGGGACAGCATGTCGGAAAATACCTGACTTTCTCGCCAATGCAGGCGGCCTTCGCCACAGTGGATTCCCTATTCATAGAGCATAAATCCCCCATTTATATTACATGGGGAACGGGGTCGTTATATTATTCTGCATTAATTGGCTAATTTAGACGGGTATGAATACGGATATATGCCATGCAGCGAGAGGGACATTACACCCACTAACGGCTTTCTAGAATTCCAACTGTCGTCAAGGTGATCGGTAGAGGTTCCCCGAAATATTATAATATCCACCTACTTTTTAGAATCAGCCGCCAGAAAAGAAAACGGTTGAATCTCTGATATATCACCATGGTCACATAAAATTCTCGACATTGTGATTTCTTTAACAAAGTTTACCATTCCTGCAACAAAAACTTAAGACATTACGATCACCATTTTACCGGAAGCTTTACGCAAACCATAACGAGACTAGACTATCAAGGGCAGATAATCCCCCAGATTGAATTCAATCGGAATAATGGGACCCATCAAACGCACTTAACCAACACTGGTTTATAACGTCTACAGATGAGGTATTTGTAAAAATGAAATGGAGTTTAACGTCCTACTGTTCCGTTCCGACTGGGCATATGAAGAAGGGCATACGACATAGTGTGCTATGAGGGAACGTTTACCCGGCAACGGCACTATGGCATATTCATATTCGAATGTCAACAGCCAAGGGATGTTTTTACGTGCACGCCAATGTGTACACGGGACCTCGGTTTTTCGTCCCATCCGAACGACAAGACGGCTGTTTTTGACAGGCCCTACGTCCCGCACCGCGGACAAGGGGAACCAAGTAGGAAAATCCGATGAACTTTCTCGTCCAATGTAGGGGTCGAACACGCGACCTCCAGACTAACGAACCAGCGCCTTACACGCCTAGTCACCGTGACCTCCCCGAGAAATTTTTCATGAACCGGACAATATTCTCTTCGAGAAGCAACTGTTCCCTGGCCGATGAACTTTCTATGCCAACACCGGGAGCGAGCCAGCGCCTTGGTCGCTTAGCAACCGTAAGTAGTTCCCAGAGGCTTTTCTAAGACCATAAAACCAAAGACTTAAACTTACCATTGCCTAAACCGGCGTAGATATTTTGCGTTTCATACCAAAATCTATCGCCGTGTTTTAAATTTCTAAACTGTCGACCAACAATACACGCAAACGTAGGTCCTAGAATGGCATCCTCTTCCGGCGGTTCACACATTCCGCCAACAAATAGATCGATATCGTCCACAGACCTGAAAAGTGAAACCGAGAAAAGTGCCGTTTAAAAGCTAATCGACATAAACAAGGTCATTTGGAGATTTTATAAGGGGAAATCCCTACCCGAAGATTTTACCAGCGGCTGCCAGGCAGGATACGCCCACATTTTCGAGAGATGGATAGAGAACAAGCTAAAAAGAAAGTGATTTTTCGTACAATCAGGGGCCATAATTCAGGAAGTTACTGTCCGATATGCGCGAATATCGAATTGTACCAAGATCTTTGGGTTATAAACTTACATTTCAAGTTTCAACAAAATCGGATAAAAATTGTGACCTCTAATAGGGTCCACAACCTTGATATACCATATTTTTACGCCATTTGAGAACGAGGGATGGCCATTTTGTCTGTCAGTTTTGGGCCGATTTTCACGAAATTCGAACTCCGCCGTCCTTAGAGTGTAACGGTGATGTAATAATACGGTTTTTGAAATCGGATAAAAATTATGACCTCTATAGGGTCCACAAGCTAAAATCGCAATTTTTCGTACAATCAGGGTCCATAATTCAGGAAGTTACGGTCCGATATGCGCGGATATCGAATGGAACCGAGATCTTTGGGTAATAAACTTACATTTCAAGTTTCAACAAAATCGGATAAAAATTGTGACCTCTATAGGGTCCACAACCTTGATATACCATATTTTTACGCTATTTTTAAATCGAATAAAAATTATGACCTCTACAAGCTAAAATCGCAATTTTTTGTACAGTGTTCACAAGCTAAAAACGCAATTTTTCGCACAATCAGGGGCCATAATCCACGAAGTTACAGTCCGATACATGCCAATATCGAAAGGAACCGAGATCTTTGGGGGATAAACCTATATTTCAAGTTTCATTGAAATCGGATAAAAATTGTGACCTGTAGACTGTTCACAAACAATTGTGGACGGACGGACGGACAGGGGCGACGACAATATACGTCCACATGAAAATGTGGGCGTATAAAAAGGGAAAGCCCTATCCATTAGTTCTGTTTAGATATTAAACGTGAAAGCCCATTGACTGGTTCTAATTTAACACAAAGCTCTGCCTATTGTTTCTTGGTCAATCTGATTAAAATAAAAATCTATGTTTTGTTTCGTTTTTTTTTTATACTTTTCATGAAGATCTGACCGGTTGTAGTGGAAGGTCGAGTCGGGTCATACGAGAGGCTTTTGATTAACCAATCAGCGTTGATGTTTCTAGTCCACATCACATCAAAACACTCGCCGAAACAGACCGTTTCATTAGCTAACCACTCACGTCATCCAGAACTCAGGTTAGATAACAACGATTCCAAATTCTAGTGTAGTAAAGACAAACAAAACGAAATTTTGAACCATAAAAAAACGAAACGAAATAGGATCTGTGTTTTAATCAGATTGGTTTTTTTTTTGTTGTTAGATTTGAACTTACGCATATACATCTTTCAATGACTGGCTACAGGATCCAAATATGTCGGATGAAAACGATGTTGCCGGTTGAAGATTACACTCTCGACGATAGTCATTAAAACTTCCTAAACCATGATCTCTACCTCGTTGAATGTTCAGGGAGAAGAGATCGAGTGAATGGTTGTTGAGCAGGAAGAGTTTATTAGCCACCTCCTGACTAAAATGGACATCACTCTTTTCACTTTGATTCCCAACGATTGTTTTTACCAGGTCGGAGAAATGGTGGATCACACTATTGGTCTTGAAGTAAAGCTTGTGAATAGGTACTTCCTCTCCAGCGATCTTCATCGTGTCCGGAATCTGAGAATGTCCATATCTAAACGCGGCCGTGGCGAACGCGTTTATTATCATTGGGTTGCGATATTTATCATATTTGTAAGGGGCCCAGATTTGGTATTTTTCAATATTTTTGGGACCTAGCAAGATGGGAAGAAATTCGTCGTTATTAATTTTCTGGATGACAGCCGATACAATTTTTCTGGTCGCCTGAAAGATTCGTTCATCATTCCAAACTAAGGGTAGACGCTTAAAAAAATAGCCAGCTATTTTAGCGATGAAAGCCATTTTAGATGCTAGTCGATTGTGAAAGCGAACAAAGACTGTGTGGAGAGCTGCTAACCCTGGAAATACGTTTACTCTCGCATCACCTGTAATAAAAAACAGGAAGCGATCAGAATTCCATTGTAAACATTTTGAAATGAGAGAGAAACGGGGTTTAACGTCCACAGACTAGGTCATTTCGGGACTAACATATGGTTTAATTTTATTTCAATAAATCGCTTGCGCGTAGGGGTCTTTAGCAGTGGGAGGAAACCGGAGGACCCGGAGAAAACCCACGAGGTTGGAAAGCAACCCTACTCCTTGTCACGTACAACCGGGGATTCGAAACCACGTCAGTTGACTCAATGAGAGGCCTTATGATACAGCGCGCATCCGCTAACCATTCGGCCATCCAACCCCCCCATTATTAAAATGTGAAATGAGATTGTGGTACGAGAGAAATCGTGCCCGTACAGCAGCGCTACGGCCTATACTTATATCGAATTCTAACTGCCAAGGGTTATCTTACGTGCACAAAAATGCATACACGAGACCTCGGTTTTAGCCCATCCGAACGACTGTTCTGCATCATCGACAATGGGATTCCACACTGGCAAATCTCAATCAACTTCAAATCTAAACCATGTTCCTGAAGCAACGACTGCGAGTTTTGCAACGTCTGGCCGTTGCTTGTTTACTTCACAATTCCCGAACTTATAGCTACGTTATCTACAGACACGTGAGCGTCCAATCAGAGGTTGTGACATCGCGACCTTCACGGAAACCTTGACATTGAACTAACCTTGAACTTTGCAACTCAATTATCACAGGTAGACATTTTAGCTTGAAAGCGCCCGACTTAGTATTCGTGACGATCAAGGAATCTGATAAGCTGGGATTGTACCCAATCGAAATTAGTGTCGCAATATGCAGGGTATTACGTGAAGGCCTTGATAAGATGAAGGTAGTTAAAGCGAGATCTGTTGAAGATGAACCTAAACATGTTTACTCGTGGTTATGTTGTGTTGGATGGGGAGGAAAATATCGGCTCGACTCTCACTAGACAAGAGGCGGTCAAGTATCTTGTCAGAAATAGATTTGGATGAAAGTATCAAACTGGCTTTAATTCCCCCCGATATGAAAACCCCAGATAAAACCAAGATAACATACCAGCAAGAAAACAGAAATCTTCATCCTGTTTTTTTCTACAAGCATCGACATTATCATCTTCTGGTAGCAGATTTCCAGCTGAAGTCGACATTAAACCTAAAATATAAAATACATAGCAAAACCTTAAAATATGAAATGAAAGCTCTAACGCCCGGGCAACCACGTGACGCTAATGCTCAGAGCACCACCACGAAACGCCAACGCCCAGAGCACCATCACGGGACGCCAACGCCCAGAGGGCAACCACGTGACGCCAACGCCCAGAGCACCACCACGAGACGCCAACGCCCAGAGCACCACCACGGGACGCCAACGCCCAGAGCACCACCACGGGACGCCAACGCCCAGAGCACCACCACGAGACGCCAACGCCCAGAGCACCACCACGAGACGCCAACGCCCAGAGCACCACCACGAGACGCCAACGCCCAGAGCACCACCACGAGACGCCAACGCCCAGAGCACCACCACGAGACGCCAACGCCCAGAGCACCACCACGAAAGGCCAACGCCCGGAGCACCACCACGAGACGCCAACGCCCGGAGCACCACCACGAGACGCCAACGCTCGGAGCACCACGACAAGGTACCAATGCCACATCACGAGTTGCAATCGCAAAAGCCCATCCCACGACAGGCCAACGACCACAGCACCACCGGATGCCAACACCACACTACGAAACACCCTGACAACTGTAAACGCCTACAGCTGGAGCTGGGACCACCCAAAGCACGAAACCCAGTACACAAGGCGCTAACGCCACGTACACGCCACAGGGCTGCCATGATACAGTTGTTATTTAGAAGCACATACCATCAGTACCAGTTCTCAACGCGTTCATTTCATCTTCTGAACTACCATACACCATGGATCCATCTATGAACGATGTTATAGCATTAAACTGTTCTCTTGGTTCTAAAATACAACAATAAATTGAAGAGGCTGAGAGAGAGGGAGGGTAGAGGGGGCGGTCGAGGGAAAGAGGGTAGAGGGGGCGGTCGAGGGAAAGAGGGTAGAGGAGGCGGTCGAGGGAAAGAGGGTAGAGGAGGCGGTCGAGGGAAAGAGGGTAGAGGAGGCGGTCGAGGAAAAGCGGGTAGAGGAGGCGGGAAGAGGGAAAGCGGGTAGAGGAGGCGGGAAGAGGGAAAGCGGGTAGAGGAGGCGGGAAGAGGGATAGGGGTGGGAAGAGGGAAAGCGGATAGGGGTGGGACGAGGGAAAGCGGATAGGGGTGGGAAGAGGGAAAGCGGATAGGGGTGGGAAGAAGGAAAGAGGATAGGGGAGGGAAAGAGGATAGGGGTGGGAAGAGGGAAAGAGGAAAGGGGTTGGAAGATTGAGTCGGGAGGGGTGGAGAGAGGGGGGGGGGGGTAGTGGAATGGAAGAGGAGAGGGGGGGGGGAAAGAGGAGAGGGGGGAGGGGGGAGGGAGACGTAACTACATTGGTGATTGTCCTTCCGCGAGGGAGGAAGGGAGCGAGCGAAAGACAAGGGAAAGATTTTACTACATTGGGGAATGACTTCCTATGGAGGGAGGGTGCGAGAAGAGTTTGACAAACGCCCTTCTGCGAGTGAGAGGAAAAGGTGTGGCGTTCATTCAACAAAACCTAGGTCATTGTTGAACTAACAATACGATCAAGACAGTTAATCGTAGTCATATGCATCAGGTTTCAAAATATGTCTAGTAAAACGTGCTGGGGGGGGGGGGCAAACAAAATGAAAACTATGGGATAATTATCCGCTTCAAATGAAATGAGGTTTAAAACTCCAACTAGGCTAATGAAATACAGTGTACTACTCGGACAGCAGCACCACACAACGGCCTACTCTTATATCGAATTCCAACTGTCAAGGGATCTTTTACATGCACACCACGGGATCTCGGGTTTTTCGCCCCATCCTAGCCACTATACGTTGTCTCTTGCCAGGCCTGCACGACTGACAAGTGGTAGTATTCCCGATGTATATTCTCAGCCCACGCCTGGATCGAACACGTGATCTCCAGATCCTATGAAACCACCGTGACTCCCTTGAATGAAGATATCGAAGTTGTGATTGACACGAATTGAGATTAGAACAGTACCACAGACGCATGTAACGCGATAGGTCTCTGAATGGTTTGAGAGATTAGCCAATGAAACGTTTTGTTACGGCGGGCTTTATGCGTGTTTTTCACGGAACTGCGGGTAATCCATTAGTAACATCAATGCTGATTGGTTAATCAAATGTCTGACGCCCAGAGTCAAAAGCCGCTCATGTGACCTCTGACGCGACCTGCCGCTACAACCGGTCAGATCTTCATGTAGTGTAGGCCATCGAAAGTATACAAAACGAAATATAGATCTGTATTTTAAAATCAGATTGGCTTGTCACAGCGTAAAGATACATTATATAAAAGATTTGGATGAAGAGCTAGTTCCAAATGTGAAAATAGATAATGTAAAATGAATAAATCGACAATTTCATTTAACTTACTCTATTGCGAGCGAAAATATTAGCCATTGAATGGTTTGACAAGATGTGGGCATTAAGTGCAACCACCGTACTGGTTGATCGAAGCTAAACCTTGCACCTCCATGGTATAAATTAAATCAAAATTTGGCGGACACGTTCTAATCTACCGAATATCGGAAATGAAATGGGTTTAACGTCCTACTGTTCTCCTCCTGACCCGGGCTAATGAAGACGGGCATACGCCATACAGTGTGCTATAAGGGAATTTTTGACCGGGCAGCGGCACTATCGCCTACTCTTATATCTAATTCCAACTGCCAGGGGATCTTTTGCGTGCATTCCAATATATACACGGGACCTCGGTTTTTCGTCTCATCCGACGGACTAGACAGCTGTCCTTGTAAGGCCTCCGTCCTGCATAACTGACAAGGGGGAACCACGCCGGAAAATCTGGATGAACTTTCTCGGCCAATGCAGGGATCGAACACCCGACCTCCAGGCTAGCGAGCTAGCGTCTCACCCACTTAGCCACGTGATCCCCAACTGAATATCGGGGATATCCGATGGTAACGAGAGTTGATTATGGTTTTGTCATGTTAAAAAATGTCTAAAAGATTATATAACATTTCAGGCCTAAAGACCTGCAACAGTCAGATATTGCATAATGTATGTTGAATATTGAAAGTGATTTTTCATGTTGCAGGCGTCTGTGGTTAGACCATCTTCCCATTATTCTCAGAAGTTGAGCAAATAAATTTCTTACTTGACGTGTCATCAAACGGCCTTGACCTAGTAAACTTCATGCAGTTGGTTTTGAAATGAACATCATTTTCTGGTATAATTATAGGAAAACATGCTCCCCTGTAAAATGCAACAGAAATAGATACAAAACATCCGGCGGTAAATACATCAACTGGGCTTTAACGTCCCGCTGTTCTGCTCCGACTGACAAAGGATCTTCTACATGCACACCAATGTGTACACTTAACCTCGGTTGTTAGTCTAATCTAAACGACTATTTGTTGTCCCTTGCCAGGCTTTGCATCCTACACCACTGACAAGGGGGGGCTACACTAGAACATCCTGATAAACTTACTTTTTACGCTGGGATCAACACAGGATCTCCAGGGTAGCGAGCCAGGGTCTTACTGAACCATCGTGGCTCCGTGTGTGGCAACGAAATAAAAATGAAATGGGGTTTATTGTTCTGTTCTGCTCCAATGAAGACGGGTATACGCCATAGAGTATGCTATGAGTGAACCATCGTGGCTCCGTGTGTGGCAACGAAATAAAAATGAAATGGGGTTTATTGTTCTACTGTTCTGCTCCAATGAAGACGGGTATACGCCATAGAGTATGCTATGAGGGAAATTTTTGCCTGGGCAGCGGCACCATGACCTACGATTACATCTAATTCCAGCTGCCAAGGGATCTTTTACGTGTACGCCAGTGTGTACAAGGGACGTCGGTTTTTCGCCACATCCGCAGACTAGCAGTTCTTGTAAGGCCTCCGTCCTGCATCACTGACAAGAGGAAACCACGCCGGAGAATCCAGATGAACTTTCTCGGCCAATGCCGTGTGTGGCAACGATATACCAGACAATAGCCCATCTCATACATGACTATGATTAAAACAGATCGACAGGATAGAAATAAAATATTTTTATACATACGATTTGTAAATATAGTCAGACATGACTCCACTACAGCACTCGGACCAACTACCTAAAAATATGCACAAAAAATCTTATACACTGTTCCAAGGCTCTTCAATAACATCTAGACAAAAATCATCTTTTACACGGTTCCAAGGCTCCTCAAGACAATAATTTGTATGCTGTTTATGGAAGCCTAATTTAACGTAGCCAAGTCTAACTCAATATCATTCAAAGTCGTGGACATTGAAAACACAAATTATTTATCAATTTAAATCAACATTGATGTTGTGGTCTAACGGGGAAAAGATGGGCTTCTGATATCCAATATTTAAGACAAATATTTTACCATTACGAATCGTGTACCATAATGCGGTTCGGTGCCATTTGTAACAAGGGATTCGAAGAAGGAGTCTAGACATATTCCACAGGTCAGATGCCGAACTCATAAATGAAACGAGGTTAATTCTACTGTTTCGTCCTATACTGGGCTAATGAAGACGGGCATACGCCATACAGTGGGCTACGAGGGAAATTTTGCCCGGGCAGCGGCACTACGGCCTACTCTTATATCGAATCTTATAATCAATCAATCTTATGTTTGTGTAGCTAACCATTGTGCCTTACACCCAAAAACCAGTAGGAAGTTTATAGAACCCACCTGATAATGCTGGTGTAGTCAACCATTAGGCCATCCCACCTGGTAATGGCGATAGCTACCCCCCCCCCCCAGTAGTATTAAGAGAACCCACCTGATAATGCTGATGTAGCTACGCCCCCTCTCACACGTAGGTAAGAAGTTCATAGAACCCACCTGATAATGCTGATGTAGCTAACCCCCCACCCCCAGTATTAATAAGAGGACCCACCTGATAATGCTGATGTAGCCAACCCCCCCACCCCCAGTATTAATAAGAGAACCCACCTGATAATGCTGATGTATCCAACCCCCCCACCCCCAGTATTAATAAGAGAACCCACCTGATAATGCTGGTGTAGCCCCCCCCCCCCCCGTATTAATAAGAGAACCCACCTGATAATGCTGATGTAGCTACCCCCCCTCCCACACGTAGGTAAGAAGTTCATAGAACCCACCTGATAATGCTGATGTAGCTACCCCCCCACCCCCAGTATTAATAAGAGGACCCACCTGATAATGCTGGTGTAGCCCCCCCCCCCCCCCCCCGTATTAATAAGAGAACCCACCTGATAATGCTGATGTAGCTACCCACCCCACCCCCAGTATTAATAAGAGGACCCACCTGGTAATGCTGGTGAAGCCAACCCCCCCCACCCCCAGTATTAATAAGAGGACCCACCTGGTAATGCTGATGTAGCTACCCCCCCACCCCCAGTATTAATAAGAGGACCCACCTGGTAATGCTGGTGTAGCTTGCAGGTCATGGTCTATAAACTGACCCCATTGCATGACCATATAACTAAACACTGGCGATAAGGAGCTCGACATTTTAGCAACTTTTTTACACAATAACCGTGGACTGGGTAATAAGCCATTTCCATCCAAACTCTTCTGTCTTGGTATCGACTCTCCTGAAATAAAATTACATTACTTATAGAAGAAATAAAATGAGACGGGATTTAACGCCCTATTGTTCTGCTCCGACTGGGCTAGACAAGACGGGCATACGCCATATAGTGTGTTATGAGGGAAATTTTGACCCACTCTTACAATCGAATTCCAACTGCCAAGGTATCTTTTACGTGCAGGCCAATATGTACAAGCTAGTTTTTTCGTCCCATCCGTACGACTAGACAGCTGTCTTCGTCAGGCCCAGTTTCCTGCACCACTGACAAGGGGAAACCACGTAGGAAATTCCCTCTTGAAACTTTCTCGACCAACACCGGGATCGACCCCGCCATTCCCCGACTAGCGTCTTACGGAAGAAAAAAATAAAGTTTAACATCCTACAACGTTTCGTTCCCGTGACCATTAGGACTCCACACAGCACGGCTTTTCGGACTTAACTTCTCTTGGGTGAGGGAGGCAACTAGTGTCAGATCTTCACCCCTCCTGTACCAGCAACATGATCAAACCAGGACGATAGCCCCAGGGGTACTTTCTCCCCGACAGTCATTGAGACCGAAGAGAGAGAAATGGGGTTTAACGTCCACTCGACACAAACTAGGTCATTTCGAGACTAACATATGGTTTAATTTTATTTAAATAATTCGCTTGCGCATAGGGGTCTTTAGCAGTGGGAAGAAACCGGAGGACCCAGAGAAAACCCACGAGGTTGGACAGGCGACCCTACTCCTTATCACGTACAACCGGGGATTCGAAACCACGCAAGTTGACTCAATGACAGGCCTTATGATACAGCGCGCACGTGCTAACCATTCGGCCATCCACCCCCCCCCCCCCCCACTGAGACCGGAACCTACGTAGCAATATATATCCAGGGGCGCAGATCCAGAAGCGGGTGGGGGGGGAGGGGGTATTCTGACACATAAGTGACAGTCACGTGACAGTTGTCAAAATGTTACAAAGTTTTAACCTCATTACAAACGACGTATTTATTAGATTACCGACATTAGGCACACAGATGGGTGTGACAAAGTGATTTATACTTTATCAAATTGAACGATCATTTAGGTGCTTGGAACTTAATGAACTCTGCTATAAACTGTATAAAAGCACGGACTGCCTACGATCTTATTAAACATCTAGTTGATTCAATATGTCCTTTACAAGCTACACATGATATGTTTATAACACTAGGCAGAACTTCAAACAGAATGTAGTAGTGGTCAGTGCATCATACTATGACCTGATAATGACTGGTTCCAAGGAAATATGCAGTGTAATTACAGACACCATAATTTGATGAATAAATACCATATATGGTGATCACTCTTGTCCATTTTCCCTAATTGTTGAACGCTATATAAGCAGGAGTTTACTGACAGTAAGTCAGACTTGGAATAGAGCTCCTCCCGATTTATGTCTTTTTCATGTTCTTAATAAAGGTCTTTATGCTGATCTCTGTTATCTGTAGGGTTCGTCGCGCGTAACAAAATCATACTTTACCGTCATCGTAGAGGTTTGGCACCATTCTTACATAGGTGGCGTTGGCCTGACCCCATGATGGGTGACGTTTGTTGTTACAACTGCCATCCGCTGTTCTAAACGACCGACTTGCTCCAAAACATTCCGCTTGCGTTGCTAATCTACAAATCAAACATTGGTTTAAAGGCAACGAAACATACACCCACCAGCAGGCAAGACCTTCCAAACATTTATGAGCCAACTTGTGAAGCCTCTACGTTGACAGAAGGCCCCAAGCAGTCAAAAGTTGTTCTACTTGAAAGTTTAAAGATACATTATGGGAGATTAGATAACGAGTTGACAGTTCCCACTATAATAGTGAAAAACTAGATAGCGTAAAAGGCAATTTGCTGAAAATTTCATTCAAATTGATCCACTATGAACCGAGAACTAAGCGATTGAAACTTCGGTCTAGCCTCGATCATCGTAACTAAAGTCATTACGATAAACAGCATAGTCTCAATTATCCATTTAATCGTTAAATCGTAAAGAAAAGTTATGCAGTAAATCAGCTCATAATCCACTAAAGATCGCAGGCTAACGCCGCCATCTAGAGTTGATTATGGTCTGGATAAGTTAATTAATGTCTAATTTAGATAACATTTCAGGCCTAAATAAAGACCTGCCAGGCCTAAAGAAAGACCTGAAATAGATTTAGCTCTTGCATAATGTATGTTTAAGTCACCACAGAGAATGTGCACGCTTCAGTGACAGTTCTGAACTGATGTCTTGCCGTTCAAAAAACCTGAACAAATGTTTCCACAAAATGTTCATGAAATCACACGATTTATCTGACATTAGCAATGAGGTGTGTTAATATACAAAGCAGCACAATAAACGTTAGGATTTTATGTCTTGATTATCCCGGCCTGTCAATCAGCTGGCAATCCGTCGGTAGACTGATTATGTGGGCTAATTTCAAATCAAAGGCACGTAACCTATTTGAACATGTTTAAAGGGTTATTAAAGGGTCAACACGACCGTTTATCTAGTGACTAAAATAGAGAAAGTGAAATAAATTTAAGTTTGGTTTAATGGTCGAGAGCGAGACATTAATATATTGATACTGCACGAGGCGTCAGCCGAGTGTTTCAATATATTACGCAATGTCTTTAGCTGAGATTAAACAACTTAAAATACAGAAACTACCCCGCACGTGCTTTTCAATGAAATACGTCACGCGAGTCCAATATTTCATCTAGTATAGATAATGTACGATTGGCAAGTTGCCCGTATATTATTGTAAATACTGGTGCGCCAATATCAAAGGATGACGTCACATCTGTATTTTAAGTATGAAGTATTAATTATTTACCTGTAGGTATTTTATTTAACGCCCTACTGTTCTGCTCCTATGCTGGGCTAATGAAGACGGGCATACGCCATACAGTGAGAAATGAGGGTAATTTGGCCCGGGCAGCGGCACTATGGCTTACCCTTATATCGACTTCTAACTGTCAAGGGATCTTTTACGTGCAAGCCAATGTGTACACAGGACTTCGGGTTTCTGTCCCATTCGCAAGACAGGACAATTGTGCGTTTTGTCAGCCCACCACTGACAAGGGAGGGGGAGGGGACCACGTCGGTGAAGGGAGCGGGCCGGTACCCCACAGTAACACTTGCTATTAAGTTTACAAATAATGGATTGAATACTTACCTTATGTTCAACTTTCCAAATTTCGGTTTGCGTGCCCGGTTAAACGTAGCATCAGCTAATATAGAGGCTCGATCAAAACTTCTTCGTAATGACTTCATTCGTTTCTTGGATTCTTCTGTAAATGATCACATTCCAACATTAAATGGCAAATCTTTTTTTTGTGATTAGTTAATTCGCACACTAGGATGTTTTGGAATCAACAATTCCGCGGTATTGTGTCGGGAGGACCCGGATTCAAGACTGGTGCATTCCGTGAATTACTGACCCAATTACAAATCGGTTTATTTGAAAAACAAAAAAAAAAGCGTTGTAATTTACTGAGACTGGCGAATGTGTCCCACCACCAATATGTTGTCATGCACACCTCGTATATCAGGCTATAGATAGCGCACATTTCCAGCTTCTATGAACTAAAATGGGGTTTAACATACTATTCTGCTTCGAGTTCGCCAAAGGATCTTTTACGTGCACGCCAATATGTACACGGGACTCAAGAGTAAGTTCTTGCTAGAATAGTTACTTATATTAAAAGATGCATTATGTAAGATATGGCCGTTCTTGCTAGAATAGTTACTTATATTAAAAGATGCATTATGTATAATATGGATAAAGATGGGGCCGTACTTGCTAGAATAGTTACTTATATTAAAAGATGCATTATGTAAGATATGGATAAAGATGGGGCCGTTCTTGCTAGAATAGTTATATTAAAAGATGCATTATGTATAATATGGATAAAGATGGGGCCGTTCTTGCTATAATAGTTATATTAATGATGCGCTATGTAAGATTTAGATAAAGAGCTGGTCATTCTTGCTATAATAGTTATATTAAAGATACATTATGTAAGATTTAGATAGAGGGCAGGCTGTTCTTGCTGTACTAGATAAAAACATGAAAAATGAATTGGTTTTTATATATTACTTTATTCTGAGCGGATATTCTAATACATTTAATCTGTTGATTATTGGCTGTCATGCGAATAAATGTCTAAATAATTTAAATATATAACATTTAAAGTGAAAAAATAAAATGGGGTTTAACGTCCTACTGTTCTGCTCCTATGCTGGGCTAATGAAGACGGGCATATGCCATACAGTGTGCTATGAGGGAAATTTTGCCCGGACAGCGCACTATCGCCTACTCTTATATCGAATTCCAACTGCCAAGGGATCTTTTACGTGCATTCAAATGTATACACGGGACCTCGGTTTTTCGTCTCATCCGAAGGACTAGACAGCTGTCCCTGTCAGGCCCTCCGTCCTGCATCACTGACAAGGGGGAACCACGCCGGAAAATCTGGATGAACTTTCTCGGCCATTTAAAGCTAAAATAACGACATGCAATAAGCAGAATTAATTCTTACATAATGCATCTTTAAAATAAGAAAGCTTACTGAAACGTAGTCTAGCCACGGCCAATCCGACCAGGATCGCTATAAGTAGAACTCGTATCGCCTTCATACTCTGCGCTTTGTCACTCGACTCTGTAAGCAAAAAACAATAAAATGAAACGGGGTTTAACGTCCTACTGCTCTGCTCCGATTAGAC